TGACCGGTGTCAGCGCCTTTGTGGTGACACACACCTCGAAGGCGTCAGCGGATCAGCGTGCCGGCCGAGCGGGTCGCGTCAGTGCGGGTCACTGTTATCGGCTGTACTCGAGCGCCGTTTACAATGACATCTTTCCGGACTTTAGCCAGCCGGATATACAGCAGAAGCCCGTCGATGATCTTATGCTGCAGATGCGCTGCATGGGCATCGATCGTGTTGTCCACTTTCCGTTCCCATCGCCGCCCGATCAGCTGCAGCTGGTCGCCGCCGAGCAGCGTCTGAGCGTGCTAGGCGCCTTGGAGCCGCGCACTGAGGGCAATACGCCGCCAGCTGTCACCCAGCTGGGCAGGGTAATCTCACGGTTTCCGGTTGCGCCGCGTTTTGGCAAAATGCTGGCCCTGTCCAATCAGCAGCAGCTGCTGCCCTATAGCGTCTGCCTGGTCGCTGCGCTCTCTGTGCAGGAGCTGCTCGTGGAGACGGGCGTGCAGCGTGACGAGGATGTGGCGCCGGTGTCGAACAAGTTCCATCAGCGGCGCATGAGCTGGGCGGCCAGCGGCAATTATCGACTGCTCGGTGATCCCATGGTGCTGCTGCGTGCCGTTGGCGCTGCCGAATATGCCGGCTCCCAGGGCAAGCTGGCCAGCTTTTGTGAGGCGAATGGACTGCGTTCGAAGGCGATGAACGAAGTGCGCAAGCTGCGCGTCCAGCTGACCAACGAGATCAATTTGAATGTGTGCGACGTGGAGCTGTGCGTCGATCCGCAGCTAAAGCCGCCCAGCGATGCGCAGGCGCGTTTTCTGCGGCAAATCCTGCTCGCCGGCATGGGTGATCATGTGGCGCGCAAGGTGCCGCTCGACGAGATCAGCGACAAGGAGGAGCGACGTCGTCTGAAGTATGCCTACAATTGTGCCGATATGGAGCAGCCAGCATTTATGCATTCCTCCTCGGTGCTAAAGCAAACGCCGCCCGACTGGATCATCTACCAGGAGGTGTACGAGCTCCAGCATGGCGATACCCCGAAAATGTTCATACGCGGCATCACCGCCATCGAGCCCGAATGGCTGCTTCTCTATGTGCCGATGCTGTGCAATATACGCGAGGTGCGCGAGGAGCCGGCGCCGCGTTACGATTCCGCCAAGGGCATCATCTATTGCTATGTGAATGCCACCTTCGGCAAGGCCGGCTGGGAGCTGCCCCTCGGCGAGGTCGAGATGCCGCTCAACGAGAAGGCCTGCTGGTAAGTCAAGTGGCCCCAACTGCTGCTCGAGAGCAGCATTCATTGAATTCCCTTTTTCCAGCTACTTTGGCATGTTCCTGCTGGACGGCATCGTTTGCCCGCCGCTGGCCGCATTCCGGCCCAAGCTGAAGTCAACGCCCGCCTCGCTGATCAAGAGCTGGTCCAGCCTCAACGACAAGGTGCTGCGCTTCAAGCGCGCCCTCATCAACAAACAGATTCACACGCGCCAATCCCTCTTCGACCAGTGGAAGACCGAACCCAACTGTAAGCCTGCTCCACATAATCCATATTCCATATCTATTTATGTCTTTGCTTGCAGTTCTGCTGGAGGAGTACCAGAATCTGCTGTACGATGTGGCGCTCAGCGAACTGGCGCCCATTTGGCCTCCAAATAAACCGGATACAGCATCCGCTTGAGTCCCAATCCCACCCAGCTTCCACTCATTTACGTGTCTTGTACATACCTCAAATGTGAATCCTTAATAATAAACATTTTGTTATATTTATCCAAACCGAAATCCAAAACTCCAGATTGTGATCATGCCAAGAACCGTATCGAAAACCGGATATATTTAACATATTTGAATATTTGTAAATTCAATTTTTCTATTTATAATTGAAAAATGTCTCTGGAAAGGCTTGGAAAAGCCAGCTATAGGAACCGAACCTTAAGGCAAGGCAAAATGTGCCTAGCCCGAAACGATTCCCAAGTTCCATAATTGTCAAAAAGAATTTACGATTTGTTTTCAACTAGTTTTGAAATTGGTTCGCAGCTGGTTCTGATTCCAACTGGTTCCAAAATGCTATATACTACGAACCGAACCCTAAACCAAGTAAAAGCTGAACCACATTTCGATACGTAGAGCTAAAGCAGACCATATCCAGTTCTCGTTTGGAGAATCTTCAAGAAAATATTATAATTATTAGAGCTGTGTCGTTTAGTTCGGACCAAGTTCGATTGAACGGGTCATTAAAATGAACGACTGAACTTATTCAGTGATTAGTGAACTAAATCGCTCATTTAGTTCACTCGTTCAGCTATTCAGTCGGTCATGAACAATGTATTGTGTACTCGTTCAGCCGTTCCTGAACGAACCATTCTTGATACTCGTTCAGTCGGTCATGAACTCAGCAGCTCAGCCGTTCCTGAACGATACATTCTTTTGAAATGTTCAGTTCTTAATAAACATAAAAGATAGCCGGATTTTAATTTCAATTTTGATTTGACTGCATAACTGAACTAAGCGAATAGTTAATGACTGAATAGCTGAGCTGAATTCATCGTTCATGAACAAATGAACTAAATGACCGATTTAGTTCACGGCCAGAAAATGAACGAGTGAACTTATTCAGCAAATTGAACTAGAAATCCACACTCTAATAATTATTATGATATAGTATATATATAAACTCGGTTTTCGAAGAAAAACCAGTTCTGACTTTTGTATAACAAGTTTCATTCTCTTTTTTATTTGTATTTTATATGGTATATGTAATATATATACATATATACTTTATATATATATATATATTATAAATATGCAAGTTCTTTAAAAATGGAACCAAATTTCTGAAGAAACAAAAAAAAACCATAATGAAGTGTTTTTTTTTTTTGTAGGGGGAATTAAAATGTTGTTAACAGCTAAGTTTCGATAGTTGTTCCAATACAATATATATGTATGTTTTCTTTAGTTTTCCACTTAAATGTTCTTTCTTTTTTTTTGTATATATATATATGTATATATATGTTGGTATGTAACATACACACATGTCATATCATATATGTTTTTTTTTTTTTTTTTTTTTTTTTTTTTTTTTTTTTTTTGCCTGTGTTGTACCATTTGTAGATAGTTTCTTGGTTTCTTGGTTTTTGTTAATATTTAACTTGTTTTTTTTTTTTTCATTTATTTAAGGATTGGCTAGTTTCAGTTAACTGAATAACTGTACATTTAGGTTGGGAGAACATTCAAAAACAATTTTTGTTCATGTGCTTTTTGCTGTTTTTTTTCTTCTTTCGATTTTTTGTTTTTCACTTTTGTTTTGTTTCTTTGTATTTTGTTTTTATTTTTTACAATTAATCTTAGTTTGTGTATTTGGAAAAATTATTTGGGCATTTTTCTAGTGTAGTTGTTGTTGTTGTTGTTGTTGTAATTGTATAGCGCATGCAGCTGCCACACACATTACAGGGTATTCACTTAGTGTACTCTCTTTAATGATATATTCCTTTAGCTAGTTTAAATACTCGCAACCATATATTTTTTTACACATAAACTGAATTCTTTTAGGGTTTCTTTTTTTTTTCCTTTTTTTTGTCTTGTATATATATAGTATTTTTTATATAATATATATATGCATATATCTCTCGCTATAGATACAGTTATGCTTGATGCATATGCATGTATGTATGTGTGTCAGTTGATGTATGTGTGTATGTGCTTAACACATACAATGTGTGTGTGTGTGTCTAGTTGAGTGTGCGTGTGAGTGTGTGTGTGTGTGTGTGTGTGTGTGTGTAGAAAAAATCAGTCTAATGTATTAAGGCAACGTGAGAGCTTTACATTTTCATATTCATAAACATTATCTCAAAATGTCAGTAAATCCATTTATACGAATATATATATATATATATATATATATATATATATATATATATGGAGTTATATCATTCATCAACATTAACATTATCGTCGTCAGCAATTGTTCTTGACTTTCACTTAATTGTTTAGGTTTTACATTTAAATTACATTTAATTTAATTTAAAATTTCAGTTAGTAATATTTCATATATATATAAATTTTTTTTTTTTTGTATACCCTGTACCCATTGGGAGTATGGGCTGAAAGGGGGGGGGGGGGGGGGGGGGGGGGGTTTAAGCTAAATACTTGTACATACATTTATACACAAATATACATGTGTGTATGCATGTGTGTGTGTGTGTGTGTGTGTGTATGCATTTGTTGATAGGTTTGGTTTTTAATCCTATTACATAATATTAACAATAAAATTTTGGTATGTTTTGTGTTTCGCTTTGTTGTGGATTTGTTTATTCAATTAATTTATATATATATATATATAAATTCTTTCTTATCAATTGTTTTTTTTTTGTATATATATATTGGCTAGGAAAGCAATTGAAATTGTTAAAAGACAACAAAAAAAAACAAAAAGAAAAATTATAAAATAAAATGCTGCAGTTCATAAAAGTTAGTTAAATTAATGAGAAGCATTTTGGTTTGTTTTTTCTGTTTTTGTTTTTTACATAATTAATTTTACAATATTTAACACACAACTTTTCGGCTTTCGCTATGCATATCGTGAGTATATATATCTGTATATATATATATATATATATTTATATATAATCAATTGTTTTATTCTTATACATTTTAATACTAACAAAAAGTTAATTTTTGTAAATTTCTTTATATATATATATGTATATATAGGTATGTATATAGCTAAATTGGTAAACACACACACACACACACACACACACACACACACACACACACACATACACATGTGTGTATGTATGTGCATATATATATATATATATACATATATTTTGTTATAGGTTTAAACTACATTTTGAGTGAAAAAGCTAACTTGTTTTTTTCCTCTAGTTCTTGCTCTTTTTGTTTTGCCAAATTTCTGTCTAAATATATTAACAAATTTTATAGCTAGGCGCAAGTTCTTTATATGTAATATATATAGTATATGTATACATATATATGGTATAGGGTATATGGTATAGGGTATAGGGTATATATAGCTTGTATAATTAATTAATTAATATTTACATTTATCCAAACTAAACGCAGTCGTTTTAAAAACTCTACTTTGATTTCATGGAAGTATTTCTTTGTTGTATTCTTTTTTTTTTATAATTATTTAATTATTTTTATTTTTATTTGCTTAGATCCGAATTCGTTTCAGTTGGGCTAAATTGTTCATCAAATGATATACACCACACACGCACACCCCTCTCTCTCTGTGTGTGTGTGTGTGTGTGTGTGTGTGTGTGTGTGTGTGCTTTAAACTGTGGTTCCATTATCCTCGTCATCTTTCTCTAATTTGTCCTGTTGCTGCTCCTCCTTCTCCATCTCCTTCTCCTCCTGCTTCTCCTCCTGCTTCTCCTCTTCCTGCTCCTGCTCCTGCTCTTGCTCCACCTTGATCTCCTCCTCCGCCGTGGGCGTACTTGTCGGCGTGGGCGTGCCGCTCACCTCCAGCGACAGCTCCTCGCTTGGCGGCGTCTGTATCACGTTTGACTGCGCCGCCTGCTCGGCAGCGAGAGCATTCGCCTCATCCTCGAGCTGTTGCAAATGCTTGCGCAGCTCCTCCTCCTGCTGCTCCTCTAGCTGCTGTTGTTGCGCCAATCGACTTGCCTCCAGCTCACGCATCAGCTCCGGCGGCAGCTCGCCCGTATAATCGAATGCCGCGAATGGCTCCGTGGTATCAATATTGATGGCCTGCTTCTTCTTGTCGGCAATCAGTTTCCACATGTTGAGCAGCATATTGAAATTGACGCCCGGTGGCAGCGAGCTCGCCGAAACAGCAGCTGCTCCGGCCGCAGTGTCGGCCACATCGCCGGCAACGGCAACCGCAGTCGAAGCCGCAGTCGCAGTCGCAGTCGAAGCCGCAGCTGTCGGTGCTGGATCGTCATCCTCGTCGGAGGAGCTGCTGCTGACGGCGCGTATTTTTGGCATCTTGCTGCCGCTGCCGCTGGGTCCCAGGATGGGCGTCAGCCCGGCCAGCTTCAGCTGCATGTTGTACTCGTGAAAGTCGCGCTGTATCGAGCTGCGCCTGGAGTTGGCCATCTCCTCGCTGCTGCTGCCCAATATCTGATTGTATTCGCGCAGGCCCAGCTCCTCGACGGGCACATAGTGCTCCCCGATCTCGATCAGATACACACAGCGATTCACATGCGAACGGAACAGCACATCCTTGTGATTCGGCACCCATACGTGCACCACATGTCCCACCATTCCCGCCGTCGGCTCCCAATCCTTCCAGCTGAGCCGGCCGCCATTAGCGCGCATATGATCCGTGGGCCAGACGACGGCATCGATGATGTCCAGACAGTCGTAGATCTACAAGCGAAGGCCAGTTAAATAAAGTCCGTCAACTGCGAGCACAAAAACGCTCTCAAGGTCTCAAGTTTGCCGGGTTCAGGTCCGTTTCAAAGCGGGTTTAAAACTGGATTAATCCAAGGATTAATTCAAGCTCTGAGCTCGATAAAAATCCTCTTTAGGAGTAATATTCAAAATTATGTCAAAATTGATTTCTTTTTCGAAAGTGTGAATATGAAAATTTTAAAAAATTTTGAAAAATAAACAAAAGCAGGTATAACCCGGCCTTGTCCGTGGCACGTATTAAAGAAACTTGCTCAAAAAGCTTTAAAAATGTTGATGAACCCCATCGGAGGGTAAAAAACAACTTCAAAAAAAAAAAGATATATATGTCTATAAATAAGAAATGAATTGAATGAAAGCTATGTGAAATAGAAGTGATTCGGGTATAAAACTGGCACAAAATCAGCTTTAAACCGGTTGAAAACAACATTTAAAGTATATTAAATGAAACCCCATCAAATAAGAGTCTCTTGATGACAAGAACTTTCAAATAGACGGTCTAATTAAATGGTATAAACGAATGAAACCTGTGTAAACAGACATAATTAGGGTATGAGACTGGCATAAAACCGGTTTAAGAACGTTGTAGAACCTTCTTAAACCCTTAAAGCCGGTTTAGAACTACCTGTAAAAGTGTATTAAATGAAACTCAAGAGCAGAAGACTCTCTGAATGAGCATAACTTTTCAATAGATAGGCTATTAATATAATGTAAGGGTATGAGACTGGCATAAAACCGGTTTAAGAACGTTGTAGAACCTCTTAAAAGCCGGTCAAAAACTACCTTAAAATTAAATTGAGTGTAATTCTATAAATATGATATTAAATGAAATTAAATGAAAAGCTGTGTGAAACTGGGATAAGCGGGGTATAAGATACGAATCTAGCCTAAAACCGGTTGAAAACTACAACCCAAAGGAAATTGAAGAGCACAAGGGTCCCTCTTATTGACTATAACTTTTAGATAGAACGTCTATTAATATGATATTAAATTATGAAATGGATGAAAGCTGTCTAAAACTGGGTCAAGTCCGTATTAAACCAGTTTAAGCCCGATGTAAAACCAGGTTTAAATCCGCTTAAAAGCTAGTTTAAAAGTGGCTCAAATATAACGGAAGAGAAAAGTCTTAAAGGGATTATATCGAGGCTAATTTATAACTCAATAGAAAAGTCTTGAGAGGATTATATGGAGTCTTGAGAGGATTTATAACTCAATGGAAAAGTCTTGAGAGGATTATATCGGGATTAAATCGAGGCTTAAATATAACTCAATAGTAAAATGTTTAGAGAATTATAAGGTGCACTTGACTCACCCCCGTATCGTCCACAATGATGACCTTTCTGTAGATATCGATGCGCGGTTTGCGCGGCGTTTGCTGAGCATTCGATGCGGATGCGGTTGCGGATGAGGATGTTGTTGCTGCTCCTGCTGCTGTTGCGGCTGTGGCTGATGCTGCGCTGGTGCTGCCGGAGGCTGAGTCGCTGGCCATGAGGCAAATGGGTCCCTTGGTCTTGCGCGGATAATCGCCGGGCGTGGTTATGATATTGCCAACGCCGGGGCCGATGCCGAGGCTGCCGGACGAGCCGGACAGCAGCTTGTTGGAGCGCGGACTAGACTCCGGCTCGGCCAGTTCCGAATGCATGGCATTGGCATCGGCCGCAGCATCAGCTCCGCTGGCAATGGGCAATGTGGCGCGCCGAGTGCTTCCCTGGAGCTGTCCGCCGCTGCGCGTGCGCGGTCCAGTGCTGGAGCCGGGAGCCATGCGCAACGTGGAGCCGGTGCCAGTGCCGGAGCCGGAGCCGGAGCAGGCAGCCTCCTGGTCGCGTTCGCGATTAAGCAGACCAGCTATGAGCGTGGTCGAGGTGGGCTTGACGGGCATGACGGCCAGGCCGCCGCGGACCACGGCCAGCGTATCGCCAACATAGCTGCCGGCCATGCCGGTCATGCCGGGCACATTGCCCGGCCGGACGTGGCCGTAGTAGCTGTTGACGGTGAGCGTGTTGTAGAGCGGCGCCGAGATGAACACCGGCGCCAGATCCGTGCCAGATTCGCCGCCCGTGCTGCTCGCCGTGCCGGGCGCGCTGCCCGAGCCGGCGACAACTCCGCCGCCGGCGCCGCCAACGCTCGTCGCGCCCGCTGCAACGGCGGCTGAGCCTGCAATGGAGATGGAGCCGGTGCCGGTGCCGACGACGCTGCCGCCGCTGCCGAAATTGCAGGCGCCGCCGGCGCCGCCGCCGAGCTGCATGGATGCCTCCATGGCGGAGCCGGAGCTGCAGCCCTGGCGGCAGCGTTCCCGTATGCGATGCCACCAATCGAGTACGGTTTGCCTGATCGTGTCGAGGGTTATGGCGCCGCCAATCACCTGACACAGCTGGCCATTTGTGTCCGCATAGGATGTGGTCAGCGGCGAGACGTAAATGGGATAGCCAATGGGCTGATCGCAGCTGGAGTTGATGATGTTGCGCAAAGCCTGCTTGGCGTTCTGTATGCTGCCGCGTTCCGGATTGCGATTGCGCAAATAGATGAGCTCCTGTTGCTGGCCTGCCCACAAGCCGCGCACGCATTCGCGGTTCAGTTTGATGACGCGAAAGCTGAGAAAACGCTTGGTCAGCCGGATGATGCGATACTCGTCGGAGCCGTCCTCCATGACATGGCGCAGCGCCAGCAAATTGGGTGCGCCGCGCAGCACAGCGCTGCGCCAGACGGGATCCGCCTCGTGCGAGATGACCAGCTCCTTGGAGCAATTGTCGATGGCCTCGTACAGGGCGAGCGGATCGTGAAACTCATCCGGATTTGTAATGTGATCCTGTTGCAGTTTGAGGGCCATTTTAACAGCGGGCGCCACAACTGAATGCAGCAGCTCCATGTCCGCGAATACCCATTCGTCGCGCGGCGACGTGATCCGAAAGTCGCCCTTGAAGAGCGCATGGAGGCCGTGCAAAAAGTACTCGACGCCCGTCAGTGAGCTGTGCGACGCGGTGGCCAGGGATCGACGGGCGAGCAGGCCCAGTGCCAGGCACAGGGACACCAGCGGTGCGTCCTTGTTGACGCTCTGGGCGCGTGGCTTCGGCGTCGGCCGCGATGTCATCGAGGGCACAGTGCTGGGCATTATGGTGGTCAGATTTGTGCCCTCCTGCTGATTGATGGTCGGCTGCAGGCGCGGCGAATCCTCCTTGCGCAGCGATTTGCCCGGCGTCGTTGTCGACGTCTTGGCCAGCTTGACGAACACATTCTGATCCATGTAGGCCACATAGTTGCCCAGTCCGGGCGCGCTCTCCGATGTCTGACGCGAGATGTTGGCAAAGCTGTGCGAGCTGCTCAGCTGATCGATGCCGCCCAGCACGCTGCCCTCCGGCTGGACAACGCCGGGCGCCGTATTGCCGCCGCTCATCGTGGCGCTCTTCTGGGGCCGGACGCTGCGCAGCTGTTGCTGCGACTGCGACTTGGACTGGGGCACACTGGTGCCGCCGTGCGCGGACAGATTCGGCGTGCTCTTCGAGTCGTTGTGCGCGGGCGTGCTATTCGCCGTAACTGCGCCCGCATTGCTGGCCAGCGGTTGGATTGTGCTTGGCGCCTGCTCAACCGCGGTGCTTATGCTCAGGGGTGGCGGACGCGGTGGGCGTGGCGGTGGCGGCGGCACCACAGCAGCGGCAACTGTGGGCGGCGCTGTGGCGGCAGCCGGTGGCGCCGGAGGCTCCTTGACTGGCTGCACTGTTGGCTCCTTGGCGGCTTGCGCCTCCTTGCGCTTGTCTACGCAGTAGTTGATCCACTTGAGATAGACGTAGCAGAAGCTAGAGCGTGTTATGCCAACGGCACGAAAGTCGAAATCCTCATCCAGATTGAAATTGAATATGGGATCGAGATCGACAAATTGACGGCTCAGCGTATGCTGCAGTGCCTCCTGTATGGGACCCGAGGCGAGCCACTGCTCCAGCTTCGGATTCCGCACCACATAGTAGATGATGCTCTGCGAGAAAGGAGGTTTGCAATTAGTGTCAAGTGGGCTTGGAGTTAAGTGGGAGACGCACCTTAATGTAGTAGGTGATGAGCACCTTGCGGTACTCGAAGACCTGCAACGTGGCGCTGGCCAGGTTATCGGATATGGAATAGCCCTCGATGACATATTGGGCGGCAACTACCTGCCAGGCTAGCCAGCGCGTGGAGAACATGGCGTTGGCGCTGAGCAGGCGGGGCAAATGGCCGGGATCACAGCAACAGCAGCCATCGTTGTCCTCGACATCCTCCGTAATGGCCTCCACCTCGCGCTGCTGGCAATAGGTGCCGCGAAATTCCAGGCCGCGCATCTGAAACGTGCACAGCCCGTTGCCCAGCTCGATGATGTGCACCAAACAATTCAGATCGTCCGAGGCGAGCACTGCAAAACGGAAATTATGTTGCTGGAGCTGCGAGCTGGGAGTTGGAGCTGATCTCACTTACCGAAGCAATCGCCCTGGTTGACATTGCCCCAGCGACCCATGAGCAGATCGCCGCAGAGCGAATGCTGCAACGAGCGCGTCAAATGCTCGTAGAAGATGCTATTCAAATTGTTGTCGTCGGCGCCGAGATCGCGCTCCAGCTGCGAGCTGAGCCGCGTGTTCGAGTGATCGATGCGACGCGTATTGTAGTCCCGTTCCCAGAACTTAACCGGACGCACATACGAGGTGAGAAATATGGCGCTGCCCAGAAACGGATTCAGCGGCGTCGACAGCAGCGCCGAGATGCCCGCCTGCAGGAACAGCATGGCCGAGTGGGGCACGCTGAAGGGCTGGGCGAAGGCATGGAAAGCCGAGCCCCACGTAATCTGCCACGGCGCGATGTACGTCACAATGAACTGCAGCTGCAAGGCGAAGAGGTACGAATATATTTGTATTATACATATATATATATTACAGGGTATTCTGTGGCTTACCTTGAGCAGAAAGTCGCAGCACTTGCGAAAAGCGAGCGATACGAAGAAATAGTCGATGATGAAACTTTCCGTTGCCATCGAGAAATCGATGCGAAAGAGCAGCACGGTGAATATAATGATCAGGTATTGGTTCGTCGGATCCGAGTATGCATTACGGACAACTGCAAAAGTAAGGGAAGATGGCACGTGGTTAGTTGAAACGAAGTTATAGAAAAAGATCTATAGATATAGATATAGATATAGATATAGATATAGATATAGATATAGATATAGATATAGATATAGATATAGATATAGATATAGATATAGATATAGATATAGATATAGATATAGATATAGATATAGATATAGATATAGATATAGATATAGATATAGATATAGATATAGATATAGATATAGATATAGATATAGATATAGATATAGATATAGATATAGATATAGATATAGATATAGATATAGATATAGATATAGATATAGATATAGATATAGATATAGATATAGATATAGATATAGATATAGATATAGATATAGATATAGATATAGATATAGATATAGATATAGATATAGATATAGATATAGATATAGATATAGATATAGATATAGATATAGATATAGATATAGATATAGATATAGATATAGATATAGATATAGATATAGATATAGATATAGATATAGATATAGATATAGATATAGGATGATATAGTAGACTTTGCTTATATTAAAGGAGTACACGATAAAAATCTTAAACTTGGTCGATCTCTTGACCGGAAACTAAATGAGCTAGAGCTGGGAAATTTGGTATTTAAGTATTACTTAAAGTCTCAAGTCTATTTCAAGCAATTCCCAACTATTCATACCTATTATGAACTCACTGAACTCGGGAACTGTAAGAGCAACAAGTGAGAAATTTGGTATGTAAGTATTACATAAAGTCTCAATTCTATTTCAAGTAGTTTCTGGCCATTATATATGAACTCTTGAGCCCAGGAACTATAAGAACTACAGGTGGAAACTTTGGTCTGTAAGCTTTCACAAACATGACAGGGATATAAAGACATAGAAAGAGACAGACACAGAGAGAGAGAGAGAGAGAGAGAGAGAGAGAGAGATGGAGAGAGAGGGGGAGATAGATGACATCATGCTGTCGCACTTACATTTGAGCGCGCAAACGGCGACGATGAGCGTGCCCCAAGGAACTCCGAACTTGTCGACAATATGCTGCGAGTCGGCGGTCAGCGATGATATGGCCAACAGAGGGAAGAGCACGTTGCGCTCGAGAACGCTCAGATAGATGTAGAACTTCTCGAACCACATGATCTGCGGCGCATTGAGCACCTCGAACTGGCCGAACTCCTTCTGGCGCAGCAGCGGTCGAGCGAAGCACAGCCAGGGCATGTGCTTGCGCATCTGGGGCACGGCATAGTGGAGCAGGGCGCCTAGGGTGCCGATGAATACGTAGAGAACGACATTGAGATCCGGCTGGAGAACGGTGAAGACGGTGCTGCAATGAAGCACAAGGACACTGACGCCCAGCAGGGTCATCACAACCAGATCGTTCTTCAGGCGCGTCGTCACAGTTGCCTGCAATTTGCGCGGCAACGGATCGGGCAACTCATCCTGGTCCAGCTCGCTGTTGTCCAGCTCGATGGCGGCATGATCCTCCTCCTGATGATCATCCGTCTCAGCGTCCAAGGCTGTCGCATCGATGTCTGTGTTGGCGGTGCCCGCGCCGGCGGTCAGTGTGGACATATCGCCGGGATTCGTTGTCGATGAACTCGAGATTTTGTCATCCTGCACATCCTCGTTGGTCTTTGCCTCGTAAACGTTCTCCTGACTGCGCGATCTCTTGACCAGCTCCTTGTCTGCTGCTGCTGTTGCTGCTGCTCCTGCAGCTGCTGCTGGGTCCTCAACGCCAATGGAAGCGTACGAGCTGGAGGCGGTCATGGCGCGTTTACTGCTGCTGATGGTCTTGGCCAGCGTTTGGCTGCTGCCCAGCGACGAGGCCTTCGATTTGCTATGCTTCTGATTCAGCTGTGTCTCCGCTTCGTGCTCGTGCTCCTGCTCCCGTTCGGGCTGCTGCTCCTCGCCCATGGCGAGCTTTTCGAGCGAGCTGAGCTCGATATGCTCATTGCTGTTGGCCATGGAGCTGAGCTCCGGCTGGCGTGCCCGATGCGTTGCAAGCGGCGTTGGCTGCCCCGTTGACGTCGGCTCCGATGACTGACGCTTGCCGCGGCTCAGCTGTTGCTGCTGCACGTGCTCCTGCTGCTGCTGCTGCCCGGCTTGGCTACGTTTGCGGCTGTGCCTCAGGTCGTCCTCGTCGTCGCGATAGGTGCTCACGATGCAGGTCTTGATGAGCCGCCACAGATGACTGAAATCGCTCGCCGAGCGCGACAAATGATAGCCCAACGGTATGAGCATGGCGCAGAATATGGAGAAGAGTATATACTGTGTGCCGCGACGCTCGTCCAGGGCCGCGTAAAGCGGCCCGTAGAGCAGCAGAATGGCGAGCACGGAGCGCAGCAGGCAAAGGAATGAACCTGCAACAAAGTAGATTAATGAATTGGTCAAGCAAAGCTAAAGAGGATTGGCACTCACCGAGCAGACTGCTCGCCGCATTGCCGCCAAAGAGATGCATATCGAGCTGCTCGAGCAGGTACATGAGAAACGTGTTGATCTGCGGGCACAGACCCACCGAAAAGATGATCGGAAAGCAAAGTAGCAGCACATAGAGCGACTGCAGCAGCAATCCGACCACATGCGCCGGCGCATAGTGTATGCCAAAGAAAATCATTGCCTCCGGCGGCCGTTGCGCATAATCCGTGTCCAGACGCTTTAGCAGCAAGAGCAGGCCGCCGCACAGGCAAAAGTATATGGCCCGGGAATAGGCGACCGTCTTGTTGAAGCCGTGCACCGGCGAGGCGGCATCCGGCTGGACGCTCTTCACCAGCGAGTACTGGGCGCCGGCGATGACCGCACAGAAGAGCAGCACGCACAGATCCTTGTAGTAGTTGTGCTGCAGAATGGCAGCGCCCAGGCAGGCGACCAGGGTGCACAGCACGCAGGCCAGCAGGACGTGCAGCCAGTGCAGATCACGATCGAACAGAGCTAGAAGCTCCAGGCGATCCATGGCTATCTTGAACTCATGCTCCTGGCCGCACCACTTGAAGCGATACTTGTAGAAACTCTTCGGCACCACCGTCTTCTCGGCGGCCAGCAGGCAGGCTGGCCGCCAATACTCGCAGTACGGCGCAAAATGACCATCCACATTCAGCATCGGCTGGCTGAGCTGTTGCTGCAGCTGCTGCTGTTGCTGCGATTGCTGCTGCTGCTGCTGCTGCCGGCTGGCGGCGGTGTCGGTGGGCAGGGCAACGCCGGCGTTAGTGGCCGCTGCCACCGCCTCGTTTAGCTGCTGCTGCAGTGCATCCGTGCGTGCTGCCTGCAATTCGCTGCGCATCATATTGAACATGCCCTGCAGCGAGGCACGCGTCGCTCCCGCTGCTCCTGCTCCCGCTCCTCCAGCAGCTCCCGCCGTTGTGGCATTCGCCGCACGCGTTGAGCTGCCCATAAGCATGCCCAGAGCTGGCGGCGGCACCGTCGTCTGTGCGCCATTGCCTCGCGCTTCGCTGCCCGTTGAGAGCGCAGCCATTTTCTCAATCATCCGCTTGGCGTCCATGCAGCGCTTGTCACGCGCCAGCGCCAGCTCGATGTGCGTCATGTGCTCCACGGAGCTGGAGGCGGGATAGCTGCTCTGCAGCGCCTGTATGGCATCCTGATAGAACTGGAAATGCGCACTGGACATGTTTGGCGGCACAATACTGGGATTGGCCGGCACGGGCGTGCCATCCGGCAAGATGCCGGCTATGGGACGACCGCGATCATCGACAGCGCCGCCGTGCATCAGCCAGAGCATCTTGTGTATGTCCGCGGTGAGGCTTTCCGTCAAGCTGATGCTGTGCGTCGAGTTCGACGAGGAGGAATTGCGCGAAGCGCCGCCGCCGGGCAGCTTGTGCTGCTGCTGCTGCTTGATGACCGCCAGATCGTTGCGGCAGGCGTCCAGCTGGTTGCTGGTGGCGCGCCGGCGACGCAGTTCGTCCACCTCGCGATAGTTGAGCACCTTGGGTATGGCGCCTAGGCTTCTGGCGGCCATGCGTGATGTGCACGGCTTTTCCTCATCCTCCTCCACCTCCTCGTCACCATCCTCCTGGTGCTCCTCCTGCTGCTGCTCACCATTCTGCTCCGGCTGCGTTTGGGTCTGACTGCTGGGCAGCTGTTCCATGCCGGCGAGCAGCTGATCCTTGGAGCTGGCGCTCACCTGCTCACAGTCGCTGGACGGACAGCCCGAATCGGCCTCGCTGCGTATCAGCGCAGCCGTTGCCGTCGCCGGTTGAATCTGTTGCTGCAACGCGGGCAAGGATAGCTCCTGGCGCATGGCCTGCTCGGCGGCCTGTTCGCGCGCGCTCTGCTGCTGCCGATTGCTGAGCAGGGGTGAGCGTGAGCCCGTGTTGTTGTCCGTCTCCTCGTCATCGGATGCAGCGGTGGCCACTGCAGCAGCGGCTGCCGTTGGGGCGCCCGTTCCGGCCGTGCCCGCCGCGTAGAGCTCACACTTCTTGAGCACGTCGTCCAGTTGACTGTGCGTCTGCTGCAGTTCGCTGAGTATGTGCTCGAGATTGTCATCAAAATCCTTGAAGACATCGTCATCATCGTCCGCCAAAATGCCGCCCACATCCGACTCGGCGCTATGATGCGTCTGACTGCAGCCGAGGGCGCGTGTGCGACGCCTCAGCGGCACATCGTCCAGCTCGTCGTCGTCATCATCGTGTCTGCCGTTGACATGGTCCGTTTCATCGCGCGGCTGTGCGCCCGGCGACTCGTCGGACGTCTTCTCATCCAAATGCTCAACAATGGGATAGACGGGCGGCTCGATGAGCGCTTGCGTTGAGCCGCAGGCGCTGGAGCTACCAAAGATGACGCTGCTGCAGCTGCTCCCACCGCCGACGCCGCCGCCGCCGGCACCGCTGCTCTCCGCGTATTGCTGATCGACCAGACGTGGCGGATAAAGGTTCAGCAGCTGATTGCGCACCAGACTCTTGCTCGGCGGCGGCAGGGGATTCCGCAGCTGCTGCTGCCCGCTGATGGCCTCCACGCTGTTCGGATGCGGGCTCAGATTCGAGACGGACGGCTGCGGGCACAGCACCTCCAGAGCGGCGCTCTTAATGCGCCGGACACCGTTGCCTCCGCCGCCCGTTTGGCCGCCGGACGACAACAGCGTCGACTTGGAGCCGCCGCCCTGTGCGCTGCTCCCGCTGTTCTGTTTGTGATAGCTGGTTGCGTTGGAATGTCGTCTCCGCTTCATCGCGGCCGTGCTGCCGTTCCGTCCGCCTCCGGCCCCAGTGCTGCTGCTGGCATTGCCGCCGCCGCCGCCGCCGCTGCCGCTGCTCATCTCGCCCAGCACCTGGTTGGAATCGGCGCGACCCGTGCACGAGCTGCTAGAGGCGCACAGCTGCAGCGCAGACATTGTGCTGTTGGGATCCTTGCGCACAATCGCGCTGCCCAGATGATGATGCAGGTGATTGTGATGCAGCTGATGGTGATGGTGATGATGATGATGGTGATGCTGGGCCCGAAATGGCGCCTGATGCGGCTGCTGCTCAATGCCCAAATCGGATTTGGTATAGCTATCATCCTCCAGGTACACATCCGACGACGAATCTGCAAAGCGGCAAAAGCACATTAAAAACTGAATAACCTCAAGCAGCACATGAGCATATAAAACAGGCAGCAGGAGGCAGCTCCAAGTCGACAAAGTGCTCTTTGGGGCAGGGTTGAGTCATGTCCGCCTGCCTGAGTGCCTCGATCTGGGCAACTACTTGAGCTAGAGGCTTGCCATTTAGGCTCTCATATTGTCAACATTTCCACCTCATTGACCTCCCTGACCTTTTGTATATTAACACTTTATGCCATATCGAAGTCGAAGTTAAACAAGATCTCATTTTCCATACATATGTAAATAGATAACAAGTAGAAGGAAATAGCCGACGCCTGAAGTGGGCGGCTTGGCAGGTGGGCGTGCCCTCGCGCGTGTGTGTGTGTGTGTGTGTGTCTTTGTGTATGTATAGCTGAATTTATTGGCCCTGAGTCGAACCACCTGTTGGTTTTTTTTTTTGTTCGTTTTAAAGCACGAATAATTATAATTATTATAAATAATAATTATAAAAATATGAAATAAAATTCAAAAATTTAAGGCATATTTATCGCCATAATGGAGCACATTTAAATACTCTACCTCCGGGTAGGTGGGTAAATTATTGGGCCTAACACGTGGAATTTTCTAAAAAAAAAAATAAGTTCATCTAAAGAACTTTGACGTTTTGTGCTGTGTCCTGATCATAAATCAGACAATCAATCTGTCCATCAATCAGTTTTATATATAAATCAGTTCATTATATATATTAGCAGGATAAATTAGTCAGTCAATCAGTCACTTACATACATTAGTCGGTCGATCAATCATTCAATTTGATATATCAATCAGTCAGTCAATTGCATATATTAATCAGACAGTCAATCAGTGAGTTTTATATATACATTAATTAGTTAGTCAATCAATTACACAGTCAATCATGCACTTTGATATATCAATCAGTCTGTCAGCCACTCAATCAGTTAGTTTAACCAGTCAATCAGTCAATCAGTCTTGTATATCAATCAGTCAATCAAGCAAACAGTCAGTCACACAACTTGCACAATCAATCATTCATTCAATCAGCCAAATAAAATGTAATATACTGACCTAACTGGTCAGTCAGTCAGTCAGTCATATATATCGATCAGTCAGTCAATCGATCTGTGAATCATTCACCTATATACGTAAGCAAAAGAAGTTCTTGAGAAAAGCTCTCACCTAATATCCAGGACTGGAGCGCACGATTGCAGGCATCATTGGCAGCGCCGCGACCGAGACCCAGTCCCAGCTCCATGTCCTCCACATCGTTGACGCCGCTGCCGATGCTGCTGGCATTCTGATGCTGGGCATGCTGCTGCTGCAGCTGTTGCTGCTGGAGATGATGGTGCTGGAGATGCGAGTGCTGCTGCTGCATCGACTGGAACAGGCCGGCGCGACTCTGATGCTTCAGGCGCTCATCGTGCGTTTCCGAGCTGCGATGTCGCTGCAGGCGCGAGGAACGTGTAGTATTTGGCTGGGCCACAACCATAACCGCCGAGGATGTGGAGGCAGTGTCGCTGCCAGCTGCAGCTGCAGCTGCCGCCGCGCCCGCCTGTGCGTTGTTGGCCATGAAATGCTGTCGCGGATTGGCCCCCGGCCGCACCGCCTTCGTGTGCAGAAAACTGGGCGCTGCCGCCGCCGATGTTGTTGTTGTTGTTGTCGTCGTCGCAATGGTATCCGACTGATTGCGCATCAGCTTGGCGCTAAATGTGGGCTCCGCGGCACCAGCGTCGAGGCTACTCTGGCGCTCGAGTCGCCGCCGATGCCGTCGACTAAATACCTCCGAGCATTTGCGCGACAAATGACCCGTGCGCCCCGTGCTGACTGTGGTTGTGCCCGTGCTGCTTGTTGCTGCTCCTGCTGCTGCTGCTGCGGTTGAGTTGGGCGTGGAACGGCTGGTGTCCGCTGCAGCATTGCTGTTGGTGCCGCCGCCGCCGTTGCCTTCAGCGGGAGGCACAACGACCTCAACCATTTCCGGATAGACGGCCAGATACTTGGTGAAAAGCTCGTTGGCGGATAGATTATTCTGTGCAGCGGCGGCAATAGTGGATCGTATGGATTTGCTAACGCTAGCGGAGCCAGCGATCGATTGCTGATCTTGTTGGCTGCCAGCGGAGAGCATCGACGGCGCATAAAACATAAGCTCAAAGGACTCCGAGCTGTTCTTGCGATGCACATCGACTTTGAGATCTGCAATATGAAGATGAATGTGTTTGAGTTGGGGCTATGGACATGTTGCTGGGCATGCTTACCTATAATGCTGTTCACATTGTCAATGGACATGATGCTGTTCTCCTCGCTGGCCTCGTTGATGGCCTGCTCCACAGACAGATGCGAGCCGTTGTTGCCGATGGCGCGCATCACTTTCATCTCGATGCCGTTCTCCTCGTCGGGATCGCGCTGATCCGATTCCTTGGTGACTTTGAAGAATTGACTTTTTAGATTCACCTCGGACATCGTCTGCGCCCGATCGTACAGCCGATGCAGCGCCAAATTGATAAGCTTTACCAGCAATATGGTGCCGCTGGTTAGCACACAATACAGGCACCAGGTCAGCCATGTGCTTGGAAAGTACTGCAAAGCAAAAAGAAATGATGAGATGAGTTAAGTTTTGAGATCGGACGAGCTCAGCGGACTCACCAAGTAGGCGACAAAGGGCGAACAGAGCAGGTAGAGCCAGAGATACAAATGCACCACATTGCAAAAGACGCCCTGATGCGGATCGTAAAAATAGCCGCCGGTCAGTGAGGCCCACACGCCCTGGCGCAGTATCTCCAAGGTCTGTGAACCCATGGTGGCCTATACTGCATTGCTATTATCGGATCGGATTAAGGATCGCCGTCTTATCAACGTTTTTTTTCTCAATTCCACTCAGTAATCGTTATCGCTATCGTTATCGTTGTCGCTGCCTTCCAATTGGGAGCTTAAAGCTCAAAGCCAGCGAACGGAGTTGAAATCCGAGAGCAATCGCTCACTTTCAAAGGGGGGGCGGGCGGTCGAAAGTGTAGGCAGGCGCCCATCGGTGTGTGGGTGTATGTGTGTGTGTGCGCGCGTATGTCTGTGTGTGTGTTAGTGTATGTGTGTGTAAATGAATTGGCACAACGGGAGTCTGAGTTTGGGCAAAAACAATGCAAGCAAAATAAATAGCTCAAATTCGAGGCGAGGCGTTGTTGCTGAAATTTAAAACTAGATATTTTGGCGATTTGTTGCACTTGCTGTCAGCACTTGCACTTCGAAATTAAGATTACGAATACGATTTTAGTTCACATCGATTTGCTTTCAGTTGTTGCTGCTTCTGCTGCTGCTGCTGGTGCCGCTGCTGTTGCTGCTGCTGCTGGTGCTGGTGCTGCTGCTGGTGGTGCCTTCGTGGATGCAGTTGCACCGCGGTAGCAGTTGGAGCGTGTTGGTTTTTTAGTTTACCCGTTGATGCGAGCGTTGTCATTGTTGTTGTTATTCGAACATCTCGAGCATGGTTTCAGCTTCAAATTTGAACTTTTCTTTATTTGGATATTTGTTCTGCTTTTTTCTCTTTTCTTTTTTTTTCTTTTTTTGCAAAGTAACACTCACTCCCTATGCTCCCTCGTTTCATATGCTTTTTCTTTTATTTTGCCTTGTCTTCGCTCCGCCGTCGCTATGTCGAGTTATCGAAACGTCGTCGTATCGTGTTATCGAACGCTTCAGTGTTGTTAAGCGTGGCTGAAAAATCGAACTCTTGGCGCGCATTTAAATGCGGCAGAGTATACTTGTTTTTTCTTTGTTTTTACCAGTTTATTTTCACAATACCCCGATACTTAAGCTACTTTACTATTATATTAAAAAAAAAAAATTAAAAAAAAAAAAACAAGTTTTGTGCCTATATCTAAGCATTACATCACAAAGTAAAAATCACCCACAGAACATATCGAGCCACGTTTTGTGCTTTCTTCTCTTTAGTTAATCTTCAGTCTACGTCGCCGCACTCAGTGTCAGCGCTCCTCACTGCTACCGATGCTGCTGCTGCTGCTGCTGGCATCCGTCTCGCTGCCAATGAAACCATCTTTGTGCTCATAGTTGTGATGATGATGGATATGCTCCTCCTCCTCCTGCTCGAGCGAGTGTTCGATGGGTGAATGGTGTTCGTGATGCTCGTGATGATCGTGATGGGCATGATCGTGCTTCTCGTGATGATGTATGTGCTCCTTGGTCTGATGGATTTGTATGGGACGATGCTCCTCGTGTATGATTTTCTTCTCCTCCTTTAGGACAATCGGCTTATGATGATGATGCACATGCTTTATAATCGTATGCACATGTTTCTCGATCTTCTTATGAACTGGCACATGGATGACAATCTTCTTCTTCTTCTGTTGACTACTAAAAGGGTAGAGCATGAGAAACTTATAATCCAATAGAGTGTGATATATTTATGGCATACCCGGCGCTTGTCTCCTGCACCAGAACAAAAAGTAGCACCAGAATAGCCAAGAACGATAGCTTCAGCAGCTGCATAGAGAAAGATTTTCATATATATATATATATATATATTTATCCGATCTCCCCGCCATTTCCCGGCCTTACCACACGACGATTATCCATTTTGCTTGTGATTTGTGAGGTTGAGGAAAAAGCTGGCGATGCGTTCGCTCGAGTGGCTCGATATGGAATGATTGCTGGCACAGTGCGTCCAAATTATTTTATAACACGATCATGACCAAGGCACAGGGGCCATTCCCAGCTGGAATGTGGCGTGGAATGCGCTCCGTTTCGCTTCCGTGCCGAGGCCCCAAAGCGCCCGTCTCAAGCGCACGCGCCGATCCGAACCACCAATTTATGTTGGGCGATCGCATTGTCGATACAGTTAATGCAATAGCAAATCATCATCATATTGTGAATTGTGGGTGTTTTCACTTGTTTCGCCTTTGTTCGTTCCCATATTTGTTGGGCTCCCGCTTGCTTTGATAGCTTTTATGTATACCCTACCTTGACAGCCGGATCTGCCAAGGATTGGCTTCACGACTTGCGATTCACCACGAACGAATTCACGCCCAATTCACGCCCGATTTCACTTCATTTTCACTTTATTTGAGCTGCGAGTTTGCATCATTTTTCTGGATTTTGATAACGCTTTGATAACTCTTACGTGATTTAGCTAGATCTATCGTCACGTCTTGCGATTCACCACGATTGAATTCACGCCAAATTCACGCCCAATTCACGTCCGATTCCACTTAATTTTCACTTTTTTTGAGCTGCGAGTTTGCATCAATTTTCTGGATTTTGATAACTCCTGCTTTGATAACCCTGCCAAGGATTGTCGCCACGACTTGAGATTCACCACGAGTGAATTCACGCCCAATTTCACTTTTTTTTTCACTTTAAGTGAATTTGTATCATTTTTGTGGATCTGCTGCGATCTGTGCTGAATGTAGCGCATTGGTTATTCGTATTGCTCGCAAGTTTGATGCATTGTTTTGATTTCCTTTGTGGTTTTCTTATTGTTACACGAAAACTTCTTTTTCGGTTTTTCGCACAGACGGAAGACACCGACAAGGTGTGTTGTTGCCGTGTTTGCGCACCTGCACAAAACTCAGTCAACGGAAATAAGTTGATATATGTTTATTAATGGGCAATACATATCTACAGACTTGTCAATTTGTAGTGGCATATACGTGAAACTAACAAATTAAATATTAGTTGTATTATAAAACTATGTAACATTTAATATTGGCAACAACTAGACCGTTTGAATTCGTGTGTTACGCAATGACACGAAAACAATTTCCAACTTCAAATTTGTTGTTTTCTTCAGTTTGTCTTCTTCTTCGGCTTTCCATCTGTACATAATTTCTCTTTTTCATATGCAGTTGAGTGCATTTTTTGCATTTTCCCCCGTCTTGGAAATTCCAAAATACACATTTGAATAATAATCGACGATGAGTTGGCTATCGATATGGCGTTAAGCAACACTGCTCCCTCTCTCACACACACACACACACACACACACATAAGAAGCCCACACATATTGAGGTCCGCAAGCAGAAAGCAGCAGCAAAAGAGAAGGAAAATAATAGCAAACAAAATTCTGTGAAAAGCTCATTTTAAGGTAATTAAAAGGATTGCAACAATTCTAACGAAATGCAGAGTGTGCGCAAACAATCGCAAAATACGTGCAATAGTTAATTGTTTGACGAATTAGCGGTCAAATTGACATTAATAAAAGTGTGAGACGTGTTCAAGCCGTCATATGAGTAAACTCTTGCCGTGCCTCTGTTTGTGTGCGTGTGTGTGTGTGAGTGTGGGCTGCTACGCCCCTTCAGAGGAAGCGCCCATATAATACCGAAATCAATAGCTTGAATTTGAGTTATGCATGTTAAGCATAATTGTTATGGCTTGCTTTGATTGATGTGCCCTTGTGTGGGCTATTCCGGGTATATTATTGACCAGGATGACGGCGCAATCTATTTGCCTTGCTATGCTCTTGCAGAGAGAGATAATGCCAAGTCGGCATGTATATATTCCGAAAGGAATGAGCAAAATCTATTCCATTATCATTAAACAGATTTTGAAAGTAATCATTATCGTGCCTACCAGGAACTGTGCTTATTCTTGATTGATCTTCCTGTTTTTCCCTTTTCCGCAGCAAGTTCCAAGCGTGAGACAGCGTGAGTAGAAGGACAAGAAGAAGAAGAACTGCAAGATGACCGATTCAAAGTATTTCACGACCACTAAAAAGGGCGAAATATTCGAGCTGAAATCGGAGCTGAACAATGACAAGAAGGAGAAGAAAAAGGAGGCGGTCAAGAAGGTAATTGCCAGCATGACCGTTGGCAAGGATGTCTCCGCTTTATTTCCGGACGTGGTCAACTGCATGCAGACGGACAATCTGGAGCTTAAGAAGCTGGTCTATCTGTATCTGATGAACTATGCCAAATCGCAGCCGGACATGGCCATCATGGCGGTGAATACGTTCGTTAAGGATTGCGAGGACTCCAACCCGTTGATACGGGCCTTGGCTGTGCGCACCATGGGCTGCATACGTGTGGACAAGATAACCGAATATCTGTGCGAACCGTTGCGCAAGTGCCTCAAGGATGAGGATCCGTATGTGCGCAAAACGGCCGCCGTTTGTGTGGCCAAACTGTATGATATATCGGCAACCATGGTCGAGGATCAGGGCTTTCTCGATCAGCTGAAGGATCTGCTGTCCGACTCGAATCCCATGGTGGTGGCCAATGCCGTTGCCGCGCTTAGCGAAATCAACGAGGCCAGCCAATCGGGCCAGCCGCTGGTCGAGATGAACTCGGTGACCATCAACAAGCTGCTGACGGCGCTCAACGAGTGCACCGAATGGGGTCAGGTCTTCATACTGGACTCGCTGGCCAACTACAGTCCCAAGGATGAGCGCGAGGCGCAGTCCATTTGCGAACGCATTACACCGCGCCTGGCCCATGCCAATGCCGCGGTCGTCCTGAGTGCCGTCAAGGTGCTGATGAAGCTGCTCGAGATGCTGTCCAGTGATAGCGATTTTTGTGCCACGCTCACCAAGAAGCTGGCGCCGCCGCTGGTCACGCTGCTCTCCTCCGAGCCGGAGGTGCAGTATGTCGCCTTGCGTAACATCAATTTGATTGTCCAGAAACGTCCGGACATACTCAAGCACGAGATGAAGGTATTCTTTGTCAAGTACAATGATCCCATCTATGTGAAGCTGGAGAAACTGGACATTATGATACGTCTGGCCAATCAGAGCAACATTGCCCAGGTCCTTAGCGAGCTGAAGGAGTACGCCACCGAGGTGGATGTGGATTTTGTGCGCAAAGCTGTGCGCGCCATCGGACGTTGCGCCATTAAAGTGGAGCCATCGGCAGAGCGTTGTGTCTCCACGCTGTTGGATCTCATCCAGACGAAGGTCAACTATGTCGTTCAGGAGGCAATTGTTGTCATCAAGGACATCTTCCGCAAGTATCCCAATAAATATGAGAGCATCATTAGCACATTGTGCGAGAATCTGGACACGCTCGATGAACCGGAGGCGCGTGCTTCGATGGTCTGGATCATTGGCGAGTATGCGGAGCGCATTGACAATGCCGATGAGCTGCTCGACAGCTTCCTGGAGGGCTTCCAGGATGAGAATGCACAGGTGCAGCTGCAGCTATTGACCGCTGTGGTGAAACTCTTTCTTAAGCGGCCGTCGGACACACAGGAGCTGGTGCAGCATGTCCTGTCGCTGGCCACCCAGGATTCGGACAATCCGGACTTGCGCGATCGCGGCTTCATCTATTGGCGTCTGCTCTCAACCGATCCGGCCGCCGCCAAGGAGGTGGTGCTGGCCGACAAGCCGCTCATATCAGAGGAAACCGATCTGCTGGAGCCGACGCTCCTGGACGAGCTCATCTGTCACATTAGCTCGCTGGCCAGCGTCTACCATAAGCCGCCCACAGCCTTTGTGGAGGGACGCGGCGCCGGCGTACGCAAATCTCTGCCAAATCGCGCCGCTGGCGCTGGCAGCACTGGTGCCGAGCAATCCGAAAGCGGCGCCGGCTCCGAGGCCACGGTCATACCCAATCAGGAGTCGCTCATCGGTGATCTACTCTCCATGGACATCAATGCGCCCACCATGCCCGCTGCGCCCGCCACCACCACCAGCAATGTGGATCTGCTCGGCGGCGGCCTGGACATACTGCTGGGCGGTCCGCCAGCGGCAACAGATGCCGCACCCGGCGGCGCCACAAGTCTGCTGGGCGACATCTTTGGCCTGGCCGGCACCTCGCTGTCCGTGGGCGTGCAAATACCAAAGGTCACCTGGCTGCCAGCGGAGAAGGGCAAAGGCCTCGAGATCCAGGGCACATTCTCGCGACGCAACGGCGAAATCTACATGGACATGACCCTGACCAACAAGGCCATGCAGCCGATGACCAATTTCGCCATACAGCTGAACAAGAACAGCTTCGGCCTGGTGCCCGGATCACCGCTGCAGGCGCCACCATTGCCGCCAAATCAGAGCACCGAAATAAGCCTAGCGCTGGGCACCAGCGGACCCATTCAGCGCATGGAGCCGCTCAACAATCTGCAGGTGGCCGTTAAGAATAACATTGATATCTTCTACTTTGCCTGCCTGGTGCATGGCAATGTACTGTTCGCCGAGGATGGTCAGCTGGACAAGCGCGTGTTCCTCAACACCTGGAAGGAGATACCCGCCGCCAATGAGCTGCAATATAGCTTGAGCGGCGTCATCGGCACCACCGATGGCATCGCCTCCAAAATGACCACAAATAATATATTCACAATTGCCAAGCGCAATGTCGAGGGCCAGGACATGCTCTATCAGTCCCTAAAGCTGACCAACAACATTTGGGTGCTGCTCGAGCTGAAGCTGCAGCCGGGCAATCCCGATGCGACGCTCAGCCTCAAGTCCCGCTCCGTCGAGGTGGCCAACATCATATTCGCCGCCTACGAGGCCATCATACGCTCACCCTAAGTGGACACAAGAGCCAACAACAACAACAACAACAACAATTCTGGTTGAAATTATAAAAAACTTTATGTAGTTATTTGAATATTACGCGTTGCAAAACTTTGTTAAATGAAAAATCCTCAAGTCCGCAAAACTTGAGGTGTATTATTATTAATATTATCTATTTTACAATTATATATACATAATACATATACATATATATATATGTGTGTGTGTGTGTATAACTGGAGCACATTATAAAACGCTGCCCGAATCCAAAAACCAAATCGACGTTGGACGCATTCCAAAAAAAAAACAAAGTAAAAGCGAGAAAGAATAAGTTATCTGGAGCACATCCGTTGGGGTTTATCATCCAATATTTTGTCGCGCTTAACACTAAGTAATCGCATGTCTGTATGGGCAACAAATAACGCATATACATAAATATATATATATATACACAAATAATCAAAACGCCTTGCGTATACCCTATGTTCTTGTTGTTGTTTTTGGGGAGTTTCGGTTGGGCGCAACGACATATACATAGATTTCTTTTAGAGGGTATTTAACGCTTGAAAGGAAACTTCTGCAACCACATTATAATAAATGCCAGCTACATTTGGAATTAAACCCTAACTGCACTCTCTGACCCTCCATGCTTGCTTTGGACTTGATGTTTACAGGGTATATATAATCGATTGCACTTACATATTTACACATACCTGCAAAGGTGTCATCAGCATGAAGCTTACGCCGTTACCGTTAACGAAAGCGAAAGCTCGCCGCCGAACAACTCCTGAGCTTTTGCTTAGCTTTCCGTTTAAGGGTTGCTATCTGTTGCCGTCCCGCTCGCACCCGCGGCAGCCAAATGGCAACGGCATACGGCATGCAGTTGTCCCTGTTCGGCGCGAACATCGCTGTCTTGTTGTACCACAAGTAAATTCGTCTTGGCCCCGATTGTGACGCTCCAGCTCCAGCTCCAGCTTCAGCTTCAGCTCCATAAAGCCAACTGAGTGTACACAATAAAAAGGCGAGCGCATTCAAGAGGAAAAGCCAAAGCGCTATTGTAACAAAAAAAACTTATTTGAAACGTTGCGTCCAGTTTGCGCAGTTCATTTCATTACGTGAAGGATTCACTGCAGGACATGCGTGAAAACAACAACGCCCCAAATTGAAGCTGGCTGCAATTTTGACACACAAAACTCCGCTGGCCATGTGGCGCGTCCCGTTATTGCCAGGCAACCAACAATTTGGCGACTAGGCACAGCTCAGCTCCCGGATAATGAGTGCAGCCGGAAATGTGAGCGCTCCAGTTGGAGTGCCAGTTGCAGCTGTTGCGGAAAGCAGCGCACTGCACTCGCTGGATAGCTATGATGTGCTCTATGATGGCCAGGAGCACGATGATACCAAAAGCATCTCTCACTTGGATTGGCCCTTTTTGATTAAGGTGCGTACACAGACACTAACTGTTTTTCTTTGAGGTTATGTATGCAAATATGCATGCGTTTGCTCTGCTTTCATCTCGTTGTAAGCGCGTGTGTGTGCGTGCGTGCGCGCGCGTATGTGTGCGCCTGTGTGTGCGTGCGTGCGCGCGCGTATGTGTGCGCCTGTGTGTGTGTGCAAGTGTGTGAGTGAGCGTTTTGTGTGTCAACAGCCCAGCTAACTGTAACTGAGTCATCAATGAGTGGACGGACAGGCAAGTGGCGCCAACTGTGTCAGTGGCAACGAGTGCAGCTGCACTCGCAAAAAAAACTCGTCCTTGATCGAATTACAGCCAAACACATATGTATATGCATGTATATGTATATGTGTGTGTGTCTGTGTGCATGCAAATTACATGCTGACATGTTTATTACGACTTTAGGCGACAAATCTTAATAAAAGTGTGGTTATGTTGAAGTTGAACCACATAAATGCAAGTTAGTGCAGTTAACTTTCAAATCTTCAGATAGATATAGAGCAGCTGTGTGTGATATATGTATATAATAATACTTATATTTGTATACTTGGCCACATAACCTGGCTTTCATTGCTTGCAAGATCGTTTCTATGGCAGCCATATGATATGGTATATATGTATGTATGTATGTATGTACATATGTATGTATGTATGTGTGTATGTAGATTATAATAGGACTTGTCTAGGCAAGGGATTTTTCATATAAAGCAAGCATAATACTAAATTATATAGTAGTCCGATTTGGTAAATATTCATAAGATATACGGTCCAAAAGTAGTTTCTTGCATGGGAAACTTTTTTGTTTATCAAGATATTTTCACCAAACTTGGCATTTATTAGTTTCACCATGCTCCTCGTAAATATGCAAAATCCTAGCGACATCGGGCTACTATATCATATAGCTGCCATAGGAACGATCGTACCAAAGAGTAGTTTCTTGGGTCTGCCAGGGTATAAAATCGTCGGCGTGCCGAAGATAGGCCTTCTTTCTCGTTTTTCATTTTCTCTTTTCTCTTTTGTCGTTGTGCAGGGCATCCTGGAGAGCAGCCAGACATGTGCACCCACCGCACCCGATACGCTGGCGGCGCTGCTGTGGGCCATTATAGCGGTGTTTGGGATTGTTTATGCCCTGCTGGGCTATCGCTGTCTGCGCGCGGTCGGCTTCCTCAGCGGCCTGATGGTGGGCGCCAATGGCATATTCATATTGCAGGACTTTCAAATAACCTGGCTGGGCAAGCCGGCCGACTCGGCGCTGGCCATAGTTGCCGGCCTTCTCGGCGCCGTGCTCGGCTCCACATATCCCGTGGCCTCCGTTCTAATCAGCGCCTTTGCCGGCGCCCTACTTTCGGGCGCTGCGATGGCTGTCTGTGTGGCCACCATGCCGGACAATGAGTTTGGGGTAGGTGCCAACTTTTTCATATTGATTCCACATTTAACACTTAGAAAGTTTTAAAGCTAACACCTACTTTACAAGCTGAACATGCAAAATGTTCATGTTAAGTTATCAGCCACATTGTAAATATTAAGTATATGCACATTTGACTAGATCACAATCTGAACATACAAAATGCTCGTGTTAACTTATCAGCCACATTGTAAATATTAAACATTAAGATGTACTTTATAAGTTGAACATACAAAATGCTCTTGTTAACTTATTAGCTACATTTTAATATTTACAATGTGCATAGTTTGTCAAACTAACTTAAATTTTTTTACGTTCATTATACATGAATATCTAGATTGTAAATACTTGCTATGTGCATAAATTGACAAACTCTCCTGCACGCTTATTCATATTCACTTCAACTGAACATTGTAAATATTTACAATGAACATACATGCTTCGATTACTCCTGATTATGTTAAACATTGCTAATTTGCACAAATTCACAAATTCCAAGCTGCACATCTGCATGTCAAGTATTTACAATGTGGCGCATAGCGATCAGCTTTTGATTGACAACCCATTTATGGGCCAAGCGTTGCCACAGTGTTAAATTATGTTAACATTTGCTTACAATGAAGATAAGACTGAAAAGATCTTTATGTCTAATCCGTGCCTCTATTTTTCCGCAGTATCGCGAGATTTATGTGGCCGTGGTGGGCGGCGCCGTCATCTGCTCGGTGCTGACGCTCTGCTGCGTCAAATATGTGACCATACTGACCTCCAGCATTGTGGGCACGGCCATGGTGATTGGCGCAATTGATTTTTTCATGCACAGCCTGGAGACAATCAACTGGATACTCAACATGAAGCCGCATCCCATGCCGCCGCCCTGCTACGGCGGCCTGCTGATCACCGCCTGGCCCGTGACCATTGTGATCAGCATCATGGTGCAGTGCTTCATCACCGCCTGGCGGGTAGATCATCGCAAGCGCATCTATATGCGGCACCATCAACAGCATCCGCATGGCGCCCACTTGCCGCACGGCCAGCCCCCGGCGCCGGGTAATCCGCATGTGCCCATGCGGCGGGCCCAGTCGCGCACCCGGGAGACCCGCGAGGAGGCGCGTCAGCGCAAATTTCGCTATCTATATCAGGTGCGCACCGCGCGCGGCGACATCATATCCCAGGTGAGTGGACGAGTCTATCATCTGTCATCCGTCCGTCTGGACGGAACCCAATGGATCCATGTCCAGACGGACGGACCCCAATGGATCCATGTATCCAACGACTTTAAAGCTAGAGTCTCAAATCTTGATGGTGGGTCGACCGCCGCGTCCATTGAGCCAACAATTCCAATATCAATATTTCAGTAGGTCGCAGTTTGAAAGTGACTGCACTTTGTCCACAGTCTGAGAGTCACTAATCTAATAATAAATAAAGCACACACTAACGATTGTCCAGTCACAGTTTGACATGGACTACTCTGCGACTACAGTTTGAGAGTCAACAATGAAATATTTAAGTAGACCCATTTCGACTGTGAGTAGCATATTTTGCAATCGGTTACTAACGAGCATCAACGATTGTCTAGTTACAGTTTGAAAGTGACTGGGCGGGGTTAACAGTTTGAGAGTCACTCAGCCAATAATCAAGGAGGCTCCATTCTTTCGACTGTGAATAGAGTATTGTGCAGTCGGTTACTACGGAGTACCATCCATTATCGAGACACAGTTTGAGAGTCCAGTAACTCTTCGGGGTCTATAGTTTGAGAGTCACGAGGCCAATAATCAAGAAGAGATACTTCGACTGTGAACAGAGTATTGTACAGTCGATTGCTATCGATAATCATCTAATATCCGTTCATAGTTTGAGAGTCGTTGATCGGGGTCAATAGTTTGAGAGTCATTCCTTCAATAACCAATGACACTCTTTGAAACTGTGAGTAGAGTACTTTACTGTCGATTGCTACCGATTATCATCCATTATCCAAACACAGTTGGAGAGTCCCTGATCTGTGTCTACTGTTTGAGAGTCACTGATCTGTACCTACAGTTTGAGAGTCACAATGCCAATAATCAAGAACATCCTAGATTGAATGTATTTTACCCTGTGAACAGCGTATTGTGTAGTCGGTTATGTCCGTTCTTAACTTATTTTCTTCTTGCCTGGGACTTGCAGAACTTTGTCTCGGCGCTGCAGAAGCGCATCCAGTTGAGCGGCACGGAGACACCGTCGGAGCGCTCAATAAAGACGAGCTCCAATGAGCGGAACACCTTCCGCAGCGATCGCACCCACTTCACGACCATCCACGATCCGGAGCTGTGCGATAAGATTGAAATCGTGCGCGACATTGGATAACAAACAAGCAATAGCTACATGTAACTATATCCGTAAGGGGGGCAGAGAGAGAGAGAGAGATAGAGCTGGACATGGGTCGGGGGCGATTATAGGACTAGAGAGCTGGACACACACTTACGGATTAGGAAAGAGCATGTAGCTATTGGTTCAAGCAGTCGAAATGAGCTGCAAACTGGCCAGAAGTTAACTTGGCAGAGAAAGAAACGGAAGAGTCGTAAGAAGAAACGGAAGATTCTTCAGAAGAAACAGAAGATGCGTCAAATAAACGGAAGATTCGTCGGAAGTAACGGAAGACTCGACAAATAAAACAGAAGATTCGTCAAATAAAATGGAAGATTCGTCAAATGAAACGGAATATTTGTCAAATAAACGAAAGATTCGTCAATAAAAGGAAGATTTGTCAAAAAAGCGAAAGATTCTTCAGAAGAAGCAGAAGATTCCTCAGAAGAAACGGAAGATTCGTCAGAAGAAACGGAAGATTCGTGAAATAAAACCCAAGATTCGTTACATAAAATGGAAGATTCGTCGGAAGAAACGGAAGATTCTTCGGAAGAAACGAAAGATTCGTCAGAAGAAACGGAAGATTCGTTGGAAGGAACGAAAGATTCGTCAGAAGAAACGAAAGATTCGTCTGAGGATGAAGAACAAGCTTTAACTTGATAATTATACGGAATATGGTAGAGAAATTTTATGAAATTTTGTTGGTTTCGGTTACGCGTAAAGCTGATATTTCAAAAATATCTTAACTAAATCCCTGGGAATAAGCTTGATAGAATATATAAAAAAAAAAGAATTGAATATATATATATATATATATATATATACATATGAGTGCAGGGCTGGGCTGGAAAGTAAACGATCTGGAGAACATTCAGTTGCCTTATACTAGCTAATATTCAACTTTTACTACGTCTTCTTTTAATTCACAATTTAGTGGAACCTTGCAAATAAGCTTGATGAACATTCAAGTTCTTGATTTCATTTTCCAAACGCGAGAATAACATTTTTCGCTGTCTTATATTTATTTTCATAAGGAAAGCTGCATAAGACAATTTTTCATCCATTTTCCGAAATTAAATTTTTCACAAACAGGCGTGAATTTGCCGAAAAGTGTGAAACATGACTCAAATAAATTCTAGATTGTGCTGGAATTTTTTGTTAAACCTTTCTTTAAAAACCTTTCCTCTGACTTTAACTCTCCGGAAAGACTCGTGCAAGTGAAAAATCGCGCGTGTTGCTTAACACTGTTCTTATTTTCCACCAAAATCGTTTACTTTTCCGTGCATTCCCGCACTTGTAGAGCATTTAACGCCAGGTCCATCGCGATCTATAGGTATTATGTATTACATAAGAAACTTTTGTTCTAGACTCGCTAAAGCGAAAAGAAACGTAAAGCTGTACTCGTTTAGGTTAAGTCGCACAAGCAGTGTTGGTTAAGTCGCACATGCAGTACCGTTAATGTAGTGTTGCGTAACAGAGTTGTAAGCAGATCGAGTTCGTGATCGAAGATCGAAGAGTGATGACGGGCCAGTTGGAATAGAGCATTGTTTCTCATCAAATGGAGCATATATAAAATATAAGAAATACATAGAATATATATGAGCCGTATCTAAGTTTTGCGTATTCCTCGTGTGCTGTCCATAAACTGGAACTAAAACTAATATGAATAATATTCACTACGCTTCACAAAAAAACAAAAATAACAGAAAAAGATTTACTACTGATTTTGTATCTGTGTTATAATTATACGAGTTGGACATGTACTAATTACATTAACATACACCTAATAAACATATATTCACCTATATTATAGATATATACACATAGATATATAGATATATATCATTATTCAAAAGATTTCAACAAATTTTTTCTAACAAAAAACCAAGAAAACTTTTTAAATATTAAGTCTCAATAGCATTTACTAATTACAACAACTGATGTTTCCTTCGATTTTGATCAAGTAATCCATAGTTATATATATATATATATATATATATATATATATATATATATATATATATATATATATATTATATATATGCATACCTATTAAGTACAATAAATTGTGTCCGAATTTGAAGGGAAAAGAAAATCTTGAAGCCAAATCTGATGGAAAATATTTGCCTATTATGGAATTTACTAAGTAAGCGAAAAGTTAGCACATTTCAAGCCAGATTTGTTTGGGCTCAAATCGAAGTAGTAGAAGAAGAGAACTTTTAGCGGGATTATCATAAGTTAAAGCTAAGCTTAAGTATAAGATCCGTGCAAACTGCAGTACAAACTCAAGTTGAAGCAATTCAATCGAAGCCCGATTAGACATTGTACGCACATTTAACATTAGGTTTACAATGCATGTTAAAGCCGCAAACTAATTTCAAGCTAAACCACAACAAAAACCGAATTGCTGCCGTCCGCAATTGTTAATTTTGGAAATTGTTTGTTTTCGACAAAAAAAAAGAAAAAAATGAAAACCTATTGGACAAACAATACTTGTTTATCGTTTGAAACGCCGTACTATATATTTAAGTTAATTAGGTTTATTTCATTTATAGCCAGAAACAATGTCTAATCAGGGTTTACTGCCAGAGTGGAAAACCTAAAAGCTCTGCATTTAAACGTTCAATATGACATATTCCAGCTAGAAATAAGAAGGGAGAAGAAAAACAACTAAGTAGCAAAACTTTGCATAAATTCAAGTAAATGCTAAAATAAATCAATACACGTATCCAGCTAAGTTTATAATAATACGTATAATAACAAATTGTAAGAAAAATAAATAATGCGAGCCACAACAAATATGACAAATGGCTTCTTTTTTTTTTTTGTTTACGGTTTACACAACATCTAGCATTTTATTTCAGCTTCTCTCAAGTTTCTTGCACGGCTAAACATATCGAATCGCGACAATTATTTGTCGCCCCAAGCCTTGGCTCTCAGTCCGACCGCAGCGCGCCCCATAGGGAAATGGCCGAAATTGTTGAATCTCTGGACGCCAAGCAAATTGAGTCCGAAATTCTGGCCAGGTGCCGCGAATCGCCAAACGGCGCCATCAGCATGGCCAATTTGTTGGCCAACAAGCAGCAGAAAGTCGCTATGCCGGGCATCTACCTGATGGCCGCCACGAATTTGGTAAATATATATATAAACTATACATGTGGGCGATTTATCTAGGAATACGGGCACATATTTGTATACAACTGACAGTTGTTTCTATAATTCCGACTGTCTATATCAAAGGAATACAGATAGGACTCGAGCATGACACTTAATTGCGTGCATTTTGAGGTTATTAAAACATAACCTCACTTCAATTCAAATACATAACTTTTAAGGTTATCAAAACATAACCTCACTTCAATTCAAATATATAACTTTTAAGGTTATTAAAACATAACCTCACTTCAATTCATAACCTAACTTCAAAGGTTATTAAAACATAACCTCACTTCAATTCAAATATATAACTTTAAAGGTTATCAAAACAAACCTCACTTCAATTCAAATATATAACTTCAAAGGTTGTTAAAACATAACCTCACTTCAATTTAAATATATAACTTCAAAGGTTATCAAAACATAACCTCACTTCAATTCAAATATATAACGATTCGGATGCAGCTCTTTAAAAGTGCCGCTCTATAATCGATATATATCGATTTTGACATTTATCGAGCAACTTCTTTTGCGCCACTTCAAATCGATAAATATATCGATTTTGGGGAAATTTAGAGACTATTCCCGAGCTTCTTAAACTTCTATCGGAGCACTAGAAATCGCTATAAATTTACGAAAAATGCTTAGATATACTTGCTCAAGATCCGGATCCAGAATATAATATATATATATATATATATATATATATATATATATATATATATATAGATATACAATGAAGTCGCAGATGCCCATTTCTCTCCCTCTTCTGGTTAGCTCCTTTTTACACTTGAAATTGATTGTAAAGCGCCATCTACAGCGCACAACTTGAACATTTGAGTTACAATGCAGATTTATCCGCAGCGTTAATTGAACTCTTTGCAGTGCAGTCAGGGCAAGGTGCGCCTGGAGCAGGAGTCACAGCAGCGGCCCAAGGAACCGACCAGTCTCCACAATCTCATAATAACGTTGATCAATTAAAAAGAAGAGATCAAACTGGAAGCTGTTGCCGTATCCTGTCCTGTTTTGTTGTTGTTGTCGATGTAATTTTCTTCTTTTTTTTCTTTTTTATTGATTAATACACATTTATTATACAGATGCCTGTGTTTCTTGTTGTTGTTGTTGTTGTTGTGTATTATCTAAAGACCAAAGAACATAGTTTAATATAGCTTAGCGCTCGGCTCCTGTTGAACATTCGTGTGTGTGTGTGTGTGTGTGGGTGTGGGTGTGGCGATGTACAGAAGAAGAAGAAACAAACGACCGACTAGGTTTTCTTTTTGTTTTGGATTGTAACAATTTTTGTTTATATTTGTTAATTTGCCTGCCCTAAACGATATTAACTAGCATAATTTAGTCGCTGTTGTTGTAGTTGTTGTTGTTGTTTTGGTTGTTGTTGTTGTTGTTGTTGTTGTTGTATTGAATGCTAGATGCGTGGGATGTGTGGGCTTAGATGCGGCCAGGGAATGTGCCGCTCTCGCGCTGATCATCCCACTTCTCGACCCAGGCATTGGGGCACATCGTCTTGTAGACCTTCTTGAAGTAGTTGCATGGGGCAAAGCTCTCGCCGCGCTTCTTCTGGCAGCGATGAAAGTCCAAATAGGATTGATAGCAATAGCGGGTCACGTTCTGGTTGGGGAAACGTGGATCGAATGGTGCGGTCTCCATCTTATAGGCGGACATGTTGTCGGCAGATGTTTTCTCGCTGTTTTTGTTTTTGGACATGAAAAATTGCATATAAATTGACTTTTAGTTGAAAACGGAAACCAACAAAAACAAAGCAAAACAAAAAAAAAACACAATTCAAAAGACAAAAAGTATTATAAACCAGGGCGAGACACAATTAATATAGATAATAATAAGTATATGTTCAAATGGATTCGATGAAAGTAAAGTAAAGTTAAGTAAAGTTAAGTAAAGTAAAGTTAAAATGTAACTTAAATTAAGAGGCAAATATAACAAATAAATGTTGTTAACAATTTCAATTTCAAAGTCAAATTTTGTTGTTCAACAAAGGAAAGTTGAGAGAAAAAGAGACAGATATAAAGTATGATAATACGTTAGTTCCATGTTCATTTCATGTCTGTCGATTTTCTATATAAGTACACACACACACACACATAATACACTCTTCTCTAGCATTACGAATTACATAAGTTTAGTTTTAGTCAAAGGAATACATAGTCCATAAATAGATACGTATTTAAATACATAGAAATCTGTACAAACTAATGCTTAAACACGTACGCTACGTATATTAATTCATATTTTATTCAGTTTGTGTTCTGTGTGTGTTTTTTTTTATCGTATCTGCCCCGTCTATGCTCCCAAAATTATATATATATATGTTGTCTCTATAAACTAGTTGATTATGGGCATAAAATAGTTAAACTCTAAAAAGAAATTGAGACCCAATAGCTTTCTCTCTCTCTCGCGCTCTCTCTTTTTTTCACAATGTGTTTTTGTTGAGAATGAGAAAAGATATGCACTTAGCTTAAAAGAAAATCCATATGGATATATCGATATATGGTTATATATATATATATATATCTATGCATATATCTATATGTATGTCTAGCTGTAGGTGTGTGTGTGTGCGTGTGTGTGCGCGTGTGCGAGACAAGATTCTAAAGCTAACGCCAAAGCGTTTTCGTTTTTTGTAACATTTTTTGCGGCCTGCTGCGTTCAAGTTCATCTTTCCGTTTGTTGTGCGTGTGTGTATAATATATATATGTGTGTGTAGTTGCAGTTGTAGGTGTGTGTGTATGGGTGTGGTCGTGTGCATCCGCATCCTGATATCCTATTTAACCAGCGGCCGCTTGCCATTGTCCGTATCGCAGGCGTTGCTCTTATACTTATTCACTTCGGCCAGATAAAGCGACCAGAAATCCTTGGGATCCACGTCCCGTTCGCTGGGCGTCTTCAGTTTGGCCACGACGCCCGTTTTCAAGATTTTGCCACCGCGTCGTCGTCCGACCAACGGTGGCGGCGGCGCCGATTTGCCAGCCGCCGCTGCGGCTATATAGGGCGCAGCCGGTGTGCTGGCCGCGCCGGCAGCTATCGCTGGCAATGGTCCAAATGGACTGGCTGCTGCTGCGCAATTCTCCAGCAGCTGTTGTTGTTCTCTTAGCGCTGCGGCGGCCGCGGCAGCTGCTGCGGCCGCAGCCGCTGTGGCAGCAGCTGTGGCGGCATCCAATTGCGGTTGCATTGGCAACGGCAACGGCAGCGGCAGCGGCAACGGCTGCGGGAAATGCTGCTGCTGCTGATGTAGCTGCGGTCGCTGTTGTTCCTCCTGCATTTTCTTAAAGAGCTCCATGAATGAGCCGTCGTTGGCGAAAACTGGATGCGATGCCTCCGGCTTGGGCGGCGGATAAACCTTGCCTTCGCGCGCAAGTGTCTCGCGCAGTTTCTCCTCGATTTCGCGATGTATGCGCTCCTTGTCGAAGGGCTCGTCCGTGTCCAGATTGTAGTAGGCACCTACGGCAGACATGGCATTGTCCCTGTTTGACCCGTTGCCATTCATCGGTCCCTGTGCACGCACCGCATCCTCCACATTGATATTGCCTCTGTTGACTTTGTTGTTGTTGCTGCTGCTGCTGCTGCCGTTGTTGTTATTGTTGTTGTTGTTGTTGCTGCTGGTGCTGCCGTGTGGCTGCTGTCGACGTGCTGAGGACGGTGGCGTTTGGGAACGACTGCGACTATCTCGCTGATAATAGCTGCGTCTGGAGTAGTCCCTGTCGCGGTCGCGATCGCGTTCGCGTTCACGCTCCCGCTCCTTCTCGCGCTCCCATGAACGATCGCGCGAATCCCTATGGTGACGATGCTGATGACGCCGCTCACCCCGATCGCGACTGTGACGTCGACGCTGGCGCTCCGCTGAGCGACTGCGACTGCGACTATAGCGACGTCGTTCAGCGGAACGGCTGCGTTCGCGCCGGCTGTTGCTGTTCCGCTCCTGATAGCCAACGCAGCGCTGGCCGCCGCGACCACGGCTGCCGCTGCGCCGGCGTTGTTGCTGCTCCGCCGGCTGTTGTTGATAATATGGTAAACGTGCCGCAGACATGTCGTTTATTTGTCCGTCTCTTACGGCTGCCACCAGTCAAGTCTGCTGCTGCTGCTGCTGCTGCTGCGACTGCGGCTGCGGCTGCGGTTGACGATCTGCAATTCAAACTGTGCCGCGTTAAATCAAACAATTGCAGTTGGGACGTTTCGTATGCGGTATACCTATACACAATATACAATATATTTCTTGATACGGTTTTCGATATGGCGACGCCTGCTGCTCTGCCGTCAAGTATTTCAAAACATATGCATGTATATGTACATTTTGATTGCCTGCTGCTTGCCTGATTGTGTGTGACCAGATGTGTTCATTTCAATTTGGTTGCCTCATGCATTATGCATGTTCTTTAGTAGGAGGCAGCCACACGCCACACACATACACTTACGGCAATATATTGCCTTCTCTTTGTAGCTGTTAACTGCTGTTAACAGAACTGGCAGAGTTGCCAAACTGAATCAAGTCGACGCGACAGATTAGTGCGAAATTATCTACCATAAAACGATTTGCGCACAATATGAAAGAACAATCATAATTTTTAGCAACAAGGATGCGTGACCTTGTCTGCAGTTGAAGGGTGCAGTTTAGATTTTTTTTTTGCAAGCGGACCACTAAGAACCACACGCACAGCTTAAAAGCTTAAGGCTGTGTGGCAGGGCCGGCGGCAACCAACAGATATAAATAAATGTGGCCACTCTTTGGGAATTAAGGCAATTCGAATATGTGCACCCGAAATTCATAATCTTATGCAATTGCAATTGACTTGGTTTCGTTAGAAATTTTGATTTGGAATAAGAATTATAAAATTTACTTGTATGCTTTATCCAGCGAACGCCGTTATGTGTACTGCTGCTGCTGCTGCTGCTACTGCTGCTGCTGCTGCTGTTGTTGTTGTTGTTGTTGTTGTTGCTGCTGCCGCTGAGATGTTATTGATGTTTGCTGTTGTTGTTGTGGTTGTCCGCAAGGTGCTGCCACCCTTTTTTTCAGCCTGCGTCAGCCTGTCGCAGCTGGTTTGATTCGTTGGTCGCGCGGTGTGGTGCGGTGGATCGCGTGCGTTTTATGTATTAAGTGCTTGCTTTGCTTTGCTTTGCTGCTGTTTGTAACTGTTTAACTGAAATCGGTTGGAAGCGGATTTTGTTCGTCCTGCATGGAAAAATGAACTTGAACGCATGAATACAAAACGTTACTTGGATCAAAACGCTGTGCAAGGAGTTTGTTTATAAATTATTACTTCTTTTTCTCATTTTCTTTTACTTTTGCTTTTCTACATTCTTTGTGGTTAGAATACAGATACGGATGGATACTTAACGAGGAGGCATCGAGCCAAGGGACGTTGCAATAATTGCGTTTCAGCGCACATTCCGAACTTATGTAACTAACGCTAAGAACTTACGTTTGTTTGCTTAATACGTAACTTACTTATGCCGAAATATAACTTTACCTCAACAAATTTGCAGTAAAATTTAATTAGAAGTTATGTAATTTATTTTTTCTTTGCCTGCTGCCAAAGCCTTTACAGCCAGCGGCGTTGAAAATGTGTATGTGTGATTGCGTGTGTGTGTGAGTATGCATGTATGTGTGCAAGACTTATGACAAATACTTAAGTGCGTGTATTGTTGCATAAATGCAATATTTGTGCCACTGTCTTACAATTTGTATTAATTGCGTTTTGTTGATTGTTTTTGCTGTGCTTGTTTCAAAAACATACCTTTGTTGTTACGGAAAGTACAAGGAAAATTTTTCAACTGCTGGGCGATTCTCGCTGTTACGAGCACGAACCAGTCGACGATAGTGTGTGAGATGAACAAAAAAATAATGCCTATTGAAAATATCGACTATATGTCAAAAACTGACAGTTAGAGCCGGGTTGCCAGATGCTCAACACAAGCGCCACCTGCCGTAAAAAAAAAAGAAATAAGAAAACCTTAACACAGTTCACGCACTTGCATCGATATCGTTATCGTTATCGGGTGTAACATTTAACATTTCCTTAGACTTTGCAATAAACACGCAAGTCGAAATCGAATTAATGCAAGTTATAGACGCTCTCTCTCGTGTAATGGGTGATTGAAAATACGCCACGCTGTTGGTCTCGATAATGGACAGCAATCCAACGGAACTCGGGGCAAAGCCAAGAACCAACAACAAAAACAATCAGCAGCGCCGCAACCAAAGCCAACGCATTGTACGCAAGCTGCCGCCGCGTGCTGCCAGCGACAGGCGAAATATTTATATTACCAGCAAGACGGACTTTAAGGTAGGCTATTCACATGCTTTTTGATTATCTACTTAAACATGTATGGTGTGCTTGCTTGACAGGCACAGCAGAAGCGATGCGAGGATCTGCTCAACGCGGGCGCTAAGGAAATCTATTTGCATTGCATGGGCTATTCGATTACACGTGGCCTCAACTTGGCATTGCGTCTCATCCAGAACTCGGACGGAGCGCTTAGCTACGCGATAAACACATCCACCATACAGCTGCTGGATGAGCTGCATCCACTGTGTGATGACGACGATATAACCTATCGCAAGCGCAACAATTCCGCGCTTCACATCAAAATCTACAACAGCAGCCTCTTCGACATCGTTGTGCCCAAGCTGCCGGCACAGCCCACGCTGCCCGGTATCAGCCACAACGAAGCCAACATAAAGCCAGCGCAAACGCAGCGCAAAACCCAGCAGCAGCAGCAGCAACAACAACAACATAAGAAACCGAAACATAAGTAAAAGAAAATGTTTAAATTATCGGAGCTGGTGCGCTGGCTGGGGCTAACCGAGTTCGAGATATTGGTTAATCTGTGCGGCCTGCTCGTCTTTACCATAACGCTGGTCTTTAAGATATCGGGCACATTTAACAATATAATGCCGGAGCTAATGTGCGACTGGTTTAGCATATTCAGTCCATTGTTCTTCATCGATATATGCAATGCATATTTTTGCGTTATTGTTGGCATACGCATGTACCTGGACTCGGATAACAAACGGAAGGCGCTGCATCGTTTCATGTGGAGCACATATTTCCTTGTACTTATCGCCATCTTCAAGTATTTGCTGTGCCTCAAGCTATCCGGCAAAACGGGCCTCGAGTACAGCGAAGTCTTCTCGCCCATTTTTGTGCTGCTGCAGCTTGTTGCGGTTCGTGCCTGCCAGCTGCCCAACTCTATTTAAAATCATCTAATCTACATTGTAAACCCCCTCCTGAAATGCCTACGATTAGTTATTATATATATATATATGTATATATATAATATTGTAAGCGAGTTATGAACATACAAATACATACAAACGTTTTTGTACACGCACTAAGCCAGCCCATTGCAATTTTTAATTATATATACATGCTGTATCACGTTGATATTTTCTTTTTGGCACTTTAAAACTTATGTTTATTCATTTTAATTAATTTAGTTTATCAATTTTGAGTTTGTGTATTTAAATGCCTTGGGAAGACCCTCAATGTCTTAACATATTGCTGTAAGAATCCGATAGTTTGTGTAACAGCGTAAATGCCTATCGATAATACATATCGATTGTGTCTTGCAGCTCCAATACTGCGTTCGCGTTTTGTTTTATTCGTTTTATTTTGTTTGCCAGTGCACAGATATGTCGACATTAAATCGCCCCAAATCCCCGCACACGCCCACGGCCATTAAGAAGGGCGAAAAGGAAGATAGCTTCTGGGACAAATTCAGTACACTTGGCCGCAAACGCGGCACTCGTGAAGGTGAGATAGATCCTCCACCGCCCCGCCTCCCCAAATTGGGCTAGCGCAGTGAAATCTGCTCAATATGGCCAAATATGGTCCAGCATCAACTGAAGCGTTGTGTTAAATGCGTGCTTACATCTTTCCATTCAATCGTGCAGTGAAATATCGCAGGAGCAGCCACTCCTTCAGCTTTTGGCCAACGTTTCGGACAACAGATGTGCATTGTCCATTGCCCATGTTATTAAAAAAAAACATTGCGTCATTTACATTTGTGACGCATACAAACAAACAAACTGATCGCTTTGGGCTGTATGTAGGTGTATATGTGCGCGTGCGTGTGTGTTCATCAGTGTGCCCACGGTGAGCGTTTCGTGTTGTTTCGTAACACGAACACGCACGCGCGACACAAAATGTCCAAGTTATACAAATTTAATAACATTAAAGTGTTTATGATAAATTAAATTAAATGTAGTAATGATGAACAGAAAATAATAAGGATTTTTAAAATGTGCGCGCTGTCTTCGTTTTTAAGCTTACGTGTTTTCGTGTTCACACGAGCCCATCTCTAATTTGGGTGCTTGTTGCGTGTCGCATTTGTGACGTCACCATCTATTGTTTACATGGCGCTATTGCCTGCTCACTCACTCACACACACACACACTCATACACTCTTCACTTGTGTCGTTGCAGTTAAGAAAATCCAAGAAGAAGGCAAATATGCAATCGACTCGCCCGGCTCACCCAATCAGTTTGACATCCCGCCCGAGGATTACGCGCTGCGTGAGTATTGGAATTGGGTTAATTTATGACCTGACATATTAATCTTTATTTGTACTGTTAGGTGAGCATGAACAACGCGCCGTTATTGATCCGCAATCGAACAACGATCCGGAGATGTTGAAGCTGCAAAAGATTCTCATCGATTGGATCAACGATGAGCTTGCCGAGCAGCGCATCATTGTCCAGCAGCTGGAAGAGGACATGTACGATGGCCAGGTGCTGCACAAGCTCTGGGAGAAGTTGACCGGCAAAAAGCTGGACGTGCCCGAGGTGACACAGTCCGAGCAGGGTCAGCACGAGAAACTCAGCATTGTGCTGAAAGCGGTCAACCATGTGAGTTGGCCATCAAGAGATGCCTTAACTATGATTAACATGAACTTGGTTTTCCAAGCTTCCTTCATTAACTCCGCCTGTGGCTCGTCCTTGGTTCGGTTCTCCCTTTTCCAATTGTATATTGAGCAAGTCTTAAGTCATACCCTGTACAAAGAGGCAAATAGAGGGTGTAATTGTCTTGTACCAGGCAGCAGCAGGCATCCCCATAAAGCATTTGCATATTCTTGTTCAAGACGAGTAGCTGAGTCCATGTCCTTCTGCTCTGAAATCTAAAATATATATATATACTCATTTATGTTGCTTGCTTTTCGGTTTTTGAAGAACCAGCTTATCGCTTTGTGGTAGTTCCTTCTGAATTCTCTCAAGCTGGAGTCCTGGCCCTCTTCCCACCAAAAAGCAGTTGATATCCTTGACTAACCTATATATTCTGTATGTCACAGACACTTGGCTTCCATCAGAAGATACCCAAATGGTCGGTGGCCAGCGTCCACTCGAAGAACATTGTGGCCATATTGCATTTATTGGTCGCTCTGGTGCGTCATTTTCGGGCGCCAGTGCGTCTGCCGGAGAATGTCTTTGTCACGGTGGTCATTGCCGAGAAGAATGCGGGCGTCCTGAATGCACAGTAAGTTGATGCGGAACAACCAAGCCCACGAGCCGATCCATTCGATTCATCATCATGTTTGCAGAAAATTCCAGGAGCAAATCACGTCCGAGTACGATGATCTGGGCATGCGTTGCGAGAAGGATGCCTTCGATACGCTAATTGATTGTGCGCCCGACAAGCTGGCCGTGGTTAAGAAGTCCCTGATCACGTTCGTCAACAAGCACTTGGCCAAACTGAACTTTGAGATCAACGATCTGAACACAGATTTCCGGGATGGGGTCTATCTGTGCCTGCTGATGGGACTGCTGGGCGGCTTCTTTGTGCCGCTGCATGAGTTCCATTTGACGCCGCAGGATGTCGATCAGATGGTCAACAATGTGGCGTTCGCCTTCGACCTGATGCAGGATGTCGGCCTGCCCAAGCCAAAGGCACGCCCCGAAGACATCGTTAACATGGATCTGAAGTCCACGCTGCGTGTTCTCTACAGCCTGTTCACCATGTTCCGAGAATATGCCTGAGCTAAATGTCATTTCTCTATGTCTAATCAATTATTTTTCTATTTTTTTAGTTTTTTTTTTTTTCGTTATAAATTAATAATTTATGCATGCTTAAATCGTAAATCGGAAATGAAATTGAATTCGAAAATGTCCTAACTGTATTCAAGTGTTCTAACTGTTTATATATATGTATTATATATGCATGTGTGTGCGTGTGTGTGCATCTAATCCCGTTGTAAGCTGTTGGCCGCGGCAACGAAAAGCTAACCCGCCCGATTGTTAAGTTGCTTTAGTTGTTACTAAATGAATTTATATACATTTTATAATTGTATTAATAAATGTGCCTTGACAATTCGTAAAAGTTGCTTGTGTATGTTTTTTTTTTCTGATAATATCTGTAAATGTACATACATTGCTTGTTCGTATATATATACGTATGTATGTATGTATATATAATGGCTTTTCGTTTAATGTTGTTTGTCACACACTCAGAGACATATAGAGAAATGGAAAAAGTATCAAAAAATTATATTGTGTAATTTCGAATAATCGTCTTAGTTAAACACGAAACAACTTGAAATTGCTGCATTTTGAATTAACGTACACCAGTCGAGGGAATTTTGTGGCAGATTGCGCGTTGCCAGACTGTTGGCAGCAAACAACAGCGGCCTGCAGCGATGTACATTAACAGCGCCTCAAATTTGCGTTAACAGGACACAAATTGGCGTTAACAGCGCTGTTAAGTAAACAACTCAAATTTGCGCTAACGGAAAGCAGCTGACTGCCCATGTGGAAAGAATTCATACGACGTCACAGCTATCAAAGTAAGGTAGCTCCAAATCGAGAGGGCGCCCGATTGATTATACGCCGTCTACAAAAAACTGTTCTGCGAATATTGCGAGATCCAGATTTTAAGATGTCAAAAACATCATTTCAGCAAAAGCCAACCGAACCGGAACCGCCGGTTGATGGGACACAATTCAGCGCGCATCGAAACAGCAAACAAGATAGCAACTGTCGCACCTGCAACGATTTCAAGTCATGGTCGAAACAACAGCGTCTCATTTCAAATACGCAAGCAGCTAAGGTAAATCGTTATCATTGTGCATTTGAAAAGTGCTCCTGGCACTTCGTTTACGCATTTCTCAATTATTATTTGCATTTGATGTCAGGAAAAGCATATGGCAAGCGAGAAGCTAACTGTGAACGCAGCAGGCATCGCAGCGCCCCGAGAAGATTGTCCACTGGATAAAGTGCGCCTGGGCATATCTACCTGGGGCCTGCTGCATACCATGGCAGCCTTTTATTCCGACAATCCCACTGATACGGAGAAACGTGATATGCGTACATTTTTTGAGGTGCTCTCACGCTTGTATCCATGCGAGTATTGTGCCAAAGACTTTCGCACAGAGTAAGTGTGACCGCATTATTAAATCATTGTTGATACACTCACACCTTCCCTCTCTCTATACCATGCAGCATTGAAGTAAATCCAATTAATGTCAATTCACAAAAGGATTTGGCGCTGTGGCTGTGTAAATTTCATAATCGAGTAAATGACAAGCTTGGCAAACCGCTGTTCGATTGCAGCAAAGTAAATGAGAGGTGGCGTGACGGCTGGCTAGATGGTTCCTGTGATTAGGTCTATGAAATTAGTTGCAAGATACCACGCAACACACACACAAACACAAACACAAACACACACACACACACACGCACACGCACTAATTTACTAACACACAATGCAACTCTAGCGCTAGAGTCCACCCCCCCTTCACCTACCACCACGACCACCAACATTTAAAGCGATGTGACAAAATTTCGATCATTTAATTTTCGTAACGTATTTGAACAGATAGAATTAACCCAATACGCGTGTAAAATTAATTCGGCTCCAGAGATTTTCAGTTTCAGTTCCATTTGGGTATCGAGGCGCCAGCGATAACATTCTGATGACACAACCACCCAACATTACCCCCTCACCAATCCCACAACTCCCGCCGATACCACCAGATTAAGTAGTATATACATACATATGTATACATATATATTTTATAATTTTCAAATGTTATCAAAGTTAACGTTCAATGTTGGTCGGGCGATGAATATGTGAGAGTTGTATTGTGGTACAAAATTTCGTATTTTTCTGTTTGTATTATAAAATCAATAACTAAATTAAAACTTTGCAGTTATTCTTTCTATGCTGGGTCGACATCACGATTTTAACATTTACATCTAAATTTACAGAAATTGCATCACTTTTCTTTAATGAATTTCACAATTCCTTCTATGGAGCTGTGAGCTGCGGCTTCTGTTATTTTGGGTTATGTTAATGTAAAGTTATCTAAAAGTTCAATGTCCGTGTATTGCGGCAGATGCCCCAACTGTTGCATATGCATACAGTGAAGGCTGACACTAACGGACAGCTTCCTTGGACGGACATATAATTTAGCTGAGATCCGTGTTTCCTATCTACTACAGGCTATTAATACTGTTCGCCAGTACGCACAATTTTAATTGTTTCTCAAATTAACATTTACAAGCTGTGCCGCCAAAAATACGCAGTGTTGCCATATCGTCAACAATAGCAGATTTAGTGTTTTTTGGCAAATAAATATATGCATGCACATTTGATTAGGCATGTAGATAAATAAATTATACAAAAAAAAAAAATAGTTTCCAAAATTATAATTAAGAAACTAATTTCGATTTATCGACAATTCAATTGAAATGGTTCTCATCTCGCCTGTTGCTCCCTTTGCTTTTGAAGGTCGGCCTGAGTTTCTGACGTATTCTAGGCTCTCCCTATTCTCGCCATCTTTTATTCCGGCAAGCTCATACATATTTTGCGCTCTCTTCGCTCGCAGTCAATTTCAATTGAACAAGCGGTGCTGACGGTCTGTTATCGCGTGCTTTTTCAAATAAACTAACAATTCACATAAAATTGTCGAGCCGAGTAGACGTCCCGGTTTTTTTTTTGCGCAATAAACAAAAAAAAAAAGTTTGCGTCGACGCGCTTAATTAACTAAACTAGCAGCAAATACCCAAACGTATTAAACAAATTAAAGTAAGTTTGAGGCAGTTAGCAACAAGAGACAGGGAACAGATTTGCAAATTATGTACATTTCGCAGATAATTGACAAAATCAAAGAGAAATTACAGCTGAGCGTAAGCCCTATATGATGATTGCCGTTGTTGTTGTTGTTCTTCTTATTGTGAAGAAGATTATTTCACAAGTTTTGCGCACAATTTCTATGTATAATGCATACGTACACATACATAGCTTTATTGGCACGTACAAACGCACACACACACACACACACACATGCAGCCACAGACGTTTCCGTTGATTTTTTTTTTTGCAATTTTAGCCGGCAACAAAAACGTCATGGCGGCAACAGCTATTGAATTGTCCGGCATTCTTGTATATTTGCATTGATTCGAAAGTAATTTCACATTAGGCACATACTTGTAATTGCAAACGTTTAATATTTGATACAATTTCGTGCCATTTGCCACAAACCACACACGAAGAGAGGGAGAGAGTGAGAGAGAGAGAGTCTGCAAGTCATTCGGTTCTTGCATCCATCTTCTCTTTAATTGGAAATTTTTGGCCGCCATTTTGTTCAGGTTTCGCCCTTTTCAAAATTCGTCTAATCACGATTGCCAATTGGCAGAGGAAACAAAAAAAGAAGGTAGAAAAATCGACAAAAGGAAGGGAAAAATTTACCAATTTGTAGAAAAAAAGAAAGAAAGTAGAATTCCAATTAGTAAAGCAACAAGTTTGGCCGAATTTGTCATCACTTCTGATAAAAATAATGCCATATTTTCGACCTTTATTTTGAACTTTGTTCAGATGCCCCAAATCCAGAAGGCCGCTCCCGATTTCTCCGGCACCGCCGTGGTGGGTGGACAATTCAAGGACATCAAGCTGAGCGACTACAAGGGCAAATACTTGGTGCTGTTCTTCTATCCGTTGGACTTCACCTTTGTGTGCCCGACCGAGATAATTGCGTTCTCGGATCATGCGGCCGAGTTCCGTAAGATCAATTGCGAGTTGATTGGCTGCTCCACAGACAGCCAGTTCACCCACTTGGCGTGGATCAATACCGCACGCAAACAGGGCGGCCTGGGCAACATGGACATTCCATTGTTGGCCGACAAATCGATGAAGGTGGCACGCGATTACGGTGTACTGGATGAGGCCACTGGCATACCATTCCGCGGCCTCTTCATCATCGATGACAAGCAGAATTTGCGCCAGATAACCATCAACGATTTGCCAGTGGGCCGCAGCGTTGAGGAGACACTGCGTCTGGTCCAGGCATTCCAGTATACCGACAAGTATGGCGAGGTGTGCCCAGCCAACTGGAAGCCCGGCCAGAAGACCATGGTGGCCGATCCCACCAAGTCCAAGGAGTACTTTGCCACCACATCCTAAGCACCTCCAACGCCGGGCAACAAATTTTGTTTGTCCCCCTCCCCAATCTTTGGTGCAGTGCGTCGCCCCAACGCAGGCTGTTGAGAAGGAAGACAAGAAAATCTAATTGCGTCGCACTTGCAACCAAACAGAGGCTGCTCACACACACACACCTATATAATATTATTATAATACATACATACGTATACATATATTATAAACCTAGCGCTAGGTCGCATGAATGTACCCCCCCCCCCCCTAGCAACCCACACACACAAACGAACACATGTAATTTAAGCAGAAAGTTTCAACAAGTTCTGTTTACTTGCAACAATAAAAGCCCGCATTGAGTAGTAATTAAACACGTGGACTTCATTCGCCGCATAACATTTATTTATTTTTATCTCCGCTGTTGCCGTCCCGTCCAAGCAGTTCGACTTTGGCTTATCTTTCGACTCTGCACGTTGCGAGTTGGCCGCGTCTGGCCTGGTTATGATAACGATATTTCCAATCTATGCGGCTGCCTCACGTAACGCTCCACGTGTTGCACGTGTCTGGCGGAGGCGGCATCAACCTGTTGGCCCACTGTCAAGTGCAGCTCCCGTTGTCGGTTTTTGGTTTCCTTTTCATTGCGTATGCTGCTGCAGGCCACGTGACCGACTGTGCAGTGTTGCCAGCTCTGCCGATTTCCCGCCAACTCTAGGCATTCCAGTGGAACGCAAATTGGTTTCCTTTTCTTGTAGCGGGTTTTTCGCTTTTTTCTATTTGATCGCCAGTGTTGCGAAGTGTGTGTGTTTTTTCCCAACAAATTTGGCTATTTTAGTAAAACGAATCACAATTTTAACTTATTAAGCTTAGAATTCGCAAGAAACTTAAAGCTTAACAATCAACAGTTATTTACCCAATGAGCTTGTCCCACCCAAGTGCTACTTCACTTCACTATATGTGATGCATGTATGTGTATACATATATATGCATCAATTGTCTATAGCAAAGATAGCCGAGGCATATAGTATTAATAATATATTAATATAATATATTTGATATAAAGCTGGCGAATCTCTTTTGAAATAATTAGCTTTTTTGCGGCCACTTTTTTCACTAATCTAGCCTTTTTTTTCTGCTCACAAGCTGGCAACACTGTCGTTTGGTGTCAGCTTTCGCTTCGGAGCCAGCATCAAGGCATGCGTCAGCAGACTTCTCAGCTTGACTTTATTACTGTGTTGTTGTTGTTGTTGTTGTTGTTGCGATTCTAGCGCATCACGCGTTGTGCCATTTAAGACAAGGTCTACGTCCCCGTCTCTTTGGCCAAACTCGTTTTGCACACACACACACACACACACGCGCGGGCGCACTTACTCGCAAAGCTTTGAGCCAGCTGCTAACTCGGTCGAACCTACCAGAAACCGAAACCCTTTCCAATGCTCGCCGGCTGTGTTGTTTTTTATTTAATGTACATACATACATACATATGTACATTTATACATACGCTTGTATGTACATCTGTGTGTTTGCATATGTATATTTATGTACATAATTTAGGTGAGCTTGTGCGGCGACAGCTGCTGAAAAAAGTTGCTAAATTACTTACCTGTGTGTATGCATGTGTGTGTGTTCAAAGAACATTTGAATATATGTGTGCACAGACACACGCACACACGCGCACACATGGATACGTATTCATTTGTATTCAATTCTAAGGCGAAATCCTAGCTTGTACAAAACATGCACACATATACATATGTGTGTATGTATGTATGTACGGCTCTTAGCATGCGTGTGGGTGCATAAGCTCAAAGTCGCAAATCATAAACTTGTTGCTAGACTGCTCCCTAATGTTAACTAGACTATTTGCTAAAACAATTATCTTAATGACTGCGGCGCGGCTTGCTGAATCATACCGTTTGTATTTCCAGTTCTTGTCTATGACAATTTCAAGTATCTTTGCAAGAGTTGCGAAAGGCGCTGCAAAACGTAAAGGAACAACAGTTACATATGTCGAGAACGTGCAACATAATTATCGTCATCACAATTATCATTAGCGCTGTCTAAGACAAATTTCGCCGATGCGGCGAATTGAGAACCTTTTGCAGCTTTGACATTTGTTGATTGTAAGAAGAGGAAAACAAATCAAATGAACAGTTAGCGCAAATGCATTGCAGGAAATGACATTCCAATGGCAAATCAAAACGCATACATATAAAGCACAACCAAATACATACATACATATATGCATGTACATGTGCACACACACATGCGTACCATTCACATTCACAACTGTCTGGTTTGTCGGGCAATATAAATTATTATTAGTTTTGTTGGCGCAAAGTTTTATGGCTTGCTTTGATACAAATACATACATGCATGCACATACATATATAGTCAGGAACTGATAAGGGTAAAAAGTCGGTGTCGCGACAGACGCCATTAGAATGCCGTGTGGAAAGGCCATACATATACATATATACGTATGTATGTATGTGCATATTTTGATTCTGCCATTTTGAGGACCTAATCTGGGAAACAATTTCGATTAAATATGAACAGTTGTACACGTACACACGTGTACTCAGGTATGACAAGATGTTAAGCCCTGATAGGCAACTGTTCGATATTATTAATAACAAAAAGGGAGGAGGAGGGGGTGGGTGCATTTGCCCCCCCAGCCCTGCTAATTGATGTACATCGACACGCAATGTTGCTGCTGCATAGTTTTTTTTTTGTATGTCGATTCAATTTGCACTTAATTGATTTTTGATTACAGCAAAATTGACAATTCATTCAGGTCCTTTGTTTGCGTGTGCCAGCTAATTGGTATTTTTTTTCGTATTCAAAAAGTAACCACTTTTAATCAAAGTTGAGTTCGATTAGTTGATTATCGATAAATGATAAGCCCGAAAGTGTGCAACACTTTTTTTTGTTTCAATGTTCCCAATTAATTAGCATGCTGCCAACTTGGCTTAAAAAATGTTATAAATTATGCATAAAAAACACATTTGGTGCTGTTTAAAAATTAAATTTACGCTTATCCATACTTGTATAAAACTACCTCATTAATGTTTGCTTACGACTTACCCTAACCTTTTCAGCGTAACCTTGGCCCGTCGCCGTCAATAGTGTTTCGTTTATTATCCTATTCAAGCTGAAGACGGGCGCGGAACTATTTAAAGCTCGGTCTGGTTCGATTCGTGATGCAATGTTGCAAAATAACCGAACTTTTAGAATTTATTTGGCACAGGTGGCAACGCTTTTTCCATACATTGAAAGGTAAAGAGTTCTGGAGCTCCTGATTTTTATTATTTGCAGTGATTTCAACAAAATTGTGGAATTTGAAATTTTTCAGTCCAGACCAGCAGGAACATTATCTGACATGACTGGGCAGTAGCCGGGATCCGTATTAAATATGAGATCCGGCGCGCATTTCATATTTCAAGCTGGGCCCTCACACGGGAATTCTCCTAACCGAGATTTGTTCTCATCAAATTTACATCTTTTGCTTACGGACAAGTGCGCAGAGCCCCGTTAGAACCTGGGTTAGATAGATGACACGGGGATTGTTTATAGTTACAACATTTACTGCAGTTTTGTCACTTGAAGCTTACATTTGTATGAAAAAAGCGATTGTTATTAAAAATTATGTATTCATCATTTTATTTCGCGTTTTCTTGTGAATCATTCAGGTTGTCTTTGAACGATGTTTGAAGTTATTTATTGTTCACATGAACGTATTTTTTTTTATTTATCTTATTTGTTTTTTTTGATATTATCGCGACGGGGAAATAAAACAACTTGTACATATTTCAACTCCCCACACACACAAAATAGCTTTAGATGTTGCTGGCTTGTCCTACTGCTCCAGTAGCGACCATTTAGAAGAAGAAACCAAGGATTTTGCCACCCAGATGTTTTCTTCTGGCCTCCTCGTGATCCATAATGCCGCCGGATGTGGTCAACACGACATAGCCGAACTGGCGAGAGGGCAGCAGATTGTTGGTCCACTTCTCAATGTCGTTGATGGGCACATCGAAGCGTGGCGAGATGACGCCGCATTTGTTCAGACGTCCGGTAAGGTTGACAACGATCTTGCCAGAGCGATGATCATCAACAATCTCGAATTCGCCGATATAGCCGTGCTTCATCATCACAGTAAGAAACTTGATGATGACTTTGGAGCAGGGGCGCAACAGCACCTGACGCTTGCCGCGCTTTTCTGCGTTGTTAATGCACTTCAGGGCATCGGCCAATACGTTCATACGCACCATGGCTGCAATTAAAAACAAATTAGTTTCTCTTCCACAGGCAAACAATAAAAAAATTGATGAGCAAAAAAAAAAAAACACGTGCAAATGCGGCGCCTTGAAAATATGCTACTGCCAACTCTCCTATCCCCCCCTCGCACAACGACAACAGTGTTGGAGCAGGGTTCACAGAGTTGCACTGAGAACTGTGTGCCCGGCTATGTAAACAACAACAACAACGTCAAGTTTGTCATATCACAAGCAGCCCAATATTCGTGCTCCCGACAGCATTTGTCATTTTTGTTTTACAACCTACTTTTTTGCATTAACCATTTGCACTACCACATCCCAGTTAGTCACAGTAACAACAACAACAACAAAAACAGCTCTGTTGATGCTGCCAAACATGACGGCAACGGCGGTCTTTAGAACATTGCTTCACAGAAACAGAAAAAAATATATTAAAAAAAAAATGATTGGATTGCCGTTTGATTTGCATTGTTTTCATATGCGTGCATGCACTGAAATTGTTCGCAAGTTGCGCATTAGGCAACTCATCGCAGTTGCGCTAATGCCGTCAAAACATCTTAGTTTCATTTCATACACAATAAAAAAAAAGTATATATGTCGAGTTTTTTTGCACAAATTTTCAAGGCACACGCACAAAATCCATAGCGCATATTAAGCAAGCGATATTATTGTAATATTTGCCGTGTTTCTAACAATAAATCAGGTAAAATTTAACGTAGATTACCTAAGATTTAATTTTGTGGTTTTTCAACACAAATTTACACGACCGCGAACGTATCGGAAAAGAGGAAGTCCATCTTGCCGCATTTGACAGCTGCAGCTGTCAGTGGTGAGCGCACACGCAGGGTTGCTAACAGCGCAGAGTTGCTTTGATATAATTCAGTGGCTGGCTGACATTCAACAACACTAGCTGTGATTTTTTCGTTTGCCAACACTGCAGCATAAACAAAATGTCAAAACAGTGAGTTTTTACAATAATTTGCGAAAATATTAAAGCTAATTTCAGAAACACTCAACAGATTTGGCCTCATCATACCTGGCCAACAGAAAAAGCAGCCAGTAAAACCATTAGATCAAACCAAGCCTTCCATTTTCGATGAGAGCAGCAACAGCTCGGTCAGCGACCATGACGCGGATGCGCCAAAAATGCGCCTCAGCGGCAAAGCGGGAGTGGTCAGTGGACCCAGTCTGATGGATCGTGTGGCGCGCATTGTGCAAGAGAAGGCTCTGGCCGAGGACCCAACCATTTTTCAGTATGACGAGCTCTACGACGTTATGGACACGAAACGTGAGGAGGCCAAAGAAACCAAAAGGCTGGAGCCGCGCAAAGCCAAGTATATTGGCCGCCTAATGGAGCATGCTGAGCGACGTAAGCTGGAGAACGAGCTGCGTGTTGAGCGTCAAGTGCAAAAGGATCGCGAAGCGGAGGGCGAAATGTACAAGGACAAGGACACATATGTGACAGCAGCGTATCGCAAGAAGCTCGAATCCATACGCCAACTGCAAGAGCAGGACAAGCGTGATGAGTACCTAGAAGCCATTGGCGATGTGACGAAGCAAAATGATCTGGATGGCTTCTACAGGCATCTGTATGAACAGAAATTGGGCACCCAACAGCCAGTGCTCAAGCCCAAGACAGCGCCCAGCACATCGGATGTGGCCTATAAGCCAATCAAGCGCGATGCGCCCGGCTCCAGTAAACAGCGCAGCTACAGAAGGCGTCGTTCCTCGGCAGAAGAAGAGAAGCCAGAGGCGGCGGCAGCGGCAGCTACAGATGAAACCAAGGCTGGCAGTAGCAGCACAAAGGCGCATCTGGCCAACAATATAGATGCCGATTCAGACTTTAGCATTGACGACTCCAGCGACGAGGAGGAGCAGCAACAGCCGCAGCAGCAGCAGCAGGAGCAGCAAAAAGAACCGCCAGCAGCCAGTGCAAATGGCGTCAAGTCGACGGTCAAGCCCCTGCCACAACCTGATGCCAAACATAAGGACAAGCAGTCCGAGCCAGAGACGGAGTCTACGCCGAAACCCAAAGAGCAGGGCGCCGACGTCGTCAGCGAGTTGGCCAAGGAGTCGGAGTCGGAGGATGTGCTGGCGGTTGTCAGGACGCCCGTCGATCGAAGCTACATTTGGCTCAAACGCACCGTGGGCGAAGCATTTGATGCAGCACTCGCTCGTTACCATCAACGCAAACTGGCCAGACGTGCCTGATCCCGGCTCAATTTGTGACAACTTAAACATTAAACGGCGCCTCGCACTCAATGTTAATTTTAAATATATGCTTATGTACATAGATATTCACGTATATATATGTAAATTATGCGAGTGCTTCCTTTGCGCAAATATTTTGCCAACAGGCATTTGCATAGCCCGGAAAAAGACAATAATGATACAGTAAAAACTCGCTTGACGGAACAAAGCTAGCATCAAAATTGGTTTGGAAAATAAAATGTCTGAAAGGAAACTTGTAACGAGTTTTTTTTTTTTTTTTTTTAAATTTAATTCAAAAGACAAGTAAAATAAGAATAAGGCGCATTACGTGTTCGTTCCAGGGAGCTTTCACTGTAGTCCATTTTTATTTTATATGTATACGGAACACAAAATAAAAAATAAAAAAAACCTAACAAAGACCAAGTTGGCGTTAGTTATTTCCTTTTTTTTTTGGGATTTTTTTTTTTTTGTATTTTTACTTTAGCCGCAAATGCTGCAAATCCCTTTTATAAATAGGTGTGTCCGTCATAAAAGCGAAAGCCGGCAACGCTGAGCTGACATGGTTTGGAGCTGTTGTCGGTCGTCGCAGCGCATTGCAGACATATGTATGTATGTACGTACACAAAAGACAGAGTAATACATACACACATACATACACAGACTGCAACCACGAATAGAACGTGCTGTTGTCAGTAGCATTTCCTTACTTTTGATGTTGTCAACGTTCGCGTTTACCTCTTCTTCTTGTTCGGCCTCGTCCTCATCCTTGCCGTCGTGTCAGCGAAATTAATATAGAAATCCATTTTCTATTTGGCAAGACTTGTGCTATCTCTGTCTTTTGCACAGCCGCCATTGGTGCTGAGTGCAATTGGGTTGCCAGATGTCTCGCATGTGCGCTCTGTTTTATTCATGCCCCCCCCCCCCCCCCCCCCCCCCCCCCCATTCCATCATTTTCAGCTTTATGCTAACATATGTACAAGCGAATGTTGGAGCTTCCAGCAGGTGGCTTGACTTTTGCTTGCCTCTTTGATTGTGTCATCAATCACAAGTTGCGGTTGTCCTTGTTTTTTGTTGCCGTTTCCGTTGATATTTGTACTACATTTTAGGCAAATTAATATGATTGCTGCAGAGCAGTTACCTTAAGCTGGACAGAGAAAGTGTTATTGCCATCGCATTCTGCATCGTGCATGCGATCGCAAATAAGGTCTTGCGTCTCTTTCTATTAGCCACTCGAAATGTATTAACTCTTCCCCGGAATAATTGCTTCAATCAAATGCAGCTAACTTCGGAATCCATTCAAAAAATATATTTTCGAGCAGAAAAGTGGAAACTGAACTTTCTTATCGATAAGTATCGATATCGATATTCCGTAAATTGGGCACACTCGACTTCGCTTCATACGTATAAGTTATTGCTAGCCCCTTTATTTGGTCCAATTGTCTCATTTTGGAACTGCAGCCCCAGCATCAGCAGCAACAGCAACAGCTTCTTCCCAATGTGCTCCGTAATCAATTTGTGATCATAATTACGTGGCTTTGGTTTTGGCCTTCCGCCTTTGGCGTAATTCACGAATAGCACAATTTCACTCTGAGGGACCAGAACAAAGGCAAACATTGGAGCATGTGGCTGCTGCCTGCCGCCTGTTACCACTCGCAATAAACCAGAGTAAAGGCTTAAAGATGTGATCATTCACGTGTAAATTCAATTATCAAAATTTCCAATGCGCCCGCTTCCAACTGCTGTGGTCAGTTGGGCTGCTACGGCCTGTGCATGTGTGCACTGAGAGAAAAACGAACTATTAAAAAGTTAGAAGGTAACGGAGATAGGTACAAAATGCTTTATGCACTTGCTGCAACTGGTTCGGTTCACAGTTCGGTTCACAGTTCGCAAAAAAAAACAATTTGGCCTGCAAAGGATCTGGTAACATTGATTTGTGCTCGATATGAGTACATTTTGGTTATGTATTTCGCTGAGTGTGTGTGTGTGTGTGTGTGTGCATGTGTGCTTGTGCGTGTTGGTGATTTATATGTGCAGCAGACGCAGGCCAAGGCACAGGAGCAGGCGCGTCCAAAATTCCGCTGCAATGGACAGCAGCATGTAATGAAAAACTGCGCATGGCTAGAAGATGGCAAGGGTTGTGCGGACGGGCCACAGGGGTAAAGTTGTGAGGGGTAGCTGAAGGTTGGCTGCCAGTCGCCAAGGCGAAATGACAAGCACACACACACACACGCACACACACGCCACGTATCATTGCCGCTGCATCTCTTTGTATGTGTGTGTGTGTGTGCGTGCATTGTCGCTTGCAGTGGGCGTAGGCGTTGGTGTAGGACGAGTGCAGCAAGGGGGGGGGAGGGGGGTGGGGTTGTGTGCTGCCTAATAAGCAGGAAATTAAAATGTTATATGCATTGCCCCATTGCCCCATGGCTGCCGGGCTGCCGGGCTGCCGCTTCGTTCCGTCTTTCACTGGCATTGTCAACTCTGGCTCTGCTGCGGCGGCTGCGGCTGCGGCTGCTGCTATTTTCCGTTCTTTTTTTTTTTTGTTATTGCTCATTGTGACCTACCGCCTACCGCCTACCGCCTGCCGCCCACCGCCTTGAAGTATGCATTATTTTTACGTGTCAGTGCGCATTTTTGGCATAATTGAAGCACAAACAGCGCTGCCTGCCTGTGGCTGCGGCTGCTCTGAAGGTCGCCCTGACGACATGACATTGCGTATACGCCACCGAGAGGTTGGGTCCAGCAGCGGTGAGGGGGGGGGGGGGGGGTGGGTTTGGTGCTGACGGATCGGGGTTTAGTTGGTTCAAGTTTTGCCCGGCCAAAACTATGCGCCAACAATAACAACAACAACAACAACAACAGAAATTTCAATACAAGAGCAAAGTTTACGGCCCCAAAACAGTTCTTTCGGCGACAATTTGTATGCTCTGTTGACAAAGTGAAGAAGAGTATATGGGTTATGTGCACAGTCCGTCTGTTTGTTGGTCCGACCGAACTATATAGGAGAGAGAGAGAGAGAAGGAAATCACATCAATAGAGGCAGGGCTTACCTCAATTTATGAGAATCACGGAGAAAGGCGGCTGAAGTGTTTGAATAGTTACGTTTTTAGTTTGACACAGTTTTAGTTTTACGGTCACATTACAAAAAAATCACAACACTTACTGAAATTACCTTAAATTGGGCAGGCCTGGCTTGACTTTTTGAGAATCGCCGAGAAAGGCGGCCAATTTTAGTTAACATTACACTTTTAGTTGTAAGCCCACGTTCAACACTTCACCAAAAAAAAAATAACATATCACTGAAATTACATGAAAATTAGCAGGCCTTACTTGAATTTTTGAGAATCGCCGAGAAAGGCGTTTGTTAAGTTCACAACAATTTTAATTAACATTACACTTTAGTCGTAAGCCACTGTTGAACACTTCACCAAAAAAAAAAAAAACATATCACTGAAATTACATTTAAGTAAGCAGGCCTTACTTGAATTTTTGAGAATCGCCGAGGAGGACGGTCATTATTTTTAAACTATTAATACGAATTAATATATGCTAGTTATGGTTGAGTATTTCTTACTCGATTGACTTCTTTCTCTCATTACTTTTTCAAGCTCTCTCTCACTTCTCTTTGTTTTCCAGTCTCTTTTACTCGCTCTCTTTGTACTCTCACTAGCGCTCTCTCTCTTTCTCTCTCAAATTCCACTTGTATCTAACAATCTCTCTATCTGTCGAGTCTCTCTTACCTTTCAACTTTTGCTCTTGCTCTCCCTTACTAATTTTCTCTATATTTTCCTCTCATATCTTATCTCTCTCTCTCTTTCTCTATGTCTCCATCACTTCTCCCTGAATTCTCAGTGTTGTTGTCACCCCTCTTACTCACCTCTCGCTTTCTTGTTCACTCTCACTTATTCTCTTTCCAAATTTATTTTTTTCTTTTACTGTCTCTCACTTTCCCAATCTCTTTTACTTTGTCACTCATTCTTTGTCTCGTATTTTTTCATTCTCTCTTTCTAGTTTGCACTCTCTATCTATCTGATTGTCGTACCACTCTCTCTCTCTCTCTCTCTCTCCTTGTTCCCTATCGTTTTCTTACCACTCTGTCTCTCTCTCGCTCTCTCTCTTTTTTCTTTCTATCTTTCCCTTACCACTCTCTGTCTTTTATCCATTCTATCTCACACACACACACACTTTCGCACGGTTTCTTTTTATTGTGTTTCTCCCTCTCTCTCTCTCACAGTTACTCACAAATACTCACTCTAACTATATTTTTTCTCTCTCGCCTTTTGCTCGCACTCTTTCTATTTCTCCCGATCTCACTCTCTCTCTTTCTCTATCTTATCCACTCTCCCACCTCACGAAGCCTTTCTCTCTCCATCTCTCTCCATTCTGTCTCGCTCTGTCTTCTGGTCTCCCTTTCTCTCTGTCTCACCCATTCTCCCCCTCTCTCTCTATCTTATCCACTCTCTCTTCCCACCTCTCGTAACCTTTCTCTCACTCTCACTCTCACTCTTCCTCCCTCTCACTCTCTCTCACTCTCACTCTCACTCTCACTCTTCCTCCCTCTCACTCTCACTCTCACTCTCACTCTCACTCTCACTCTCACTCTCACTCTCACTCTCTCTCTCACTCTCACTCTCACTATCACTCTCACTCTCACTCTCACTCTCTCTCTCTCTCTCACTCTCACTCTCACTCTCACTCTCACTCTCACTCTCACTCTCACTCTCACTCTCACTCTCACTCTCACTCTCACTCTCACTCTCTCTCTCTCTCTCTCTCTCTCTCTCGCTCTCTTGCTCTCTTACTCTCTTGCTCTCTTAATCTCTCTCTCTCTCTCTCTCTCTCTCTCTCTCTCTTGCTCTCTCTCTCTCTCTCTCTCTCTCTCTCTCGCTCTCTTGCTCTCTCTCCCTCTGTCTTTTTCTCTCTCTCTCTTTCTCTCTGCTACCCAATCTTATTCTCTCTCGCTCTCTCTCCCTCTCACCCTCTCTCTCTCTCTCTATCTTATCCACTCTCCCACCTCTCGTAGCCTTTCTCCCTCTCTTCCTCTCTCTCACGCTCACCCTTTCTCTCCCTCTGTGTCTCTTCCTCCCTCTTACCCTCTCTCTCTCTCTGTTACTCTCTCTCTCTTTCTTAACCACTCTCCCTCTCTCTCTCCTCTTTCTCCCCGCCTCACGTAGCCTTTCTCTCTCTCTTCCTCTCTCTCTCTCTCTCTCTCTCCCCCTCTCTCTCTCTCTCTTACCCACTCACCCTCTCTCTCGCTCTTTCTTACCCACTTTCATTTTGTCTCGCTCTCTCTTGTCCATCCTCTCGCTCTCCCCTTTATACTTTCTTACCCTCTCCGATCATCTTTGCCTCTGCCAGTTTTCGGTATACCCTCCCTAGATCTCTATTTGATTTACTGACTTTCCCTCTTACGAAACTTTTCTTTCTTTTACCCGGCTGCAAGTTACGCATTTGTTTAAAATAACTTTTTCATCGTATGCTGCAATTTGGTTTCAGTTGCAACTTCTTATTACGCATGGGCGTGGCAGCCCCCCCCCCTCCCTTTGTCGCATCAGTTACGTCGACCCTTCTTCATTGTGGGAGCTCGCGTTCTGTGCAAAACCTAATTAAAAGTGCTTTATTATGCAATTAATGTCGAGATAATATCGCATTCGCATTGTGCTGCATTTTGCTGCAGCAGCCATCAAGCAGCAAGACGCGATGGTGGGCGAGGGGGAAGGGGGCAAGGGGGGGGGGGGTGGTGGTGGTGGTGGTATGGGAGTTATGATGAGTTGGTCGTGTCGTCTATCGAGTTTTCGATTAAAATGAAAATCAAATTTCGTGTTCATGAAATTTGAGAAATATTAGAAGGTAAAGCCAATTAAGAACACAAAAACCAATTAATGTTGATTACGCAACAGAAGTAAAAACAATCGGACGTTTTACTGATTCACATTTGATGCGAGCGTGGCGTTGCCACGTGCATATGCGTGCATGTCGTATCGTGTTTCCCTTTCGTCGTGTTATGCATGTCGTGTCGTGTATGCGACACGTGCCCATCGCTAAACATCGCATCGCATTTGGTTTCGCTGTGGGTCAAAGTCAAAACTTGGTTTACTTTCGCAGTCTTTGCGTCTCTCTCTCTCTCTCTCGCTCGCACTCTCTGCCTCATTGTTGACAATTATTTTGCATAAATTTGAGTGTGCCCAAAAAACAAAAACAAAAAAAATACTAAGAAAAAGAATGTTGTAATATTGTCATTTTATATTCGGCCATTGCCCGGTCAGTCATCATCCAATTTCTGGTGGGTGGCGGCGGGTTCTTTGCACTTGGCTCTTGTCTTTGCTTGGCCCTGATTTATGTGAATTTTGTGCTTTGGCCCAAAAATGCGATCGGCCCCGCCGCCCCGCCGCCATGATGCTGTTGCTTCTTCTTCTTCTTCTTCGACTGCTGCATCTAGCTCACACACACACGCACACGCGCGCAGGGAGTTATTTGTGAGTGTGCTGGTATTGGTGTGGGCATTGCTGTTTATACGATAAAACGCAAAGCATGCTAATTTATTGCTGTTGATTTTAATAACTTTTGCCAGTTTTGCTATGCAACAACGCCCAGATAACTATGCTAAACTTTATTGAGTCCATGTGTGTGTGTGTGTGTGTACAGTTATTCGGAATTGTGTTGCTTGCATTCGATATATGTATGTATATGTATATTTACTGGATTATCTGGGTTATCCGTTGTAGGCGTTGCCACATTGCGGCCGGCCACAGGGTGACCCAGGTGTGGCATTTATCCAATTACAGGATCACATCAACGAATGCATGAATCTGTTTTTTATGCAACTGGCCTAAAATAAGCTCGGGCCAATGTAACGGCTGGCCTTATACAAACAGCGCAGCGTGTACACATATTTGATCAGAGATGTAGGCGTGGCCCAAGAGTTACAGCCTCTGTCATATGGCAGCAGTTCAGCGTTGGGCTTGGCTCTTGTCCACTTTGAATGGCATATTTATAATTACAATTCAAATTAGCTTGTATTCATGGCATTCGTTAGGCGCTGTTCGTCGCAATTGCAGTCCGTAATTGGACACACAAGAGCAGCGGCTGGCCTCGACTGCAGTTCCCCTGTTCGCCCTGTGCTCGTGCCGGCGTTGCCCAATCGCCCAACTGCCCAGACTGCCCAGACTGCCCAGACTGGCAGCCAATAATAATGCGAGTAATTTGCACAAATTATCCCGCTCACTTAAAACTTTGACGCTGATGTCCAAAATGGCAAATTGCAACAGATTTCGGGTGCAGCTTACAGTTTTTGCCAATTTCTACAATAATTTCTCATCAATCGATGCAAACATATTTTTTTTAATGTATTTTTGTGTGTGTTTAAAACTTTACGCGCAAAGTTAGCCAACTGTTTGGCGGAGTGCAGAGTGGCGGAAGGGTGGAGGGGTAGGCAGAGTTGCCAGAAATTCAATTGAAATTGCATTGAAATAATTTAGCATTTCCCATTATTGTGTACATTAAACAAGCATCAACACAAAAGGAATGTAAATGCGTTGCCATGTATTTGTGCGTGTGTGTGTGTGTGTGTCCGTGTGTGTGTGTGTGTATTTGATATTTTATTATTTGCTTCGCTTTATTCGCACAATTCGAATTTGCGCAATTTATTTGCTTTGACTCTTCAACTTTTCGACAGCAGCTGGAATTATACAAATTTGTTTCAATTGCTTTGTTATTGTTGTTATTCTTCTTCTTTTTGTTGTTGTTGTTGTTGTTGCAGGCCTCAATTGAAAACTAAGCCAGGCTAAATCGAAATGCTTTCTGCGATTTGTTGCCAAGCAAATGCAGTAATTAATTTTGCCAAAAATTAGACACAATTTAATCGCTTCGCGCACTTGAATATTAAATCTAATTAATATTGAGCAAAAGTTAACTTTTCACTTGGCCTCCATATTGAATTGACAGTGAGTCACCCTGTGCCTGCGCTGAGGATCGCCCACATAAGTATGCTATAAATTATGGGCAACATACCGGCTGTGCAAATTGTTTGGCATTTTCTTCAATATATTGTTAAATTATAATTCAAATATAAAGTTTTCTAATAAAAATATCCTCGATCTTTCATTAAAATAGAAAGTTCGTGTTTTTGTCTCAATTTATGGTTTTCTGATTAATTGTATAGATATTTAATTTTGTTAACTACCATAATTGTTTTTTTTTTGTTTGGGTCAAATTTTTATAGGTAAAACGAAATAATTTTTTATTTTTTAATTGCAAAAACCAACTTGGCTGGTTTGTGTCTAAATAATTGCTTTGCTTAACATTTCGTTAAGTTGGCCTCTGTTAAGCATATTCGTTAAATTTGCTTCGGTTCGTTAAACTTAAGGTGAGTTTCGTTAAGTGTGGAACTTGTATCCAACTTACAATCTACACTTGGCTAGCCAAGTTGACAACCATCTACAAAATTTATAGCAAATGAATTCTGTCCCAAAGCCTGGTCGCAAACCAGTCAAAATAGGTCTAACTAAAGCTTGCTTAGCGCAGACAGGCAACCAAAGCTTTACAGCTTAAGAGAGCCGAAAGAGAGCACACCATTTGCAAGCTCTTCAATAATGCGCATACGCTGCGTAAGCTGCGAGCCGCAGCCTGCTTTTGGGCGCGTTCGCTCGCTCAGTTGGCCGCGCGATGTCGCCCAGCATGGACAACGCCATGGACGATGCGTTACGCACACAATTGGCCAATTGCCGTTGCTCAGCTTCTGCCAGCAGCTGCTGTTCGCGTTGCTATTGTTATTGTTGCTGCTCTTGTTATTGTTGTCGTTGTTGTTGTGTTTCTTGTTATTAACGCCAGCAGCATCGCGGCCATTGTTATTGTTAATTTGCGGCGAAACATTTAACATTTACTGTTACCTTTTGCTTGTGGCGCCCTGTGATATTGTCAAGCGGAATTTAAAGAAACATATTCAAAAAAAATAAAAAATAAAACTTAAATAGAATAAAATATATATATATATATATATATATATGTAAAGCAAGTGCGCAGTAAAGTGAAAATTTGGCTAATTAAGCTTGAAGTGAGTGGGCAAAAATGCTAAATATTGCAATATATATATGTTACATTTGTTAAATAAATATATTTTGATTTTGTTTTGTGGCGAAATACATTTTAGTGCGTGCAGCTTGAAGCAAAGCGAAAGTAAAAGCAGCAGCTACTTGCATACTACCGCAATGTAATTGCGCGTGTGTGCGTGTGTGTGTGTGTGTGTGTGTGTGTGTGCGTGTCTCTTCTTCCGCCAACATGCTCCAATTTTGTGTTATCTTCTGCCTCTCACTTTTGATTGCTTTGACTTTCGCTGGATTCTTTTTGCTCTACAACTTTCGCTTTTAAATAGCTGGCGTGCGTGTGTGTGTGCGTGTGTGTGTGTGTGTGTGTGAGTACTATGGCTTTGAGCTACGACTGTTTGACGTGACCGAAACTCATTTGGCTGCCAATTGGACCAACCGTTTCACTGTCCAGCCAAAAGCAGGTCACAGTTGCCCTTCGCACAATCAACCCCCGCCCATCGCCTCGTTCATTGTCTTGGTTTGGCACATAAATCAGCCAGATAAGTCATATAAGTTAATAACATATTGAAATCCTCTTCATTTTACTATCTACGTATTTCTTATTTCTCCATCTTTGTTTAAGAGTGCCCAACTTGACTTTAGAGCAAAATACTGCACATGTATATTGCCTATACTATATATACCATATATAGCCTATACTAAAATACTTACTATAGCTGTACAACACTAGATGTTGTGGCTGCAGGTTCAATATTGCTAACAATTTTGTTCTGCATATTTGTCACACTGTGCACAGTGGAATGACCTCGCAGTAGGTTAATGAAAAGTAGTTGTTGTTGCTGCTGCTGCTGCAAAAGTTCTGCAGTTACTTGGGATGACAAAATGGCTGCCCTCTCACTCTCACTCTCTCTCTCTCTCCATCTCGCTCACTCCTGCTCTCTTTGTGTGCGTGTAGAGCTCATTAAACGCTTATTTAATTATAATGCATTTATGTTGCTGCATAATTAAAACAAAATGCTGCCGCCTGCAATTTTCGTCAACGAAATGCCATTTTTAGTATTTTTGGCAGTTAAGTGCGAAACGGGGCCATTTGGCGGTAGTCCCCCGCGCCGCGCGCCCCACTCCCTCAACCCCAAGCAGCACTAAGGAGGAGGCTGCGAGCGGGTTGCGGCTGCAGGCCAGGAAGTGGCCGTATTAGGCTAATGGGCTCTCAGCCAAGAAGAGGAAGCAGAGCAAGAAACATGATTATGTCAGCTGTGAATGTGACCAGCTCAGATGGGATTAACTTTGCTCTTATTATATATATACATGCATGTATTTGTATGTATGTGTGGACACAACAGTTAAAGTCCGCGTGCCGGTGTGCATTGCCACGCCCTCGCTGCAACTGCCATATAACAGTCTTTGATCTGTTATAAATATGTTATGTTAGTACAAATAGCTCAAATATCCTATATAGAAGATGTAGGTCAAAATTGCCTACCCTCATAGCTGGGTCAAATCTGATCCGATTTTCACGAGAATTGGCTCTTTGTTCATGGTTTGGCCTCTAGATCAATTTGGCATCCAACTCTGGCAAACAAATATCCTATATTGACATAGGCCTTTCCTATGGCAGCTATGTATATGACATAGGGATCCGGCGTGAATCAGAGAAGTTGATAGAGGAAGAGCCAGAGGAGGAGATGGAGGAGGAGTTAGCAGGGACAAAGGAGAAGGCAGAGAAGAAGATGAAGGAGAAGACGGAGAAAAAGACGCAGGAGGTGGCAGAGGAGTTGACAGAGGAAGAGGAGGAGATGGAGGAGGAGGCAGAGGAGGAGATGGAGGAGGAGGAGGAGGCAAAGGAGGAGGTGACAGGGACAAAGGAGGAGGCAGAGAAGAAGATGAAGAAGTAGACGGAGAAGAAGACGGAGAAAAAGACGCAGGAGGTGACAGAGGAGTTGGCAGAGAAGGCGACGGAGGAGGACTAGGACTAAGAGTCTTGATAACATCAAGCACATTTTTGGCCATTTCCAATGTGAGGAATAGTTTTGATACATTGTCAACGTTAAGCGACAGCCGACAGCTGTTTGGTCTTTGAAGTGAAAATGCTGCAGCTTTGGTTACAAATTCAATCAAAAAACTGTCAACAGTCAGCTGACAAGCGGTCGGTGGGGGAAGGTGGGGCAGGTTGTCGGTTGAGGCTGCATAGAAATGAAAATAGAAATACAAAACAGAAATAGAAACACAAATAGAAATAGAGACAGACACCTGCCGCACACAATCATAGGACATGATATGAGCTGGGATGAGTTGATAGCGCTGGGCTGATGTAAGGCGATGCTAGATGAAAGTGTTGACGCCCGTCACTCGTTTCCCATTGTTTGCACCTCTCTGTGTCTTGGACTTTCCCTCTCATCGTTTTGGTTTAATTTTAAGTTTGCATCCGAAAGGCCGCTGAAATAACTGTGCCAAGTGGTCGCCGATTGGAGCTGAGCGCGTGCTCAAGGGTTTGTCCCAACGGAGCGAACTGGATACCGATAGACAATAGAAAGGTTTACGCTGACAGATGTCCCGATGAAAGGCTGTTAAGGGAAGAAGGAATGCCTTTCACAGAGAAGTTAACACGTGACAGGAGTAGGTGATGCCCAGCGAGAGGGAGGGTAGTGTCAAAAGGTTTTTTCGTGAAGGATTACGATAGGCCGGAGGCAAGGACACCACAGCCAGGAGTGCCCAGGGCGAAAGAGATGGTCTTGTGGAAGTGCTTCCCCTCATGCCTCAAAGTAGGGATACTTTTATGGGAGCAGCTTAGTCCAGGAAAATATATTGCAAAGGAAGTAGATACAATGTTTCGATGGGGAAACTCTTCCTGTCGAGAGGGAGGCGTGGTTACAGCGAGTGGAACTAAGTCAGGGAATGGTCCAAATAAGAATGCGTCCTTTAGAGAAGAGGCAGTGTGGCATGGCTTTCCTCCGAGTGATAGCAACAAAAGTGGAGTATCCTTACGATAGGTAGGACGGAAGGCCTTTAACTAGGGGTCACTCATAAGGAAGGAGTGAGAGCTAAGTAATAGATACATTGCGGAAAGGGATGTGGAATAGCCAATGTCTTAGAGCTTCCCAGAGAAACGGAGTAACGGAAGGATGTCTCCTTAGAGGCAGGGTTTCCTCTAAGCAAGTAGCAGGGAGGTCGAATGTCCTGATAAAGGGGAGAAAAGCCTATGTCTGAGGAGCGACGGAAGGATGGCTCCTTAGAGGCAGGGTTTCCTCTAAGCAAGCAGCAGGGAGGTCGAATGTCCTGATAAAGGCAGGAACAGCCAATGTATTAGAGCTTCCTAAAGAAACGGACCGACGGAAGGATGTCTCCGTAAGCGCAAGTCGGTAGCGGTTTCCTCTGAGCAAGCAGCAGACAGGTCGGATGTGCCGATGGGACCACAAGGGCTGAGCGATAGATGCACCTTGTAGCACTCACCTGAAGTCAGGCTAATTCCAAGGATATTCCTTGCCCGTTCCAGCTGACATCCAAGAGGAAATGCACGCCGCCACGAGCTGCTGCTAACCTGCCTGGCTGACTAGTTACCTGGCTAGAGCTATGGACAGCGCACCCATGTCGCTGGCATTTAGCAGCCTGGGGCTGCTGCTGCTGCTACTGGTGATGGGGATGTGCGTGCTGTTGGCCTGTCGTTGCTTGGGTCCGCGTGCCGCCAGCTGGATGCGAATGCGCTCCAGCAAGGAGGAGAAGATTGGCCTGTCCAAGCACAAGCTGTTCCATCCCAATGGCTACATGGCCAGCGTGAGTAGCGCAGCTCCAGCTGCAGCCGGAGTCCATATTCAATCGTTTTTACTGCCCGCAGATACAATCCGGCTCCGAGTTTCTGCTGAGCACCAGCGGCAGCTTCAAGCGCTTCGATACCATTGACAAGGACGACCACAATCGCTCCCAGCAGCAGCTGCTGCAGCTGCAGCAACTGCAACAGCAGCAGCAGCAACAGTTGCTGATGGGCAATGGAGGCGATAACATGACCACGACGACGACCACGACGACGACGACTCCTTTGTGGAATCTGCCACAGGCGGATGTCAGCATTCCGCCGCAGCCGCTGCGCCCGGCGCCGGCGCCCAACAGCGCCGGGCCCAGCAGCAAGACGGTCACCTTCTCCTTCAGCCAGATCAATGAGCTGGACTCGCCAACGAGCCAGGAGCCGCGCTCCTGCCTGCGCCCGGCAACTGTTGCGGCTGCTCTGCCGCAGCCACTGGAGGCGCCGCCGCCGCCACGACTAACCACATCCGCATCGGTGACGCTCTCGGCGACGGCCATACCGCGTCCTATTGCCAAGCGGCAGGTCTCGCTGCAGCAGGGCATCAATCGCAGCACAGAACCCGCAACGCCCCCGTCCCAATCCCAGTCCCAGCCGGAGCGTCGTCCGCCGGCGCTAAAGCGTCGCAACTCGAGCACGAATCCCTTTCTGTGCGAATCCATGGAACAACTGCCGCCGGCGACACCACCGCCACCAGCGGAGCAACTGCCGCCGGCGGCGGCGCAGCACAATGGCAATCCCTTTGTGCACGGCCAGAGCCTGTCCAGCCGTCTGCTCCGGCTGCAAAACGCCAACAATCCATTCACGGGGCTGACGCAGCGCGTCAAAGGGCCGCACATGCTGCAGAAGACCATCTCGGAGGATTATCTGTTCCGCAAGCTGGGCGCCAACGGACAGCTGCCCAATGGACATGGACATGGCGCCGCGAATGGCAACGGCAACTCCACCTGGTGCTTTGGACGTTCGCTGCTGCGCCAGGACTCGAGCATCAGCCTGGGCCTGGGCAGGCGGAACAGCTCCCAAATGTCGCTAGATGGCTCCATTGAGGGCATCCATTTGGAGCACGGCATCTCGTGCGATTCGGTCAACTCGGATGCCTCCTCGCTGTGCCTGGACCAGCTCGATCAGCCGTACACGCAAATCACGGGCTATCTGTGCGTCGGCCTGCAGTACGACAAGTGAGTGCCCATTCATTCAAATAAATATCCATTTGATGCATGCGACACTCATCTTTCAGGCACAACAGCAACAGCGGCCAGAACGAGGAGGAGGATCAGCTGGAGCTGACGGTCAGCGTGCTGGAGGCCAAGGGACTCATCTGTCCGCTCAGCATGGGGCTCGACTCGCTGGACACATTCGTGCGCATCTACCTAGTGCCCGATCATGCGGGCGGCATGCAGACCAAGGTGAGTAAAAGCAAATCTAGCAATGGAGCTTTAAGAAAGCTTTAAGTCTTAAGTGAGCTTTTAGCTCGAAGGAGTTAAAGAAAGCTTCAGATTTGACCATTTGAGAATGAACAAAATAGTAAAGAAAAAGAAAACAAGGATAATCGAAGTTTAAGCTTTAAGAAAGCTTTAAGGCTTAAGAGAGCTTTTAGCTCTAAGGAGTAGCTTAGGTCTCACTTAAAGCGAATGTCATGAGGATTCACATTTTTGTGCCCTCCGACAGGTGGTTCAGTCAACGCTGACGCCAGCCTACAATGAGAGCTTCAACTTTCGACTGAAGCGACAGGCGGGCAGGCACTCGTTGTGGTTCCATCTGTACCACAATGGGCCCGCGCATACGCTGATCGGCGAGGCGGAGATGGAGATTGGCGAGATGGCGCGTCCAATAACCACGTGGATACCATTGTCCGATTCGCGCAAATGCAACGCACGCTGGGGTGAGCTGATGTTCTCGCTAAGCTATCTGCCCACAGCGGAGCGCCTCACCATAGTCGTGGTGAAGGCGCGCAATCTCAAACTGGACCTGGACCTAGAAGCGGAGCAGCAGCAGCAGCAGCAATCGCCCACAGCTGCCGCAGTGCAGCACGTGTTTGTCAAGGTAAGCAGTGGGGATTTGGGATCAAGAGGTCAAACCATGAGCTCCATGTGGATATGTTCGTTTAGGTTTATCTGCTGAACAACGACAAGATGGTGCTGAAGAAGCGCACCTCGCTGAAGCGCAAGGATCGCTGCCCCATTTTCAACGAGTCGATGATCTTCAGCGTGCCGCCCCAGGGCCTGACCACGGTCCAGCTGCGCTTGACCGTCTTCGGTGTCACCGACAACGGTATCGTGCCGCTGGGTCATGTCATTGCCGGCAGCTGTGCGGTGGGCAAGGGTCTGCGCCACTGGCACCAGATGCTCTCCTCGCTGCGCAAGCCGGTCGCCATGTGGCATGTGCTGCGACGCGCTGCCAACCAGCCCGTCTTCATTGGCGGCGCCGAGGCCGTTGTCGCCGCCATGCAGAGCACCCTGCAGCGGGCGAGCGCCAAGCGCAACAGCATCGTCTAGAGGGTTGAGAAGATGGAGCTGACGTGGGAGTGGCAACTGGAGCGAGAGTTGTAGTGTGAGTGGGAGCAGAAAATGGAGCGGAAGCTGAAGCAGGAAGTGGAACGAGAGCTGGAGCGGGAACTGGAGCAGGAACATGACCAGCAACTGAAGCAAGAAGTGGAGCAAGAGTTTCAGTGACAGCAACAACTGCAGCAAGAACTGGAGCCAGAGGTGGAACGAGAACTGGAGCAGGAAGTAAATCAAGAGCTGGAGCTAGAGCTGGAGCAAGAACTGGAGCAAGAACTGGAGCAAGAACTGGAGCAGGAGCTAGAGCTGGAGCAAGAACTGGAGCAGGAGCTAGAGCGAGAACTTTAGTAGATGCTGAAATGGGAACTGGAGCGGGAACTGGCAAATGAACTGGAATGAAAACTATAGTGGGACCTGGAGTGGGAGCTGGAACAAGAGCTGGAGCAAGAACTGAAGCGAGAGCTGGAGCCAGAGCTGGAGCGAGAACTAAAGCAAGAACTGGAGCAAGGACTTTAGTGGCTGCTGAAGTGGGAACTGGAGCGACAGCTGGCAAAGGAACTGGAGCGAAAACTATAGTGGGAGCTGAAGTGGGAACTGGAGCAAGAGCTGGAGCAAGAACTGGAGCAACACACCTGTTGCGAGAACTGGATCGAGAACTGGAGCAGGAGCTAGAGCAAGGACTGGAGCTTGACCAGGAGCGAGACCTGGAGCGAGAACTTTAGTGGAAACTGGAGCGGGAACTGGCAAAGGAAGTGGAGCGAAAACTTTAGTGGGAGCTGGAGTGAGAACTCGAGTGTCTGCTGGATCAGGAGCTGGTATGGGATATCCAGCGAGAACTTAAACGTAAGCTGGATTAAGAGCTGTATCTAAAATTAGAGTCGCATTTAGCAGCGACCATTTTGAGCCAATTGCCATAGACAGAAGCCACATTCTCCCTCGCTTCAGCCACAACCCACAACCCAGAATCCATTACCCATATCCAACTGCCATGTGCCCTTGTCCCACCTTCAAGATGGCAGCCTGTGCATTGCATTTACTAAATTTCTTACTTTTCTACAAATTTCCTACAACAAATGCGCAATAGGGCATTTAGGTTTAGGCATTACCTAGTACATAGGCGTAATACCAGATACCAGAAAAATCTTCGAAACTATTCGAGAAAACCTTAAACTAAACTTAACAGAAACCCCGCACCAAAGGACAAATCGAGCCTATTAACTAGCTATATATATACACACACACACATATATAAAGATATATACTATATATATACAAATCTATATAGCAGTATTTAGTATATACTGAATATATACTATACATACTATATGTAGTCGTATGCATGCACAATATTTATGTACTTATTAAATACTGCACGCACTCATTGTTATCATGCATTTACCACTTATCGATAATTATCGAACTGCTTAATATCGATCAGCGTATAAACTAGATCAAGCTCTTCGGCAAGTCGAATATTGAATACCCTTGCCATACTGCAAGAAATCCAATTCAATTTGGATTCCTCAACTTCAATCAAGCCGACTTTGTATTTTTGATTTATGAAAAGACCGAGAAATTATTGCGATAGCTTATTTGGATATTGTAAAGATTTTAAATATCTGATGGTTGCAAAATGATAGTTCCATATATTACTGAATGACTGTCATTGACTGTGTCGAGATAACAAAGATCGAATATGTCTACTCATAAATAACTGACTGACGGCTGATTGACTGACTAATTGACTGACTGACTAACTGACTGAATGACTGACTGACTGACCGATTGATTGCGATTGATCTTACCTGACGAGATTTTCGATAACAACGTTGGAATATGCCTACTCATGATTGACTGACTGACTGACTGACTGACTGATTGACTGATTGACTATCTGATTGACTGACTAATTGACTGACTGACAGACTAACTGACTGACTGACTGACTGATTGACTGACTGACTGACTAACTGATTGACTGATTGACTGACTGACTGACTGAATGGCTGATTGACTGGCTGACTGATTTACTAATTGACTGACTGACTGACTGACTGATTGACTGGCTGATTGACTGACTGACTGACTGATTGACTGACTAACTGATTGGCTGGTTAATTGACTGAAGGATTGCGATAGATGTTTTGAATGCAAGTCGGGATTGCGATATATCTCTTGCGACAATATTTTCGATAACACAGATCGGACATATATACTCATATTTAACTGACTGACTGACTGACTGACTGACTGATTGACTCACTGACTGACTGACTAACTGACTGGCTGGTTGATTGACTGACTGACTCATTGACTGACTGACTGACTGACTGACTGACTGACTGACTGACTGGTTGATTGACTGATTGACTGACTGACTCGTTGACTGACTAACTGATTGACTGACCAACTGATTGGCTGGTTAATTGACTGAATGATTGCGATAGATGTTTTGAATGCAAGTCGGGATTGCAATAGATCTCTTGCGACGATATTTTCGATAACACAGATTGGACATATCTACTCATATTTAACTGACTGACTGACTGACTGACTGATTGACTGACTAATTTACTGACTGATTGACTACGATGGATATTTTGTGACAAGAATTTCGACAACTTCCAATTGAATGTGCACTCTTATGTTTTGCATCCGAACTGTTTCAGGCGCAAATTAAAAAACCCTCCTTGAAATACATGAATGGGCTAATTTGAAGGGTGTCAAATAACATACCTAGCCCGGGCAAAGCCGGTTAATACCTCCCAGTTGTCTCTCGCAAGGGTATAAAAGTAAAAAAAAACACACATTTGTTATAAACAAATTTAAAATGAAAATAAATAATTAAATAAAACAAATGAAATCAAATAGAAACGAGCAACAGTTGGACGCCTAACTGAAGGAAACACATAATTTATGTCTGAGAATAAATGCTGGCTACTTTTTAAGAAGTTAACTTATAAATTATATGCATAAATATCGAAATATATAAATATATATATATATATATATATATATATTATATTCTATGAATAGATAAAACGTTTTCTGGCAATCAAGATTGTTGAAATACCTAAATACAAAATGGAAAAAATTCACAGTAAAGATAAAGAATTGCATATGAAGGAAAAACCCGATTCGAGCAATGTGATATGTAATAATTCAGATTTACCTAATTAAACGAGATATATGTGAACGTATATGTGTATTCGTATTCGTATTCGTATTCGTATTCGTAATTGTATTTGTATTCGTAAATGTATTTGTATTCGTATTCGTAAATGTATTCGTATTTGTATTTGAATTTGTATTCGTATTTGAATTTATATTCAATTGAAAGCTAGCAAGTATTTACGAATGGTATTATACTAGATATATATCTATATATATATCTATTCGATAAATCGAGAGACTTAGCACAGTTTGGAGTTTACAGATGCGTTTTCGAGAAGAATTACCAAAGAAACCATAATCAAAATGCACATAAATCCGATCGATTCGATCGTTATTGTGTTCCAGTAAGAACATTTCTTTGCTAACTTCGGCAGGCCGAAGATGAAATACCCTAACCTTGTGGAATGAGCGAGAAGCGGACAGAATATAGCGAATATCCGGAACAACATGTAAGGTTTACCATACAAAAACTTGAAGTACTCTATGATAAAGATAATATATATATCCTTTGTTATATCAGGAATCAGCTCTATAATATCACAGTCAAGGTATATATAGAGTCCATATATATATAGATGGAAAAATGGAAAAACAGAAAAAAAACGTTTGCAAATAAGAACTTTCTTTTCCTCAAATGAAAGATACTTCCGATCGAGAGACAAACAGAGCTCTATAAACACGAACTTCCAGAATATATTGACTTAATATTTCCGTTTCTCACATTCTACAAGAACGAAAACCGAAAGCGAAACAAGTTTAAGCAAAAGACAATAACTTTGCAAGCATTTAAGAACAAAGATTCCAAAACCAATTATTAAACATAAAATAATATAATTGAAACACCTATTGTTCCCCAGGTTAATTACCTAACGCGCACCTGTATACATATTCCTTCGATCTATAGCTATGCATATTCCATGAAATCTGAGAAATCTGAGAACTTTATAAATGACCAATCAATCCAAAACCTGGCACACAACCTTTAGCAGCTTTAATCTTCCAACTAACAAGTAAATATAAAACGAACAAAGTTTTAAATTAATATAAAAACTAAGAAATAACTGTAATTGCTTAGAAAATGAATTATTAAAACATCAGTTTTGTACTTTAACAAAGAGTCTCAAGCATAAAATAGCTAAAAATTGTTAAAAACTTAGTTAAATAATTCTCATGTTGAATATTTGTATTAACATACATGCATTTGCTATATACACACACACACACACACACACACACACACACACACACACACACACACACACACACACACACACACACACACACACACATTACACATACTACATATACCTTATATATACATATACATATATATATATATATCTATATTGGATAGATGTAAATGATCTATATGCGAATGCTACAAATTGTTATACAAATAAAAATCGAATTGAAATAAAACAAAAGAACATTCAAAAAGATTAACAACTCCGCTCAACAGAGTTAAATCGACCGGAGCATACCCTGTAATTGAATATGACTTGATTTTAAGCTGAAGACTTGGAAGCAACTAGATTCTGGTTTCGCATATTCTGTGCATGAAAGACAGAGATACACTCAATCCAGAGAAAAGTCTCACGCTGGGCATATATACAGAGTATTAGAGTATTATATTAGAGTATTGTAGAAATATATAGCATTTTATAAGACAATTATAGATCTTGCAGGTTCAAGAAGATAAGATATTGGTTCACAATAAGTCAGAGCAAAACCGATTTCAACCTAACCCAACTTAAAATTCATTCAGTATAACAGAATAATTTTATAGAGTATTATAGATATTTAAAGTCCCATCAAATAGTATGCAGATTATTTGCCGTTTTTCTAAAGAAGAAGCATAATTATTTCACTATAAATCAGAGAAAAACCCCAATTTCAACCTAACCCAACTTTCAATGCATTCAATATTATAGAGTATTATAAAGTCCCATAAAAAATATGATATCAACTAATCGGGTTTTTTTTTTCTAAAGAAGAAGCATCAATATTTCTCAAAGTATTTTCAATATAAAAGAATCAAAGCAGGGGGAATTAACCTAAAATCTTCTACAGATTTATAGGTAAGCATAAAGAATTAAAGAATAATGATACCCCTTGGTGTGCCTTTGGGCACAGGGTATACAAAGTGAAAAAGTGAAATCTTGCACAAAACAAAGCAATTAAAATTGATACTCTTGTGGACACACACACGCACGCACACACACAGCAGACGACAGCTGGACAGATATAGAGATACATTTGTATCTTTGTGCGGTTTTCAATTGAATTTCCAATTTCAATTTCAATTTGGCTGATGCCAGCCAGCTGTGCTGCCATTGGATCAGCTATTTTTAGTCGCTGCGATTAGCAGCCAATGGGCAGCCAGGCTGGCAGACGCAGCAGGGATTCATCTGCGGCCGGGCCAGACCACTTGACGTCGTCGACTCGCGCCGCTGCCAGACTGTCTGGGAGCGTGAGTGTGTGTCAAGTAGCAAAGACCACGCCACGGCAGCTCGACGGCGATCGGCGTTCGACACCCACAACCGGATCGGGCGTCCTTGCCTTAAATGTGTGCAACGAGCGCGGCATCCTTTCAGTTGATAGCTGCCCGTGCTGCTGCGAACGTCTCTTTGAACTAAAGAATCGAATTGGATAACAACGTGATGCAGTCGCTGCCCGTTAACATGGCCAGTAGCTCCAAGGAGCGCCGCCTGCTGCGCACGCCCAAATGTGCGCGCTGTCGCAATCATGGCGTCATCTCGTGCGTCAAGGGCCACAAGAAGCTGTGCCGCTGGCGCGAATGCTGTTGCCCCAACTGTCAGCTGGTCGTCGATCGGCAGCGCGTCATGGCCGCCCAGGTGGCACTGCGACGCCAACAGACCATGGAGGCGCTGGAGGCGCATGCCGCCGAGCCGCAGTCCATTGCCAGCGATGAGGAGCCAACGCCGACGCCAACGCCGCCCCATTCGCTGCCAAACATAGCTGTTGGCTCCACATTGACCACGCCCACCAAATATAGCACCATGGCAGCCAATACGCTGCGCACACGCCAGGCCCTGATCGCCCAGAAGCGCATCTACAAGCAACGGCTGCGCAATCTGCAACAGTCCACATTGCACATTACCGCGGCCATAGAAGGTAAGTCCAATACCTGACAAAAATAGCTGAAAAAAGGCTAAATCGAAGCTGGTTAAGAAGTAGACGTAGAAGGCAGTTACATCTCTAAATTACACTTAAGCAAAATAAGAGGCAACAGTTCAATCAAATGTCACAAAAGTCAAACGTCCTGAAAGTGCATAAAGTCGAAAAAGCAAACTTGTGCATGCAAAATAGTCCATTTTCAAGCTAATAGCTATTTAAAAATGAAAAAATACTAGATTTAGCTAGAAAACGGCTAAATTAGCAGCAACGCTGCCAGACGGGCGCACGCCATGCGGTGCCAGACTGTCTGGCAAGGCTTGTAACCTGAGCAAGGCATGCAAAAGAGAGGGAGAGAGAGAGAGAGAGAGAGAGAGCGCGCGAGAGAGCGAGCAACAGGAAATGCCCGATTCCTTACAAAAACAACAATAACAACAGAAAATAAGAAGAGCAACAAATTTGTTAAAAATCACCCAATGTAATTGAACGCCTGTCGCATGCACGCATATTGAAGCGTTAGTTGAAGACCAATTTTCATTGTGTAAATCAATATGTGAAAACGGAAAAACCTCTTGAGCCAAATGTGGCAAAAGTCAACGGGGCAACGAAAACAAGCAACGCTGCAAGGGTGCACATTTTTATATATATATATATATATGTATTTAACTTTTTCCATCTGGTTTCGAAGTAAACGAAAATATTCACGCAGACAATTTTGGTGCCGGGCTGTCTGGTTATGGTCTTTGGCTCTAGGATCTTCGCTTGTGCGGCTCAAATTACGCCTCAATTTCCACATGCTACACTCAAAAAAAAATTTCTCACTCTAAAGTCAAGTACATTGAAATATTGTTAGATTAGGCATCAATCATGGACTGGAAAACTGATTGAAAGAAAATAATGCTAGGGTAAGGAATTTGGTTGTCAGGCTAAGATATTCTGAACGCGTAGAATGCACTTGTTTTGCCTACAACATACTTGGTTATTTCTCTGAGTGTACACGCCCACATTGTAGATATTCGGTGTGCTGAACGAATTGAGACAATTTGAAAGCAATTTGTACAATAGATTTGACGCCAACGTCAAGATCAAAGAGCTCGATCGCTCGCACACACAGCCCCTGCCCCGCCCTAACAACTTATTGCGTGTAATTTCAATTCTAATGCCCTGCCTCCCGCCCCCTGCGCATATCCATTTGCAGAGTACAAGCAGCGCTTTCCCACGTTCAATTCACCGTTGCTGGAACGCATGCGCAAGCGACGCGCGTTCGCTGACCCGGAACTGAACTATGCAATGGAGACAACGCTACTTGGCAGCTCCGCCTGTGGCGGCACAACGGCTCCTTTGGCAACGCCGCCAACAGCAATTGGCAACGCCTTTTATGATCTATTGGGCAATGCCGCCGCCGCCGCCGCGGCAGCAGCAGCAGCAGCTGCGCAACAGGAGCAGCATCGGCAGGCATATCAATCAATGCCGCGCATTACGCAGACGCCCACGCCGACGCCCACCGTCAAGAAGCCCAAACTGAGTTTTTCAATTGAGTCGATAATTGGTATCAGCACATAGCCGATAATCGAAAAACAGTCGCATTCTGTATATAGACAATACTTTGAACTCACCTTTTTTTTTATTAGTATTATGATTCTTAGGAAATAAAACACTTTTCACTTGATTTCAAATGTCTCTTGCTTTTTCACTAAACTGATTTATCGATAACTCAATTGCCGCATGTGATGCGCGCTAAAATTGTATCGCAAATATGGCAACTTTATAAAAATAGATGTTGCCAAATAGTTGATAAAACAGTCGCATTTTGCATGCACACCATTTATTTTAGACTAACCTCTTATTATTAGTGTTATGATTCTTAGGAAATAAAACAATTTTCACCTGATTTCAAATGTGTGTATATAATTGATTGACTTAAAAGTTGCGCGGGCAAATCATATTTATAGAAAATTAATCGATAACTCAGTTGCCGCACGTGATCGGCGCTGAATTTGTATCGCAAATATGGCCACTTTATAAAAATAGATGTTGCCAAATAGTTGTTAAAACATCGTTAGCCTTGACAAATAGTCAAATCCTGTCAAATCGTGCTTCACTCACAATATTGTGAATAATTGAAAAAAAAAGAAAACAATTTTCAACATTTCAATATGCATAAATGAAGACAAGCGCTGCCACCTGACAAAATGTAACCGTGATTTGGTATTTTTGTGTGACACAGTCACTGTTTGGCGCCTATTGCCCATCTTTCGCATGGGAACAACAGACAACTCTCACCCGCTGCTGACTCAGAAATGACAACAATATTTTACGCGGAACCCGAACTGGTGCTGGGCCATGGCCGCAAGGTGTTGTTTCTCAATCCCAATGACCTGCAAATCTTTAAGGACATTGAATTGCCGGCAGACCTAACAACATGTGGACTCAAAATCGCCGCTGCCGAAACGACCGAGGAGCAGCAGCAGCCGGTCGGCACGGAGAAGGCAACAGCAGCTGGCACAAATTTGGAGGTGTCCATAGTAAACGTTAGCTATTCGCCAGATCGACAACTGATTGCGCTGGCCACGGCTGGCCAAAAGGCGTTGCTGCTCTACAAAAGCCGGCCCGAGCATGCCAAGCTGCTGTCCGTGCGCGCCCTGGCGCGTGCCTCCAGTGCACTGGCATTTGCACCGGACTCCAGTTCTGTGCTGGTCACGGACAAAACCGGCGATTGCTATCGCTACGATTGCGTGGAGCTTGAGGCGACGCCACAATTGCTGCTGGGTCACCTGAGCATCGTTTACGATATACTGTGGACGCCGGATCAGAAGCATATTATCACCTGCGATCGTGATGATAAAATACGAGTTACCAACTATCCGGCCACCTATGACATACACAGCTATTGCCTCGGCCACAAGGAGTTCGTCTCCGGCCTGGCGCTTCTCACTGGCACCGAGCACCTCGTTTCCGCCTCCGGTGACAAAACGCTGCGTGTCTGGAATTACCTGACAGGCAAGCAGCTGCTGCAACATGAACTGCCCGCGCCGGCTGTGCGGCTGCAATTGCGCGAACTGCTGCCGGCCAAGCGTTATCAAGTGGCTGTGCTCTTCTATGATCACGTGGAAGCTCTTGGCCTGTACGAGCTGGCGCTGGATGAGCAAGGCAACGATGCCTGGACAATTGCACGGCAGCAGCTGGTGCGTGCCGAGGCGGGCAGCTGGAACATAAGCTGCTTTGCGCTCACCGCCGACAGCATCTATGTGGCCGGCGCCCTGGACGAACGCTTAACGTTGCGCGTCTATAACGGAAGCGATGGCGAGCCGTCCAAAACGGTGCCCACTGGCTGGCTGGATATGGTCACTGAGCGCTTTGACGACCAGACGTGCGTGCCGGAGGATCTGTCCGTGTGGTTCAAGAAGCGCTACGACAACGTCAGCGACTACATGGAACGCAAGAAGCGCCGCATTGAGGATCAGCAGCAGCAGCAAAAATCCTGACAGATTCCACGCACGCAATTCACACTTAGCCTAGGCACAATTTATTGTAATGCATTTTACGAAAATTAAATAAATATATATGTTAACCAATTGCAAGTATGTGAAATATGCAGCCTGGAGTTGGATGCGTCTCGTGCTCTAAATCAAGCACAGGCTCGACTTGATCCCACGTATTCACGTGTTCATAAATCCAACTGGGCTAAAAGTCGCAACTCATCAAATTCAATCCTATTATATATCGACTATAAAATTGTTTTTTATAAGAATATTTAAAACAACAATGATTCCCACAAGTTTGAGATTCTCCTGATTATGCGTGTTTCCGAAGTCCTTGCTAGATATATCTGACAAATCTCTATCTCTATCAGATCTCCATTGCAGCATATAAATATATATATGATACAAAATGTATAAACTTTTCGGCTCGCGCTCCACTTGCAGTTGATAGGTTTTACATTCGATTCCAATCGACATTATCGTTAGGTTACATAATATTATTCATATTTATTTTTATATATATAAGTAGTTTGCAGAGAAAATCTTTTAAACTGGCTTGTAATCCAATTTGCTTTCAAGCTTCTTGTTGTCCGAGACCTTGCGCACGGCCTTCATGAAATCCTCCTGAATAACATATTCACGTTCGGCTCTGCAAGCAAATTTTTTTATATTTTATTAGATGTGGTACATGGCATTAAAAGGGCAGCTGAAGCCTTACCTGATGGCAAAGAGGCCCGCCTCCGTGCAGACATTACGCAAATCGGCGCCGTTAAAGTTATCCGACAACTTGACAATGGCCTCATAGTCCATTTCGCCGTGTTTGGCTATCTTCAGCGCATGAATCTTGAGAATCTCCAAGCTAAAAGGAGTACATCATATATGTTTAAATGAAATTTAAGATATTAGTTTGATTTTACTGACCGCGCCTGCTCGTTGGGCAATGGAATTTCGATTTTACGATCCAAGCGACCGGGACGCAAAAGTGCTGGATCTAGCGTATCCGGGCGATTGGTGGCCATAATCATTTTCACCTGACCCAGCGAATCGAAGCCGTCCATTTGATTCAACAGCTCCATCAGGGTGCGCTGAATTTCACGATCCGCAGACGTGCCCTCAGAGAAACGACGTCCGCCAATGGCATCGATTTCATCCATGAATATAATGCAGGGCTGATGATCGCGGGCATAGTTAAACATTTCACGTATCAAGCGTGCACTCTCGCCAATATACTTGTCCACAATGGCCGAGGAGACGACCTTCAGGAAATTGGCGTCCAGCTGTGAGGCAACAGCGCGCGCCAGCAGCGTCTTGCCCGTGCCGGGCGGTCCATAGAGCAGACAACCCTTGGGCGGTGTGATGCCGACGCGCAGAAACAGTTCCGGATTGAGCAGCGGCAGCTCGATCACTTCGCGCAGCTCGCGGATTTGCTCGGTGAGGCCACCAATGGCCGAGTAGGTAACATCGCCCGGATCCTCGTGCGACATGTTGTACACAAGCGGATCGACTTCACGTGGCAAATAGCGCATTATGGTCAGCGTCGTCATATCCAGGGCGACACGCGTGCCCGACTTCAACTTGGCCTTGTCCAGCTGGCGACGACAACCAACCACATAGCGCGGTCCATTGGTCGCTTTCACAATGACTAAAGAGAAGCATATAGATATAGATATAGATATAGCCTTGTCCGTCTTTGTATAAATCCGTATTTCTGTTGCAAGAAACTTTTTGCTTTTCCGGCTGACATCTACGATTTCTGGCATGCTCCACGCATATGGTTCGGATCCTATCAAAATCGAACTGCCATATATCCCTCCTATATCCTTAATACGAAGATTCGTTCAAGAACTGGGTTTTTGTTAGGGCAAGTGCTTCATTTATTTAATCCTGCTGCGATTCTAGAGTTCTTCTCACATTTCTTTCACAAATCCGTTCGGCGAGCCGAACATGGCCGGAATGTTGCTACTTATGCTCACAATCGAAATGATCCCACACTAGCACTATATCACAACTTATATATTTAATGTACGGCAGCCAGTTCGAGTTATATCTTAGTTTAAGTACTTACATTTATCCTCGGTCAATTGTTTGAGCACCTCGCCCACAATTTGGCCGACGCTCTGCAGCGCTTTCAGATCATTCTCTGATTTGTCATACAGTTTGGTCAGCTCCTTGAGTTCCTCGCGCTCTATGGTTGAATTATATTTAATTGTTAAAACCAGATAATTATTGCAATTATTAATGTTGCGCTCACTTTCTTTGAGGCGGCCGTCAACTTCTTTGTGCTCCAGCAATTTCTTTCGGTAGTCAGAGAGCGCCTTTTCGCGTATACTCTCCGTGGTTGGAGCTGCAGTCACGGTCATTTTAGATGATTATTTGCAATGCTTTTAACAATTTATAAACATTTGCTAAATAAAACGAAGCTCTGTCTAATGATATTGCAGTTTTACAAAACAGTGTGACTGGCTTTGGCGAGCACAACAATACCGCAGACAAATGCCGTGACTAGTATTTTTAATATACTGAACATGCTTGAACAAAGCCCTGGCAGCAGTATGCTGTTTACAGCCGATGCAAATTTATTCAAACAAAGAACAAAATAAAAACGAATAGAGATATACGAGAGAAAACGTATAGAATTAAAAACAAGGGCAAACGAAACGATTTTTAGTCAAATAGAACCAGCTATAATCAAATTAACATATTCTGCAGAGTCCGTTGCCGTTATGTACAATTTGAGTACGTGACGTCACAAGCCAAAAATTACTGTTACGCACAATCTATAATCGTCCGTTGTCCTGCAGTGCCATAATGCCGTTGACCGCACAATTTGTGCGCAATTTGCAGCGTTTCCGGCTCGTGACCTTTGACGTAACCGATACGCTGCTCCGGCTAAAAGAGCCAACCAAACAATATGCCGAAACGGCCGAGGCATGCGGCATAAGCGGCATTAACAAGTCACAGCTGGAACGCTGCTTTCGCCAGCAATTCAAATTGATGAGCAGAACGCACACCAACTTTGGCCGCTGTACGCCGGACATGAACTGGCAAGCCTGGTGGCGTCAGGTGGTCATCAATACGTTCACCTGCGCCGACGCCAGCCTATCCAGGGCCCAGCTGCAAACTGTTGCCGAGCAGCTGCTGCTGATCTTTCGCACCAGCGCCTGCTGGACGCACATTGAGGGCGCCACGGATTTTGTGCAGCGCGTCCGCGAGGCCGGCAAATGTGTGGGCATCATATCGAATTTTGATCCCTCGCTGCATCAGGTGCTCAGCGCCATGGGCTTCAATGATAAATTTGACTTTATATTGAACTCGTACGATGCCGGCGCCATGAAACCGGATCCGGCCATATTTCAACTGGCGCTGCAGGGCCGAAACATAGCGCCCGCCCAAGCGCTGCACATTGGCAATCAGCTGGACATGGATTACACGGGCGCACGCAACAGCGGCTGGAGCAGTCTGCTCGTCCAGCAGCAACAGCCGGAACCGGCTGCGGCCGGGCACACGTACGCCAGCCTGGCCGAGATGCTGCAGGCGCTCGAAACGCGGCAAATAGCCTGGTGAAGGCGACGCCCAAAGCGCAGCCAAAAAAGCTGCAATAACAATTAGTTAGGCCTTGACTTGTTTATTTATTTATAATTTCATGCTTAAAACTGACAAATTGTACGCTCGACGAGATTTCACTGTATATAATAATAGTTATATATATAATTATTAATAATAATAACTAATTTTGAATACAATTCAAAAAATGAATCATTTTTCTGTTCTTTTTCTAAACTAAAATTAAATAAAAACATAAAAAATCAAGAAAAAAGAAAGATTGTAAATAAAAAAAAAAAAAAAGAGTATACAATTGGTTAATTTATTATTATGTTTTTGGTAAAGTGTATACGATTATTGCTTAAATTCTGAAAACTGTTTAGGTTCGAGTAGATACCCTAACCTTGGGTATACCTCGATTGAGCAGGGATTTGGGCAAAAGTAATCCTTAGCTCATCTTTGTGTAAAAACAACACATTTACTGTATTAAGACTAAGCTATTATTAATTATTAATTAATTATATATATATGTACATATCGATAAAAGAGTAAACATTGGCAACTTATTAATTAGAATAAAAAAAAATTAAAGACAAACAATTTAAAAGATAATTTGTGACCCGAAATGTTTTTGCTTTTGGGAATGCATATTTGAGCTCTACGTGGATTTGGCGGCCTTGGCCGGCATTTGGGCCTTGGCCGCCTTCAGCTGCTCGAGATTGAACTGTTTGCGTATCTCGGCGGACACCTGACGGATGACACTCTCCGTGTTGGCCATCAGATCGCGTTCCAGGACATCGATGTCAATGTCCTTGCTCTCGAGCCGCATCTGCATGTCCGAGTAGAAGTCACAGAAGAGCACCGGCTCATCGGAGCCATTCGGCGTGCGTGTACTGCAATATTGACCCCGTCGATGCAGATCCTCATTGTTGGCCCGGGAATCAAGGAAACGGCGCGCGCCCAATGGCAATTGCTGCTGTATGAGCCGCTCGTGATTCTGGAATATGCGCTGTTTGAGCTTCTTGAACTCCTTCAGCTCGTTCTTCATGTACTTGACATAGCTGTACATCTTGGATGTCTTCTTGGTCAGATTCTCCAGGCAGCTTATGAAATTGCGCACCTGCTGTGTGCGCGGCAAGGTGCTGGGATCCAAGCGTTCGGCCTCATCGAAATGGTGCTGCGAACGATTGAAGTCATGCTTCATGGCCAGCGCCGAGGCGAGCACCACATGGTTTTCGGCCACCTGCGGTGCATGCTCGACGGCCGCACTGAGTATCAGATCCGCATCGGCCAGGCGACCCATGCGAAAGAGTATGGTGCCCAGGCTGAGCAGCGGTATATCCTTGTGCTCGGGCGGCGCCAGCATCGTGGCCAGACGGGCGCAGGGCAGCGCCTGCAGCGCATTGCCGCGCATGCGCCAATAGTAGGAGCTGAGCGTATGGAATTTCCATGAGTCCGGCTGACGCTGCAGTCCCTCCAGCGCAAAGCGACGTGTTAGCTCGACGGTTGCGGTGCCGATATTCGTATCGTGCTCACGGTCCACATATGCCGACTCGAGCACCTCCGGCTGAAAGCTATCCAGATGATCGTACGTAGCGGGTCCGACGCTTAGCTCATGGTAATTGCTGCAGATGGGCTCCAGATTGCGATCGGTTTTCGTACGAATCGATGACAGCGGCAAACCCTGCTGGAAATCCCGGTGTTCCGGTAAATTGATGCGCTTGAGCTGATCCGGTGTGATCTTCAGATATGACATACGCTTCTCCAGCAGATAATAATCCATGGCGCATTTGGCCTGCTCGGCCAGATCCTCGCCGAAGCGCATCGAAAAGCGCAAATGCTCGACAATTTGCTCCCGCTTGCGCAGCAGCTCCAAATAGCTGCGCTCCACATACTCATTGTATCGTATCTGCTCCAAGAAGGCAATCAGATTGTGCGGCTCCCGCATAAAGAACGGCGAATCCAATTTCTGTACAATGCGCTCATCCTTCAGCACCCAGTGATTGCTGGCGATCAGCACGTGGATGCAGCAGGCGGCAACTAGATACTGACAGAGTCGCATTATGCATTGGCTGTGCCCCGCGCAAGTCGCGAGCGGCGACCTAATCCACGTATTTGCTGTTGGCTGCCACACGATTTGCCAGCGAAAACATCTAAGCAGCGTTCTTTTGGCTAGGTAAATAAACACCGACAACAGTTTGTTTTGCACTTTTGCCCATTTTTAGTGTATTCCACTTTAACAGTATTCGCCGCAACAATGCCGGACTGTAAATTTAACAGTAACATCTTAAGGCAATGCCAAAGCCAGTATTGCCACATCGGCAAAATCTAACCTTTTTTAAGTTCAGCGCGCATACTATACTGACTTTATGGTATAAATATTTGAAGTTGATATTCATAATTTAGTTAATATACCTAAGATGTATGTATCGCTTTATCAAAAGCAATGCCATAAAATGCACTACGCCATACATCACAGTTGCGAGTTTCAAAATTGTCTATATGCAGCTGTTACGGACTCCACTTGGTCTCATATTTACATCAATACAAATTTTAAGATTCGCTCACCTATAGTTGCTGCACTAAAATAAATTAATTAGGATACTTTATAGGTAAATTAGATAGATACAGTATAAATATTTTTAAACCCAAATTTAGCTTTTTTTAAACCAAATCACTTCTAGAACTTGCATGTTTTGTTTATCAAAAGTTGGCAACACTGATGAAAGCACTTAGTTTGCGGTTTCGTGTCGCCAAATTTATTAAAAACGTATTCTCAATATCTCATTTTTTTGTTTATTTCGCATATTTCTGCATGCATAAAAGTTAGTTTTTGTGATTAATTATTTATGAATTAAATGACCCGGCAAAGATAAACTTGTATTCATGTAGTTCTTTGAAGTAGATTTTTAAGTTTGGTATTTTTAAACGAAACATCGGGTATTTTTACTTTGGTGGCTAGCGGTCACACGGCTTGCTACATAAAATGCGAAAAAACGGAATCGCGGAGAGCTGTAACGCGGAATAGTACATTAAAAATAATCGTTAATCGCGTGCGTGTTTTTTTTCTGCAACCGCTACACAGCACTTTATTGTTAAATATATTTTCTTCGTCGTTAATTACAACGCGTCTTAAATAGGATAAATATGGGAAAATGAGACGTCGCGTTCATGCGAAGTAGTTGAAAAAGAAGGCACACACACATATAACATACATACGCACGCACGTCGTTGCGAAGGAATATATGTATCTACACATGCATGTGAATGTATGAGTGTGCGCTGGTGTGTGCGGCCGTGTGTGTGTGTGTGTGCGTGCGTTAGCTACTGAGAGTCTCGACTCCAAGAGAGAGAGAGAGAGAGAGAGCGAATAAGAGGAGGGGTGGGGACAGAGCGGCGGCGTTTGAGCGTTGAAAAAAAAACGTAAAAATGAACTGGCACAGCCGACGACGATTACTACAAAACAAACGCCAAAGTACGTACTATGTTCTACTACGGCTACAACTGTGATATTTGGATATAAAGCCGCCCCGCACCGAAAAAAAAACAAGCTCCGTACGTGTATACGTACGCTTGTGTCTCTGCCGCTGGACGACGGAAAGAAAGAAAAAGAAAAAACTAGAGCTATCGAAGCAACAGACAAAGCGGCATCATCCAGAATCGAAAGAAGCAGACAGACACAGCAGCAGCAGCACCACCACCACCTCCTCAGTGAATATTATTAAAGGTACGTACATACGTACATGTGTATATGTGTAATAGGCGCCGCCATTTTCCGTGTGATCCATGTAACAAGCTGAAAGAAAAAAACCTGGACCTAGGGTTGGCAATGTGCGCATTAAAATCAATCTGAGCATTGTCTAAAGCTTACAATTGGCTCCATATACGTCATAGAGCTACCCATTTAGGTCACAATAAACAATTGCCGAAATGTTTTGCAATTGCTGTTAATTCGCCGAGTTGAAACTTGCAATGTTTGTTGCTCCAAAATACTTGACAACCCTACAGCCTTTTTCTTTGTTGACATTTTCGCTTGTGTGTGTGTGTGCGTGTGTTCGTGTATCTGTGACTGTGTGAGTTGTGCCTGAATTGTAGTGCTACCACAATTCTACAATTTTTATCCGGCCTAATATGAACGAGTGATACAAAGCCATTCAATTTACATTTTAACTAGCTCTTAAAACGAAAACACAAAATAAGCGATTAGCCAATTTACCGACATTTACTTTTCCAAAAGTGGCAACCTTGCGCAGGTCACTCTCATTTATTTAGAGTCTGCAATGCGCATGAGTGCATAGTTTCTCTCGCTCTCGCACCCAAGCGAATGCATGTGTGCTGCTGTCTCGTGAACAGCTGAGAGCTGCAGCAGCTTTTGGGCACCAATAAAACACACACACACAAATATATATATATATATATATAGATATATATATATATATAACTTACGCACACATATTTGCAGTCATTGCAGCAGTGACAATACAACAAAGCCGCTAGGCGTTGTAATTTTTTTTTTTTCCTATTGGCTCTGTAAGTTTGACTGTGTGAGTTGTGCGTGTTGTGCAAAATTAACCCATTAGTGTGTCGCATTTTTTTTTGGCTTGAAACCTAACGAAATAATATAAATGCGTTTATTACACATGTGCTTCCATGTTAATTGATTTTTGTTTTGCACGTGTATAAGTGCCGAGAGAGAGAGAGAGAAAGAGCGACCAGCAGAGAGGTAGAGAGAGAGCAGAGCAAACGAACGCGTGCCGTCTGTCGACCTCGCATCTTTTCCTCTTTCATATCCACCCACAGCCGCCGCATCGCAGGGCGAAGCCATAAAACAATTTTCAAATCAAGTCGAATGTGCAAATTGCATTTATGACTTATAAAAATGATTGCACACAGCATGTACTGTACGTATGTATATCTCTGCTCGGCAGAGATTTTCTGTGTTCCTTTGTGCATCGTTAGCCGTCTTGCTGGGTTCTCGCTCTGGCTCACAAATTGTGTACGCTTATCATTTATCAGCGGCGTCAGCAGAAACAACTTTTGCTTTTGAGAGCTTTTCTGTAAATTCGAGTGTGCGTCTTTGTGTGCGTGTGGTGCATGCATGTGTTTGTGTGCAAATATTCTGTGCCTGGAGTCAATGTTGCCATCTCGTTTGTTTCTATATAAAATTACGTACCGCTACAATATGTTATAATTTGGTTCTTTTTTTTTTTTGCAAACTAAAAGTGCACAAGACAATTGAAACATATTTATATTCATATTTTGCGCATGACCATGACATGCATTAGGCTAAATATGTAATGTGGCATTCATGTAAAATTACAACAAAGGGTCAATTGCTGTTCTGATGAGAAGTAGCAGTCATTTGCACTCTTTCTATCTTTTTCACTCTCACTTCGGTTCGAAAGCAGGTTGCCATATCTTGAAAATCATTGAAATGAATGCTGGCTAGTACGCTGAGCTGAGAAAACAAAACAACAAAAAAATACCGAATTCATGAAAAAGTGACTTATTTTTAGACTGTGCTATTTATGTGTCAGGTTTTTTGTTTATGCGTAGTAAAAGCCGGCAAATAATTAGTGAGCTGGCCACACTGATGCTTGAAATTCAAATGAAATTACAAAAACTAAAGCTAAAATTGGTTTAAATAATTGTCTTTTTGTGTTTTCCTGTTTACAGACTGCACATATATACAGAATGGTCGTCGGCTCGAATCATACGCGGCGCAGTGAAACTGCCGGCAGATACACAAACAGCAGCAGCAGCAACAACAACAACACGAATAGCAGCGGCAGCAGCAACAACAACAACAATTCCACCAGCTCAACGTCTTCAATTGCAAACGCATCCTCAGCGGCGGCGGCGACGTTGTCGTCGTTGTCGTCGTCGTCGTCGTCAATGTCACACAACAACAATAACAATAATAATAATAACAACAACAAAAGCCAAAACACAACTCTCAACAACAACAACAGCAACAGCAGCAGCAGCAGCAACTCACATCAGCAGCAGCAGCAGCAGCATCATCATCATCATCATCACAATCATCATCATTACCAGTCGCAGCAGCAACAGAGCACAACGCATCATAGTTCCGCATCAGCACCGGCAACAACAACAACAACAACATCATCTTCATCATCAGCATCAGCATCATCAACAACATCGCATGGCGGCGGCAGCGGAACGTTGCATGTGGCTGTTGGGAGCCTTAACGGTTGCAACGGCAGCGCCGTCAGTCGCCTATCCCAATCGACGGGCATGTCGCCCCGTGAGCTCTCCGAGAACGATGATCTGGCCACATCGCTAATACTGGATCCGCATTTGGGCTTTCAGACGCACAAAATGAATATACGTTTTAGGCCGCTCAAAGTGGATACACAACAGCTGAAGGCGATTGTTGATGAGTTTATACATACCCAAAACTATGACATTGCCATACAGCGCATCTACGATGGGCCCTGGATACCGCGCCATCTCAAGAATAAAAACAAAATTGCCACCAAGCGGTTGCACGATCACGTAAGTAGTTACAACAACAACAACAACAACAATATTTCGCAAATTGTCCTGAGATGTTGATATTTGATGATCGATATCGATAACGATAACGATTTAAATTGTTCGCCCAATATGTGTTATCGTTCGTTCGTGCGAACTATTCGAGCTGCCATGCTAGTTGTATTAGGCTTCACATTTGCTCGATAACTTTGGCCAACTATCGATATTTATCGATGCTGGATAAACGAAGCTGTAGCGAGAAGATAAACGTGTATATTATACGAAAACTTGCGTTCCAAATTTCGCAGTCTTAAGAGATTATGTGTCCCAAAATCAAGGCAGTCAGAAATACAAGTTTATCGTATCGAATAGATCGATAACATTATCGATAAATTATGTTGTTAAATTTTATATGTTTCTCAACCATATTTCATCAGTTCTCGTATATATATATATCGGCGATTGTGATCGATCGATAACAAAAATGACAATAATTAATCGATTACGCATCTCACAATTATATGCTTTATAATATCAACATCTGTGAGATGCTCTCTCTCTCTCTCTCACTGACCGTGCGGAACAGAACACTAATAAGAAAAAAAAAACCTCTTTATTCCAATTGACAATTAGATTGTGCGCTATTTGCGTGTATTCGACAAGGACAGCGGCTTTGCGATCGAGGCATGCTATCGCTATTCACTGGAGGAGCAGCGCGGCGCAAAGATTAGCTCGACGAAACGCTGGTCGAAGAACGATAAAATCGAATGTCTGGTCGGCTGCATTGCGGAGCTGACGGAGGCCGAGGAGGCGGCATTGTTGCATTCGGGCAAAAATGATTTCTCCGTGATGTACAGCTGCCGCAAGAACTGTGCCCAGCTCTGGCTGGGACCGGCCGCCTACATTAATCACGATTGCCGGGCCAATTGCAAGTTTTTGGCCACGGGCCGTGACACCGCCTGCGTTAAGGTGCTGCGCGACATTGAGGTGGGCGAGGAGATCACCTGTTTTTATGGCGAGGATTTCTTTGGCGATAGCAATCGTTATTGCGAGTGCGAGACATGCGAGCGACGCGGCACGGGCGCCTTTGCCGGCAAACATTCGGCCAATCAGCTGAACGAGGCGATGCTCGGCCTGACGAACGGCCTGGGCCTGGGCCTAGGCCTGGGCGCTGCCGGCGGTGCCAATGGCGGCGGCTATCGTTTGCGCGAAACGGACAATCGCATCAATCGCATCAAGAGTCGCGCCAATAGCACCAACAGCACCTCCAACAGCAACAGCAACGACAGCAGCAGCAACACGGCCCAGCCCAACAATAATAACAACAACAGCAGCAGCAACAGCAGCAGCAACAACAGCAACATTGCTGCTGTGGCACAAACTGTTGCCGCGGTACGGCCCAAGAGCAGCAGCCTGGAGCTGAATGCGGTCGCCCTAATGGACAAGAAGCTGCCCAATGTGGTTGTCTCGCCGCTGACCATGAAGGAGCTGCGCCAGAAGGGCATGACCAAGTACGATGCCGAAATGATAATGGCCAATGCGGCATATCATCAGCAACAGCAGCAGCAGCACCATCATCACCATCATCATCATCATCATCAGCATCAGCATCAGGGGCATCTTCATCATCATACGCATACGCAGCAATATCACACACACCTGCCACACACAGCAGCAGCAGCTGCCGGCGGCGGCAGCAGCAGCAATAATGCAGAGGCCGCCAGCCAGGCAACGGCCATGCAGAAGCCGCAGCAGGCAGCCGCCGAGCTTAGCAATGGACGCGGCATCAGCACGCTGCGCAAGTCGATGCGCGTGAACAGCACCAGCAGCAGCATATCGACAGCCTCCACAGACGAGCCGCCGCTGGCCAGCTATGCTGCAACGGGAGCAGCAGCAGCAGCAACAACAACAACAGTTGCAGCCATAGCCAAGGCGCCGGTTGTGCTGGTGCCGCGCTATAAGCCAGCTGCTGTTGCTGCCGTGCTGCAGCAGCAGCAACAACAGCAGCAGCAGCGCCAGCAACAACGCCAGCTGCGGCGCAGCGAACGCCAGACGCAGCGGCAAAAGATCAGCATGGACACGACACAGCTGCTGGGCAAATATCTAACGGACAGCGAGAGCAGCGACACGGACTTGCAGCAGCAACATCAACAGCAGCCGGCAGCGGATGTTGCAGCTGCAGCAGCAGCAGCAACGGGTTCGTCCACGCTGGAGAAGCGCGTGACACGCAACAGCGCCGGACGCGCTGCCGCCGCGGCAGCTGCAGCAGCAGCAGCAGCAACAGCAGCAACAACAACAACAATAAACAACAACAACAACACAGCAACAATAACTGCCCACAACAACAACAGCAGCAGCAATAACAGCAGCAGCAGCAGCAACATAAAAACAACGATTACAAATTGTAATAATTTAAATATTAGTAATAGCTGTAGAAATAATGTTAGCGCTAGATTTAGTGAACGCAAGCTGAAGCCGAGCGAGCCGGCGCCAGCGGCAACGACGACGACGGCTTCGTTAGCAAACCTGGCGCTGCCCTCGTCGTCAAACTGCTCGCCAGGCGAACAGCAGCAGCAGCAGCAACTGCAACTGCAGCAGCAGCAGCAGCAGCAACAACAGCAGCAACAACAACAGCAGCAGGCAACGGCAGCAGCAGCAGCAACAACACGCAGTCGCAGCAGCAGTCCCGCCTATAAAAAGAACCTCATCGCCAGCTTTGAGCAAGCCAACAAGCGTCAGGCAACAGCAGCAACAGTTGCTGAGGATGTGCCCGCCTCAGAGCCGGGCAAGCAGAAGCGTAGCCGACGCGCTGCCGCGCTGGCCGCCGCACAGCACATACACTGCGAGGCAGTTGCTGGCGTGCTGCAGCGCAAGCGACATCAGACGACGGCAGCAGCAGCAACAACAACAACAGCAGCAACGGCAACAACAACTGCAGCAGCAACAACAAGCGGGAGCAGCAGCGCTGTGGAGCCGCTTTTGAAGACGCCCGAGCGACGGCTGAAGCTGACGTTGCGCATGAAGCGCTCGCCCATATTGGATGAGGTCTTTGAGCTGGGCACCAGTCTCGGCGAGGATCGACAGCATGCCCAGCAAAATGGACACGTCACCAACCGAGCCAGCCAAGCGCACAGCAGCAGCAGCGGGGGAGTTGGCGGAGCAGGCGGACGTAACAGCAGCAACAACAATGTCGGCGCCGGCGGCAACAGCAGCAACAGCAACAACAATGCGCTGCACAATGCCAGCAGCAGCAGCGGCGGCGGCATTGAATATGAAATCTTACGCATGGAGGGCATATCGGAGCATGGCAACGATGATGATGAGGAGGACGAGGAGGAGGAGGATGAGGAGGATGATGACGACGACGACGAGGAAGCCGAAGAGGAGGAGGAGGAGCAGGAGCTGGAAGAAGAAGAGGGCGTTGAGCTTGCACAAGAGCAACACCAGCAGCAGCAGCATCATCATCATCAATCGGAGGCAGCTGGCAGCGATGCCTCTGACTGGCGCTACACAGAAAAAACACGACGCAGTCGCCGCAGCGCCCAATGCGCCGCCAGCACGCCGCCGCCCCAAGTTGCCAGCAGCAGCAGCAGCAACATATACGGCACGCCACAGAAGAAGCGACTGCGCCTGATCTTTGGCAACGAGTCGCACACAATAGACATTCCACCAGCAAGCACAACAGCAACTGTTGCAGCTGCAGCAGCAGCAGCAGCAGCTGTTGGCAGCGGCATCGATGAGCTCAACAGCAGCGGGGGCGGCGGCGGCGGGGATGAATCCTTTAATGCTTCCTATGCTAGCAGCAGCAGCAGCGGCGCCAACGGCAGCGGCACCAGCATGACCGTAAACACCTCCTCGCTGAACAGCACGCCCACATCCAACGCCTCCTTGGAGCTCGAAGCGGCAACAACAACAACATCTGCTGCTGCTGCTGCTGCTGCTGCAACGTCAAGAGGAGCTGCAACAGGAACAGGAACGGGAACGCGACTGCCCGCAGCTGATTCACCCACATCGACCACATCCAGCGTCGGCTCCTTTCAATCGGCCTGCACCTCAACAACCAATTTCTTTACGCGCTCCAAGTCGCCCAGCAGCAGCAACAGCTACCAGCTGAACGGCAGTCGCAGCAACAGCAGCAACTACATGCCCTACTATCAGCAGCAACAGCAGCAACAACAACAGCAGCAACAGCAGCAATTGTGCAAATTTGGCAGCAGCAGCAAACGCGCTGCGGCGGAGCAGGCGCAGGCCGTGGTTAGCAGCAGCAGCAGCGGCAACAACAACAACAACAACAACAGCAGCAGCAGCAGCAACAACAACAGCAACAGCTCGACCATGGGCAGCAGCAACAACAGCGCAACTGTTGCCGCGAGCAGCGTTTCCAGCAGTCACGCCTTTTTGCCTCAGGCTCTGACCATGCCCAAGCACACGTTCGGCACCTGTGCGCTGCTGGCGCCCACAAGCTTTGCCAACCTGCAGCAGCAGCAGCAACAGCAGCAGCAGCAGCAGACGTCCAAGCTGGCAGCGGAGCAACAGCAGCTGCCCACATCCTCGTCACCGCAGCATCATCATCATCAGCAGCAGCAGCAGCAGCAACAACAACAACAACAACAACAACAACATAGCAACAAATAACCAACGACTGATCTCTATGCGGATTGACTGCGCTGCTGCCATTGCCAACAACAACTGCAACAACTGCGAGAGCAACAACAACAATTAGATAACATTTATTTAAGAATTTCGCTGCAGCCGCCTGCCCTTGCCTGCTGCTAGCCCTGAAAGTTGCAATCCCTTAAGTAGCGTTAGGTTTTCTGTGTGTGTGTGTGTGTGTGCGTACGCCTCGGCAGTCTGGCAACTCTGTCTGCATAATGGAGGGGGGGGGGGGGGGGGGGGGGGGGGGGGGGGGGGGGGGGGGTTTGAGTCCGTTATTATAAGAGCATTAGAGCTTTGCGTATGTAAATGTATGTGTCAGGTAGTCAGTACCCAAGAAGAAGAAGAAGAAAAAACAAAAGCAAAAAACAAAAATCATGATCAGCCAAACAATAACAATAATAACAACAACAACAAAAACAAAAACAACAAAAGTCTGTTTTAGCAAATCTTTGATTATACATTTCTTTTTTGCTTTTTTTTCCATTTCTCTCTCCCTCTTTTTCTCTTTCTCTCTCTCTCTCTCTTCTCTCTTGCCATTGCAGATGGATATTTAAAGCATAAAAGTAGCAAAAAAGCGTGTGTTAAACAAATTGTTGCAGTTGGTGGTGGTGGTGGTAATGTTAATGATAATGAGCAACATAATAAGATTAATATAAATAATAATAATAATAATACCGATTACAATAATTCTAATGCTAACAGCAGCAGCAGCAGCAACAACATAGTTAAAAAATTAAGAATAGAATTAAAACGCATACAAATCATGTACAGTTGAAATGAACAGTTGAACGGTTAACGAAAGCAGCGCGTCAGCAGCGCGTCAGCAGCGACAACAGTTAACAAGCAGCGCCAGCGCAGCAGCAGTAGCAGCACCAGCAACAACAACATGAACATGAACAGTTACAACAGCAAGGAGTATATTGCCATTGATCGGAGCAGAGTGGCGCATACGAGAGGAGCGCAACAAATAGAAAATGTTGCTGGCCTGCTCGCTCTCTCGCTCTTTCTTCCAGTTGTGAACGATGAAGCGAAGTAAAAATGAGAGAAATGAAAAACATAAATGCAAAACGTATAACAAAAAATATATTCTAAATGCACATTAACAGACAAACACACACACACACATACACACATACACAGACACAACCACAAACGCAATTAGCAGCGGTTTTAGAAGCCTTACGACTAAAGTTAAATTTATGAACAATATTAAAATAATAAAAATAACAAATTATATATGATATGTGTATATGAAGCGAGAGAAGAAAAACAACAACAACAACAACAACAACAACAAATATATAAGCCAACAGGAGCAGCAAGATAACAACAATAGCAACATATATACATATACACACAAATGCATATATATATGTATATGTATATATGCATATAAATATATATATATATTTGCAAGCAAACCAAATTCATTTCACACAAACAAATTAAATAAATGTATATAACGGGAAATTAAAACAAAAAATGGAATACATATAAAACCTATTTAAATTATAACTAAAAAGAAAAACATATACTTAAAATGAAAAATAAATAAAAAATAAAATAACAAAAAAAAAAAAACGCTGCAAAATGAAACACAACAATTTTGACGACTTGTGTAAATTATAAACAAAAAAAAAAAAACAACAACAAAAACAAACAAACATGATTTTTTGCACATTTTTGTTGATGTATTCATCAAAATTTCCAAAAAAAAAAAAAAACAACAAAATTCACATACATATACTTATGTATTTCAACAAATATGCAACAACAACAACAACAACAAAACATAATTTTGTTAACTAGCAAAAGAATTAATTGCAACAACATTGAGCTTTTTGCAGAGTTCGTGTTGTTAGTTTTAGTTTATTAATAATAATTTAATTTTACGCATACACACACACACACACACAATCATACAAACATACAAACATGTATTTGGCCCCATAAAACGGTTTTGCATAATTTTTTTTTTTTTTTTTGTTTTACGCCTAAGTTTGATTTTAAAGTTTAGCATATTAATTAGTTTTATACAAGCGATTATAATATATATTTACAAATACAACAATTATATTAAATATATCTACATATATATATATATATATATATATATATAAATACACACACATACATATGTATTCTTCAGCTTAATGCGCGGCGTGCTGCGCTGTCTAACGGTCCGGGCCTCTGCCCGGTTCACATTGCAGTGGTGGGGTTGGGGGTGGGGGATTGAAATATGCACGGCTTTGCACGCCGTGTCATTGAGCTAGTTTTCATTTCATTTATATGCATACCTATTTTTTGTTTTTTATATACAAAAATACCGTTTCATATGTAATTGTGCTGTGCATTCTTTTACATTGCACGGCAACAGCAGCAACAACATTCATAATAATAATAATAATAATACTAATAATAAACCAAAAACAAATTAGGTATGAATTGCACGTCTTTTTGATCAACTCCCGCCGCCCGTGCATCCACAAGAAACGCACAGAGCAGAAAGTTCGCTCATGCGCTTCGCCCGTTAGAGTTTAGGGTTGGATTTCAATGCGGTTTGGGCTATGACCGATTGTGCGACACCCTGTTTATCGTGTGGTAACCGTTTTATAACTGTTGCAAAGAGTGCTTTCTAATTAAATCAACTGCTCAAAAAACAAACAATAATATATTTATATATATAAAAGACGCAGTCACTTTTGCACCAATATGGCCCACTTCAACTCCGGTACAGGGTATCGACGCGGCGATGCACGCTGTGAGAGCGCAGGCGGTTAAATTTTCTTCGCGCGCAAGTTAATTTAAATTTAATTATAAAAAAAAAACGTGCTGCACCCTTCGATGAAAATCCCGAAAAGTAAAGAGAGAAAACTCTTTTGTGTAAAACACGCGATTTTATTTATGACGAGCCTCGAACTTAACATAAACTCGTGTATTTTAACCTAATCACATAATATAGATTAATGTGCTTGTGTACGGTACGCATAGGTGTATGTGCATCGAGTGTCAGGATACAGTTACTATCCGGCAATATGAACGCTCCAGTAAGCCGATTCTGATAAATGTACTGGCGACAGCCTGTCTGTGTGTGTCTATGTGTGTATGCTGTGTGTGTGCTGTGTGGTGTGGACGTTTTGGTTGATTGTGTTGCCGGTATTAGTGTCCGTACTTTTGGAAGTCCCATTCGCGGTTGTCCAGCGGGCAAACCTGACGCGTCTTTAGCCAACGTGAAATGCAATGGAAATGAAAGGCATGATTGCAGACGCCCCAGGCGACGGTGCACTCCTCGCTGGTGGCGGATGCCTGATTTGCCTGGCACTCGATGCATAAGTCCATTATATGATTCCGGCAGATAGCGCAGTTGTCCACAACGATATCTGCACGAAAGATTTTGATCAGTTTGGTTAGTTTTGAGGTATTTTGTCTGTCTACTTACCCCACGCCCAGAGTGCCACGGCATTCCACTGTAGCCGAAGGAGTATGAGATAGCAGAAATGGAAAATTATTAACACGCCGACATGACTTGCGAATTCGCCATTTTGTTTTTTGTGTTTTTTTATTGTTACGATATTCTTTTTTAAATTACCTTTTTAACCTCGAAACGCTTCTTTTCGCCTTTGCTGCTGCTGGAGGGAACCTCGAACTCTTCTTCGTCGACTTCCATTTGATGCGTTTTGTTTTAGTTTGTTCGTTTACTTAATAAGATATGACATTGATTTCCTAAAATAAAGTTTCGGTATGACGTATATCGATGTTTTTATAATCGTTTACTTTTGTTTCCATACCATTCTCTCGGTTTAGTCGGTTAATTCTAGTGGATGGCACTTTACGAAGTTAAAATACGATATATATCGATGAAATTTTTAAGGCATCCGCCTTTTAAACATCGCTAGGCGAACCCATGGCTGCCACACTGAAAAACCATATTCCAAAACTTAAAATATTAATTTTAGTTTTGAAAAAAAAATTATTTTTTTTTTAACAATTAACGAATAACTGTGGGATTAAAAAATAAATACCAATTATGAATATGTTTGTGATTGACTGTTGCTATATTTAATTTGCTGGCATATACTTTTGCGCAACGCCCATTTATTTTTAAAAAATATATTTCTGTGTGTAATTTGTAATGCGTATATCTAGTTAATATATTTAATACAAAAAAAATATATATGTATATATAAAAACAAAAATAGAAACAAGTCATCGCTAGCAAACGTTCAGAGCCCAGATAGGGCTCGACAAATTGTTTGTTTTTGAATTTCGACAAAATTCGATATTATTTCTGCTCTTTCACGAGACAACAGTATTTTCGAGGTATTTGAGACAAATTGTTGGTATTTTGTCGCTCTTGAATTGCAGCAACACTGTTTACACACCACAGAATTTCGTACGTTCGCACGTGTTTTGTTTTCTTTTCAATTGGAATTTGCCGTTAGCTCGAAGGAATTTCACAACAAAAAGCGTTGTGCGACAAACCCATGGAGCACGTCAACTATACCAGCATCAGCCAGCTGGCCGCTGACGGCAACAGCAGTGCAAATGCCGCAATGATACTTTGCTGCGAATGTGGCGTCGCCATACAACCAAATCCTGCCAATATGTGTGTGACATGTTTGCGGAATCATGTGGACATTACGGAGAATATACCAAAGCAGGCGGTGCTGCATTTTTGTCGCAACTGCGAACGTTATCTGCAGCCGCCCAACGAATGGGTACAGGCAGCCCTTGAGTCTCGTGAGCTGCTTGCCGTTTGCCTGAAGAAGCTCAAAGGACTCAAAGAAGTGAAACTGGTCGATGCGGGCTTCATCTGGACCGAACAGCACTCGAAACGCATCAAGGTGAAGCTGACCGTGCACGGCGAAATCTCCGGCGGCACTGTGCTGCAACAGGTCTTCATTGTTGAGTTCACCGTACAGAATCAAATGTGCACCGATTGCCATCGCACCGAGGCAAAGGACTTCTGGCGCTGCCTGGTCCAGGTGCGTCAGCGTGCCGAAAACAAGAAGACCTTCTACTATCTGGAACAGCTGATACTCAAATACAAGGCGCACGAGAATACGCTGGGCATCAAGCCGGAGCATGGCGGTCTTGATTTTTACTATGTCAGCGAGAATCATGCCCGTCGCATGGTTGATTTTCTGCAAACCATGGTCCCAGCCAAGGTGACAACATCGAAGCGCCTCATCTCGCACGATATACACAGCAACAACTACAATTACAAGTACTCTTGGTCTGTCGAAATAGCGCCCGTATCGAAGGACAGCGCCGTCTGCATCTCGAAGAAGCTGCGCCAGCAGCTGGGCAACATTTCGCCCGTTTGTCTGGTGAATCGCGTCTCGAGCAACATACATCTCATCGATCCATTGACGGGACAAATTGCCGAACTAACCACACAGGTATATTTCCGGGCACCCTTCGAGGCCATCTGCAATCCCAAGCAGCTGGTCGAGTATGTGGTCATGGACATTGATGTCATACACGAGAAGGATCGCAAATGCTATCCCGGCCAGGGTATGTTGTCCAATAAGCATGCCCTCTGCGATGTGTGGGTGGTGCGCACCTCCGAGCTGGGCATCAACGATAATCCCATACACACGCGCTCCCATCTGGGACATCTGCTCAAGGTGGGCGACTCGGTGATGGGCTACAATACCGGCGAGGCGAACATCAATGATCCCGAATTTGATAAATTGCCATCGCATCTGATACCGGACGTAATACTGGTGCGCAAACATTACGATCGACAGACGCGTCTCAGCCAACGCCTATGGAAGATCAAGCATCTGGCCGATGAGAAGACCGATGAGCGCAGCAAATACGATTATCATGAGTTTCTCGATGATATCGAGGAGAATCCCGATATACGCGGACACATCAACATTTATCGTGATAGCAAAAAGCCGCTGCCCATCGAGGTGCAGCCGAGCGCCGGCGATGTGCCCCAGATAACGCTCGCCGAGATGCTCGAGGATATGACGCTAGACTGTGCCGACGATGAGATGGGTGACGGCAGCGAGCAGCCGGACGCCGCAGAGCTGCCGGAGCCGCAGCTATAGAAAGTTAAGCTTTTTCTTTAATTTTATTTATGTATTTACATGTACATAATTTCTATATATTGTGTGTATATATTTGCGGAATAAAACCAACATTACATTTTCCATGGATATCTACGGCGCCAGATAAACTCTACAAAAACGATCCCGATATAATTTGGCATAGGTTTTTTTTTCCCTCAATTACAAAACAACATCGAGATTTCCCTTTCAAATTGCAAAGATCGCGCATGATTAACTTTCGCATACATATCTATATATATATATATATAAACTTGATTTGAATAAGTATTAGATTTGATTTACATTTAGATCGATTTGCTATATATCATATGGTGCATATCGTAATCATGCTACAACAGATCCGATTTTGATTTGAATTCGTAATTTCGTTTAACACATTTAGATTCAAATTGATTTTCACTGTTCAGAACAGCCACATTATATATATACGTGTAATAGGAACAATCGTGTGAAATAATAGGCTGAGATCGGGCTAATAATATATGGGTTTAACCTCTTCCCTATACAGATCAGGAACAATTGATAGAAGCGAGAGCTGGCTTTCATATAGATGTACATAAATTCGATTTGCATATAGATTATAGATATAGAGATTTGATTGGGAATCGTAAACGTGTACTTAATTTAATACAATTGAACTAAAAACAACAACAACAACAAATATTACAGCTGAGTTGTGGTTATTGTTGCTACAACAGTTTTGGCTTGGATGCAGCTCGGACTCGGTTATGGACGCCCCAACTATAATACGATAAACTCTTCTGCACGGATTTGTACTTGCGGCGGCTGCGTGCTGCGTCTAGGACAGGCCCAGCTTGGGCTTCTCCTTGAAAAAGTAGACATCGTCGCAGTCGCAGCGCTGTGAGGCCTCCATCTCGAGCAGCACACGCTTGATCACGGGCAGAATGTGTTTGCGCGTGGCCTGTATATTGTGCTGTCGCAAATAGCAGCCGCCCATGAAGTGCGTATCGACCGTGTGCGGCTGGAGATTGAGCGGCGGCGTCTGGCAATCGAGCAGCGCTTTGCGCACACGCTCCACCAGCTGTGTCTGGCCGGTTAGCGAGATGAGCGCCACGTCGCGCACCACCTGACCGTGGCCGGGCGGCACAAACATGCCCAGTATGACGGCCAGATTGCTGCCCATGGCAAATTCGCGTATTGCCTGTTCCGCATCGCTTAGCTCGATGAAATCGCGCACCAGCATCGGCAGCCCGGCCATGGGCACCGTATGGTGTTCGGTCTGCACCTTTTTCATATCCTTGCGCAGCACCTCGGCCAGCGTCAGCCGGCTAATGTCGGCACGTGCGGCCACCAGCTCATCGAAGAGGCTGCGACGACGTCGCTTATTCTCGGCATCATCGAATTGGCCGCCTTCCGGTTCGAGCATCATCAGCTCCAGCTGCTCGACCATGGCCAGATCGCGTGCACAAAACCGTTTGGCAGCCGGCGCAAAGTTAATCGTGTCCAGCAATATGGTGGCATGCAGCAGCTGGGTGACTCGGCTCGAGCGCGGCTGCTGCTCGGCCAAATAGCGTTCGCCGATGAGCGTTGCACAGGAGCCCAGCTCGGGCTCAATGTGGCGCACGCACTGCTCCGGCAGCAGCTGCATGGCCGGATTTGATTCCATCGGTCGATGATCGAGTATTTCGACAACATGCTTGGCCAAATTGCTGACATGATGATCCACGAGAATGACATTGATATCGCCAGCCAATTGCTGGGGCAGATCGTCCCGAAAGAGCAGCAATTGCTCAGTGATGTCGCACCTGTTGAGCATGTGGCCCACCTCCGTTTTGAGCGGATAATCGAGCCGCGGTATATTGAGCACCGGCACATAGTCGTGCCCCTGCTCCCGCTGGGCATAGATGAAGGCCAGTGTTAGGGCCGAAACCGCCGAGTCCAGATCGCACGACTCATTGCCCATAACCAGATGCAGTTTGCGTGTGCTGCCCGCCTCCAATTGCCGAGCTGAACTCGAGCCGGAGCCGGAGCCCGAGCTCGGGCTGGCGCTGGCCGCTTTCTCGGGTAGATACTGTAATTGTTGTGCGAAAGTGAGCTGGGAAGCATATTGTTGCTGCATGGGCCGGTTGCTTTTTACTTACGCGGCTGAGCGTGGAACGCGCCTGCATTAGAAAACGCAAAAAACACATTGGCCAAGCAAAGCGGAGCGCACTCAATTAAATGGAATTAATAATAAACGGCTGGAATGTGAAAGCTACAGTTGTCACCCATCAATCGAATACACTCGATAGGCACAGGCCACAAATATCGATTCCATTCAAAAGTTAAGCTCAGCTGATGTCATTAAATGTCCACAAATAAATCATAATTTTTTTCTTGCAACTAAGCTGCGCACGTTCAAACAGTCCAACCGTTATTCGATAATTGTAACAGTTGAGTAAATGAAAAATCGATACCCGAAAGTATCGCTGTGAACAAGTACTCAATGTGCTGCTTAAGTACTAATTAGTAAGCCTGTCCACCAAAATTTCTCAATGCTCGATGCTTTTGAAAAGATATGTTGTTTTTTTTTGAGATGCAAAACAAGCAGTTAATTATTAAAAGAAACATGATCGAAGCTGCCATCGAGTACGATAAACGTGTTTATCGATGATATTAATGCTGCTAATCGATAGCAATTCCTAGCCATCCCTAATTTTCAATTAAACGGCATTTTTGTGCGCGTCACATTAGATATCAAGTTGTTTTCTATTTCGTCCATTTCTGACAATCTCTGAGCCAATCACACAAGTATTCCAAGCAATATGGACACGCCGCGTCGCAAACTGCGCAACCTGCACATGGAGAATGTGCAGAACAATAGCACACCCATACGAATACCACCATCACCGATGCTGAAAACACTTGGACACGGCACCGGTGTCAGTGTCTATCGCCTGGATAGGTCACCAAAGTTGGGACGCATACGTTCACCGTGGGCCGTTAAGCGCATCACACAGCGCACCAGGGCCAAAAAGGATCCAGTCTACAATGACCGCATCATACACGAAGCAGCCATTTTGCGGTGGGTCCTTCACTGTACGCCGTTTTTCGGTGGCCTGATTGCATATGCATATGTATTTTCCATGGTATAATGTTGTATACCACCGTATGCACGCACACACACACGCACACGCATACGCACACGCGGTGTATACACACGTGGGCGAGCCGGTGGCTGACAGTATGTGTGCGTATGTATGTGTGTGTATGTGCGAATGCATGCGTGTGCATATGCGTGAGGCTGCTGCGTCGCACATGTGTGCGTGCATTTGGTGTACACAATTGTGGTCGTTACCCAGTTGGAAATTTGCCGATGAAAGAAATCCGGCTTAGGCATGGAAGCCTTCAGCTCGCTGATGTAGAGAAGTCTCTGTAGAGTAGAGTCTTATGTCCGGGCAATCTCTGTTTGTTTTGTACTTCTATAGTACAAGACGAGCTGGTTGACATGTCACTGAGATCGTCATGTACCGACTGATTAAACTGCTTTCGATGACATTTGTTTGTGTATACAAATGTCAGATGATTTTGTTATGTCAACAGGCAAGACACAATCGCTGACATGTCAACGAGATCGTCATGCACGTTTTTTCAATGTCATTGAGCACCAAATTTCCAGCTGGGTTGTTGAGCGCTCAACAAGAGCTCAATATATATATATATATAAACCTACATATATATCATGTGTCGTCTGTTCCACAGCAAGTTGAATCATCCGAACATTGTTGGCTTTCGGGGCGTTATCAAATCATCGGAGGGCGTGGATGCATTGGCATTGGAAATGTGCAGTACGTCGCTGGGCTCCATATTGGAGGAGCGTCACGATGAGGATCTTGGACCGTTGCCCGCCAAACACACATTCAAAATGATAATGGACATTGCCCATGCTCTGGACTTTTTGCACACCGAGGCGCGTCTGCTGCACGGCGATCTCAAGTCCTTCAACGTTCTGGTCAAGGGCGAGTTTGAAATCTGCAAGCTCTGCGACTTTGGCGTCTCACTGCCGCTCGATGAGAATGGCGAGATTAACTTTCACAAAAATCCGCATCTACAATATGTGGGTAAGTTGGCATGAAGCTTTTAAAGTGCGCCAAGTTGGGCTTAATGAGACGATCTTTGACAGGCACGCAACTGTGGTCGCCGCCAGAGATCATGGACGAGGTGGAGATCATCGACAGCAAAGCTGACATCTTTAGTTTTGGCCTGATCATATACGAGACGCTGGCGCTGGTGCCGCCGCACACGCTCGAACTGGACGCGGCCTTCAACAGCAGCTCAATCATTGACTTGGACAGCTCACAGGAGCTGCCGCAGCGCAAGCAGCTCAACTACTCGGACGAGGGCCATACGAGCGCCGCACACACGCAACCGGACGTGTCCAGCGGCAAAGAGTGCGCCGACGATGCGTCCATTTACACCGATGAGGACGATACCAAAGAGAATGACATTTCCGACTATTCTCTGACGCATGTGGAGCAGGCGTATGGCACACGGCCGCCGTTGCCGGTTGCCTTTCAGCTCAGCGATGATTACAATTGTGTTGTCGAGCTGTTCTATTTGTGCACCAATGCCCACAGCGAGGATCGGCCTGCTGCACGCACCATTTGGCAATGTTTCGAGAATAATGCGGCCAATGTGGCAGCTGGCAGTGATGCGGCCAGCGACTAAGCCTCTCTGGCTGCCAATTAAACCATAAACGTTAACTATAAACAAGTAACTAGTTTTGTAAGCCTGCATTTGTGTATCTCTCTCTCCTCTCTCTCTCTCTCTATCTGTCTGTCTATCTATCTCTGTTCCTCTGACCCGTTCCTCCCCTCTCGCTGTTTGTGTCCCCGTCTGTGTACCTAAATGTATAATTCCTCATTCGCTGTAAAAAGAATGCAACTGCAACATATTTTGAAGAAGGCCAAAAGAGAAAAACCCAATTATATATTTCAACAATTTCATCTAGTTTTAGGCTCAACACACACACACACACACACACACACACACACACACACACACACACACACACACACACACACACACGTATATATATATAAATATTATAAATATTCCATGTATTCCATTTACGCTATATGAAATAGCTAAAAAGAAGAAAGAAACAAAAGAAAACAAATAACGTTCGTTCATTTTTGTCCATAATTCGCAAAATAAAAAAAAAACATTAACAAATTTATCGCTCGCCTTTAATTGTTAACTTTTAAACATAAACCAATATTTTATTTAAATTTAGCAAGGTTTTTGCTTAAATCTTCAACTTTTGGGCTTCGTTTTTTAGAATCTGGCAGAGATATGGATTAAAACTCGCAAATTGATAAGTTTTCAGTGCACTAAAAAGTTCACTAGGGATTTATTTAAAATACATGCACAATAATATTTAATTGTTCTTAGATGTTGTTTTCTTCTTCTTCTCGTTGTCTTTTTAGCATAATCTTATAGTTGTTCGATTTGTATTAGTTATATTATATGCTCGTCGCTTTAACAATGCTTAGCTGCTGCTTTTTAGTGTATAGGGTATGGGGTATAGGGTATAGGGTATAGGGTATAGGGTGTAGGGTGTAGGGTGTAGGGTATAGGGTATAGGGTATAGCGTATAGGGTATAGGGTATAGGTATTTGGTGAAAGGCTTAACACTAGATGTCTATGCATGTTGTAGGCATGTGTCTCTCTGTGTGTGTGTGTATGTGTGTGTGTGTGTATATATATCTAAAATATGTCTTTCATATGTGTTCTTTTGTTAACTTCAAGTCTGCAGTTTTAATTGTTTATATATATATAGATATAGATATAGATATATACTTTGAATAGAAACGTGTATAAAAACATCTATAATATATAAATATATATATATATATATATATGTATAGTATAGTCTAGGTATATCGTTATGCGTTTGCTAATTTTTCTTTCTCTTTTTAAAGGCGCTGTTGGTGTTTTTTTTTTTTTATGTTTGTTTTTTCTTAATTCTCAACTTTAGACGTAAAAAAAAGACGAGTACAAATACAAAAAAAAAAAAAACACAAAACTTGATTGGGACAAGAAAAGAAAACACAGTTTAAAAGCGGAATACAATAAGATATTAAATAAAATAAAATACAATATATATTAAGAATATTAAGTAACACTTTTCTTAAGCTCGCACACGTTACAAACATATTAGAACAAAAAAAATTAATTGAAATTAGACGGAACAAACAAACATTTTTGCTTAAATTTTTAGCTAAGGTTGTAAGTACATACAAAATGTTTAATTGTTGTGTGTGTGTGAGGGTGTGTGTGTGTGTGTGTGCGTGTGTGTGCCGCAAAGTACATAAATGGAATGCAATGTTTAAGTTCGAGGCATGTCTAGGGCGTGGGCGTGGGCGTGGCATAAACAATTACAACTGAAAGCTGCCTCTCGCTCTCTCTCTCTCTCTCTCGCTCGCTCTTCTATATTCCTGCTCACTCTAACTAGTGTAAGACATCAAGGAATATCTGTATATATATGTGTGAAAAATTAATTTAAAAAACATAATATGCCTGGGAACTGGAAACGTTCGAAATGTGGAATGTGGACTGCATATATAATCCCAATATTATATATAATTAATGTGTATGCGTGTGTGTGTGTGTGTGTGTGTGTGTGTGTGACCTGCTGCCTTTCGTATTATTGTTTTTCCTCTTTTCGTATTTTTTTTTTTTGCGCGCTTTACAAATGCAAGACCCCATCCTTGACATCGCTGGCCAGAATTGTGGACGCATTGGAGGCGGCCTGTTTGTGATGCGTCGATGGCGACGAGGACAACTGATGACTGTGTGTGTTTGTTGTGACTGTGACGCCTCCGACGCCGCCGCTGGTGGGGCTCTCGTCGAGCGTAACGCCAGTGAGGTCAACAATATCATCCTGATCCTCGTGCTCCAGCTCATCGGAGGTGTTCGTATGATTCGTATGATGCGAACCGCTCGACAGCTGGCTGTTGCGCGAGAAGGAGCCGCGATGCGTTGACGTCAGAGTCCGCTGATTGGCCGGCTTGACGGTGATGATCAAATTGGAGCTATTGGCGACCATCATGTCGGTAACCTATAACAGATGCCTGGGGTTAGTAAATGGGGCTAGTTGAAGCAAATGCGCTACGGTCTACCTGATCCAGAGTCTTGCCGGCCACCTCGATGCCATTGACCTCGATGACCTCGTCATTGACGGCCAGCAGGCCGGTGCTTTCGGCCAGACCGCCGGGCACCAGGCGTGATATGAAAATGCCCGGCTGCTTCTCCAGGCCGCTGGCCGTCACACGTACGGAGGTGCCGTCGCGTATGTAAAAGCCGAGCGGCTTGTCGCTGCCGTGCTTGAGCAGACGGACACGCCGATGCGTCTCCGGCACAATGTCCACATCAATGATGGCCGATACCTGACGGAAATCGTGCGGTATGGATATCGATGGGGCTTTGGTCTTAACTGGCGTATGGCCAAGTATGCTGCCAATTAGATTGCGCGGCTTCATCGTGCCAAAGCCGGAATACTCGTTCAGATCGTCTATAAAAATGATCATACAAAATATCATCTCTCTCTCTCTCTCTAGCGCTCTCTAGATAATCTATATAAACCATGCCCACCTTTGCGCTGGACTATAACGCGCAGCAGAGGACGGGCCGTTTTGAGTGCACGCCCAAAGTTGTCATCGTTGTTGATGGGCAACAGGTCGTTGTCGCGCGGATCAATGTAGAGTATTAGAAACTGTATGTTGGCCAGCTTGTGCAGCTGTTCGATGAGGTTGGCGAACTTATCGAAGCTCTGCTCGGGCTCGTGACGCTTAAAGCTCCAGCGTCGGAACTCGGCATCGAACTATAATAAAGCAACGGTTAATTTCTATGAACTTGACGAAATACTCATATGTATATTGACGACGAGCTGGCAACGCCGCCAACTGTTGCTGCACACAAACAACATTCAACAGCAGAAGCAGCAGCAACAACAACAACAACACGAATGTGTACAATTTGTGGCTGGCATGAATCAGCAGCTGTGCCGCAGATCCCAGCATTCCCAATGGCATTCCATTGTGCTGCTGATGCATTTGCACCCTGCTTGTTGGGTTGTTGGCTCACCTTTGATTTCACTTCAATTAGATTCGTTTCAGCGTTGGCTGCCGTCGCCGCGGTTGTGTTTATTTTATTCTTCGACATTATTTTGACCACTTCACAATTCCACTTCCAATTGCACACACAAATTCACAGCAACACCAACGCACAACTGATGCAGTGCGTGTTGTTCATTCAAGTGCTGTCGCGGCGCCAACCACCAGCAGTAGCCAAACGTTGAGTGGCCAAGGGAATTTAAATAAAATTGTATAATAAATTATAATTCGAAAAAATCTAAACTAAAACTAAATTATGCGTTGGCGTTTGTGTAAAAAAACATCGAGACATCGCGATTTTTCTTGCAGCGATCGGCACCACAATTGTTGCATACATGTATATCGATATATTTGAAAAGGTGTAAATTAATCGTACATAGATCGACAAATAATAGCTTCAGGCACTCATTGTTGCTACAAAGATCTAAATGCAAGTGAATTCCTTACATTTATGCATCAGGTGAACATAATAAATACAGCAAAGTTCTTTGAATTTGTACGCAACGTATAATTTGATTTATCGATATTTTTGGCATTTTAAAATACTAACTAACCACCGGCCCTAGTCTTTTCCATACAATGTGGCAACGCCAATTGCACAATTGCATTAAATAAAACATTAACAAGAGCAAATAAAATATACGTTATTCATCAAAATGTGTACATTTTGAAAACCTATATATTTTGACTATAACTTCAGTTTATTTTGTTACAATGAATTCATACTGAATACTTTAGGAACTGCTGCGGAACTGTCCAATTCGATAAACACGAGCGGGACAACACTAGTGCATGCGCATGAAAGGAGTATAGATAGCTGCTTGATGGTACGGACCGAGTACACGTTTGCATACACTGCACATTATCAAAGAAGAAAATTAATAATAATTTAGACAAGATCAAATAATTATTAGAGTTAATTTGCCGATTATCAAACAAATACACACTGTCATTGTCCAACACTGACTTCTGACACGACCAATTAATGGTGAGAGACAAGCGTGTGGACAGAGCATAGTGCAAAGTCAATATAGCCGGACACTGTAGCGTATACCATACGACGAGGGTTTCTGTAAATGGAGGCTGTTTTGTGTTTTGTTGTTGAGCGTGAAGTGTGCAATTGACTAGAAATTGTGTGTGCTTCTTTTTTTTTTTTGTTTTTTAAATGTTTCGAGAAGCCAATAACCAAATAGGAAAACAAATCGATTTCAGTTTTAAGCATATACAAACAACTAACAAGCATACAGTACGAGGCAGCAAATATAAAACGGGCGCAAATTGGAAAAACAGCAACGAAGACGAAAACGAAAACAGAGCAAAACGTTTTCTCTCTTACCACCACACTTACACCCCCGCCCCGCTATCCCCCGCCCTTACACACACACACAAGAGACGCTGACGCGACGCCAGTGAAAATACAGTTAGTAGCTAAGCTTTTAAAATACGGTTCTCGCGCCGCCAACGAGCAGAGCTTCAGGACAGTTGAGAGCAGACATTAAGGAAACCTTGAGAGCCAGTCATACATACACACATATATATATATATCAATACACAAGCACACGCACAGCTACACACACACACACATACATATACATACACGCATACAGGCACAAGCGGACGCAGCAGACGCGCCAGCCATGAGTTCGGTAATGTAAACAAATAGCGTAACGTGAATCAAATCGAAAAAACACTAACTTTTATCAAAAAAAAATATATAGCAATATTCGAATGTGGAGAACCTGTCGCCGCAGACCATACGGCAGGTGATGAAGGAACTGCAGGATATGGAGACAACACCACCGGAGGGCATCAAGGTGTTGATCAATGAGAGCGATGTCACCGATATACAGGCATTGATAGATGGCCCAGCCGGCACACCGTATGCCGTTGGTATATTCCGTGTCAAATTGACGCTGAGCAAAGATTTTCCACAAACGCCGCCAAAGGCATATTTCCTAACCAAAATTTTCCATCCAAATGTTGCATCGAATGGCGAGATATGCGTGAATACACTGAAAAAGGATTGGAAACCAGATTTGGGCATTAAGCACATATTGTTAACAATCAAATGCCTGCTAATTGTGCCCAATCCCGAATCGGCGCTCAACGAGGAGGCCGGCAAAATGCTGCTCGAACGTTACGACGACTACTCGCAGCGGGCGCGCATGATGACCGAGATACATGCACAGGTGTGCGACACATTCACATTCACATCCACAACCAAATCCAATAGACAACATTTCTAATCATATATTGTATACACTTTTTAGCCGGCCAAGTGCGGCGCTGGCGCCAGCGATGCCAAAGACGATGACGGACCCTCGACAAAGAAGCATGCGGGCCTCGACAAGAAGCTGCAGGACAAGAAGAAGGAGAAGTTGCTCAAGGAGAAAAAGCGCATGCTCAAACGATTATGAGACGCATAAATAAACGGAGCAGCCGCAGCAGCAGGAGCAAGAGCAGCAGCAGCAGCAGCAGCTAGCCGGAGCGACAGGCAGCCGGAGAACGGAGGAGTTAAGATGTAGTTAAAGCAACAACAACAACAACAACAACAACAGCAGCAACAGATTATGTATATGTACAATATATATATATATATATATGTGTGTGCGTACGTATGTATGTATATGTGTCTATGAGGCCAGCAGCAGGCATAAATCTACAGTGGAGCCGCAATAAAGCGAACAACGGGCGCAACATAAAGATGACAACAACAACAACAACAAATACCAACTCCAAAGAAAAGTGCATCCAGTTACATAAAAACTAAATGGAAAACAAAAATATTATAAATATAGCATATATATATATATGAAAAACAAAAAAAAAAAAGAAAACAAAATTTGGTTGCCGTCTGTTCAGACAAACTGAGCCGATATTTAGTTTGTAGGCAAAAACAAAAACAACAAGAAAATTAAGTAAAAAAAAAAACAAATTCACAATGTCCTAATTAATTTAGTGCGATCCTTGCGCCCATATATATATATACATATATTTTTTAAAATGCTTTTCGCGCTAACTTTAGCATAATTTATGTCTATGTAATTAGTTTAAAGATCTGTTCCACACACACACACACACACACACACACACACACACACACATGCACACGCACACTGAGCGAAAAACATCACCAACATTTTTGCAAAATTTTTCTTTTAATAATTATCACATACATTTGAAATTGTTTCACATTGGAAAAACGAAAACAAATAAGCCACAAATTGTACTTAGCCTAAGCCATAATAAAACACACACACACACACAGCACACACACACACACACCCTTGCAAAATGACAAGCAGAAATGCATAAAATAATACATAATATTCGCAAAATTGTCAACGAAATGCGCCCAAAATGTGTTTATAAATAGACTCTCGCAATGTTTTTCTTTTTTTTTTTTTCGGATTTTCCAAAACGTTTTTCTTTCGCTTAACGGTTTGTGAGCACGTTTTGGGCGCTTCGCACAAAGCGCAGTTACATTCTCTGCTTTAACGTTTTTGAGGTTATGTACTTACAAATGAAAAAAAAAAAATAAATAAAAAAGCAGAAGAAGAAAATTTAAGAAAAACAAATATATATAAAAACGATAAAATTATGTGCCCTTCTTCGTATTGCTTAGCTGCTATTTCGAAAATGAAAAAAAAAAACACCTTAAAACAGAAAACAATCCTCAATTCAATTAACTCTCAGTAGTTCAAAAAATCCATAAATTAAGTAAGAAAAAAAACAAACAAAAACAAAAAATTGAAACCTTTCGTTGAATTTGTTCGTCACACAACAAAAAGTGAATAAAATTTTGGAACACACTAAAAATAAGTGAAGCATATTTGTGATAAATAAGAAACGACATCTATATAGTTTATATGTTTTACAGGTAAAGCTCGCCTAACCTTTATTTGCTTTTTTTTTAGTTTAATTTTTTTTTATTATTTATTTAATCTTTTTTCTTTCAATTTTCATTATATTTATTGGGTTTAAAACTATTTTTTTAGAAAATGGGCCTGAAACCACGTCGTTCTGTTCAAGCGAGTTTCCACTGTACACACATATATATATTTTCTTGCATGTGTGGCAACACTTGCCCAGGCACTGCACGTAGCGCGTGCCAAAACGAAGGCATTTCCGAGTTCCAATTGTTTTCAAGCCGGAAGAGTATTTTAAATAGTCGATTCTACGAACCGCCAATGAGACATGACAGCATCTGTGTGTGTGTGTGTGTGTGCTTGTGGGTGTCTCGCTCTCACTCGCTTCGTCTAAATTTTGTGCTCTCACTGGCGACGCCAACGCTTACGCCAACGCCGGGCCAACATTCCAAGCGGCTAACCTTCAGCCCAGCTCCAAAATTGTCGCAGCAGCAGCAACAGCTCTCTCTCTCTCTCTCTCTGTCGGCGCTGCTCTCCGTGTAGATGAAAAACCTGATGAGGCGCAGCAACAACAATCAATGGCTGGCCAGTGTTGGACATTGCATGACAATAGCGCACGCTCTCTCGCGCTCCACGGAGAGCGCCAGTTATGTGACTTACATATATGTATGAATGGCCGTGCCCGTGTACGCTGCGCTTCTGACAGAGCAGATGGACCGCAAAAGGTAAGCTTGTTGTGAATGTGATTTGCAGGGCGTGCTCCAAGGGGATGGGAAACGTGCAGCAACTGTATGCGATCGATTGCGAGCGGGTAGCGGGCACAGACGCACGCACGCGCGCGCGCGCGCGCGCTCGATCGCCAATTCCAATTTGGCTGTGCGCGACAGCCAACAACAGCAGCCAGCAGCCAGCAGCAGCGAGCAGCGAGCAGCTAGCGAGCAGCAGGTAGATCAGTTGTGAATCTGGCACGGACGGACGACAACAAACCATTTAGCTTGGCTCGGAGCACTCGCAACGCGAAAAACGCGACGGCCAAAAACAACAAAAACGAAAAAAACAACGTTTTGCGCGCCTCCTCCAAACCGTTCGCTGCGGGTACGTGTGTGTATGTGTATTGGTATTTTTTTTGTGTCCGTGTCCGTGTCCGTGGGTGTGTGTGTGTTTGTGTCGCCATGTCGCGTTGCCCAGTTGCAACGTTTGTTGTTGTTTTGTGGTTGCGCGCGGCAGATAAACAAAAACAACGAAGAAAACACCAAAACACGCCCTGCTAATATACCCATGTGTGTGCGTGTGTGTGTGTGTGTGTGTATCGAACAGTTGATCGATGTGCGATAAATTGCAAATCAACAACAAAAACTGAACGAATTGTGAGCGTACGGCAGGAGTTTCCATTTCCAATATACGTTCGATACTTCCAAGGCGCAACGGTGCATGGAATGCGACAGTTATTTGCGCGCTCATCCGTTATATTTGGCATTTTCGCAACATCTGTTTGGCCAGTTAAGCGTTACGGCCAATTGGCCAATAAGCGCGTCAAAGCCAAGCAAGAAAAAAAACAAAGAGAAACACGCTTCACGCTGGCTTCTACTTATATTCTACTTATATTTCGAACAGTGTGACCTTGCCAGGCTGCAGTTCAAGCCAGGGCCGCGTCTCTGCAGCTGCGCATCGAACGCCAATTGCGCATATTTATATGAAATATATCAATACATATACATATGCATGTGTGTGTGTGTGTATGCGTGTACTTGACGTTGACATTTCGTTGCGCTCGTCGCACTTATTTGCATAGATGTCAGCCAGACTGTCCGTCAATTTCCATATGCATATGTTAATATGTATATTTCCATGTATAAGCGTTTCTTTTATGCTTTTTACCGCACACACACACACACACACACACACGCACACACACGGATTTTCTATAATATAGCGTGTGGGACGTTTCAAACTAAGTAAAGTCGCGCAAATAACTCGTTCATTTCGTCATTTCCAGCAGTTGTCAATAAATATCTGTTAAATTTGTGTGTGCACACACACACACACACACACACACACACAGGCACACACACACGCACGTATGTAAATTCATATTAAAGATCGCCTTGAAAATTTCTGTGTGTCGCATCGTAAAAATCCTCCAATTTGTGTGTGTTTTTTTTACATCTACTTTTTTTTTTAAGTTGAGAACGCTTCAGTTTTGTATTTTTTGCGTGGTTGTCGCGGTTTTGTTTGAGCCAAATACGTAAAACTCATTTTGACCAAAAGCGTTTCATTTTGTCGTTTTTTTTTTTCGGTTTTTTTTTTCGAAATATTTGCGCCAACTTTAAGAGTGGGCGCCAAAAGCAGCCAAGCAATTACAGCACAAAAATGTGAATGCCATTAGGGGATTTACCTCGTTAAGAGCTTGCAGCTTAAAGCTAATTAAAAGGAACGCGTTCTAACCTCACACTTAATGGAAACAAATACAAAATTCGCTCAACATAAAGTAACAGTTATCTTGCCGCGTGTCTTGGCTTAGCGAAGAAACCAACCTTCAAGAGAAAAGCTTTGCGCCGCCTAAAAGTAGGCAATCGATTGTAATACAGTGAAAGCTCCCGCGAGCGAACCTCCATGTTCAAGAAGGATTAACCTTTATTTGGAATTTCACATATTTTCCGCCGATTGTTGTACAATTCCATCTTGCCATATAATATATAATATATTCCAAATATATATATATCCGTTAGTTTTTCCATAATTAAAACAACATTTTGGTAATTAGGTCAAAGGAGCGTCCGAAAAATATGAAAAAACAGTTGAACTAAACAAATCGACCGGCCTAGGCAGAGCTACACGAGAGAGAGAGAGAGAGAGCTTTCACTGTGAAGTAATTCGGCAAATACTCACACACACAGACACAGACACACCGACGCAGGCAGAGCGCAGAGCGCAGAGCGTGGGCGTTGGAGGCCGCTGGCAGGCGTTATGGCACTGAGCAAGACAAGCAAAACGAAAGCTGGCGCCAAAGAGGAGCAGAACGAACTGGTAAGTGAGGCAAAATGCAAAAACAATAACAAAGCGCGCGCGCACACACATACGCACGCGCACAGGAGCATACTCTCACGTGTGTGTGTGTGTGTGTGTGTGCGCGCGTGAGGTGGTGGTGGTGGTGGTGGTGGCATTAGGCGCAGAGCTTTGGCAAAACAATGAAGCGAGCGAGCGAGCGAGCGCGCGCGCGCGCGTCCGCGCGTCAGCCAGCGCACTTGGCTCAACGCGACTCAACGAGCGCGCGCAACTCAACTCAGTTCAGGTGTAACAAACTAACGGTGCAGCTCGTGCAGCGCCGCAGTCGTCGACGCGCCATCGTATCGAACACGCCGCGCATTGTTATTTATTTATTTTTTGTTTGTTTTTGTTTTGTTTATATTTATATTAGTTTGTTGTTGTTGTTGTCGTGCGACTTTGACTCGTTGTTGTTGTTGTTGTGCATTTTGCATGCGTAGAGCGGCAATTAGAAGTTGGTTAAATATAAAATGAACATACAAATTATATATACACAGATGCTAATGTGTGTTTGTTTCGAGTGTGCTTGTGACAGTTTTAGTTTTTAATTACATTACATTGTCGCGGCCCAAGGCAAAAGTGTGACCATACACGCTGCAGAACTAATTGTGCGCATGCTGCAGCGCATTCAAATATTGCCCTTTTGCACACGCACACACACACGCATACACAGACACGCGGTTGCCACATGTTTCAGAAAATTGACCAAAACTGGTACTTAAAATATCCCTTGAGGGGAATTGCTACAGGGATATTTTTGATCTACTTTTCTTTTTTGCGCATATTGCGGCATTTTTGAACTAAATTTGTGCATAACTAAAAAAAAAAAAACTATGTACAATTCTAAGCGCATATGCAAAACATTTTTTGTATGCCTTTATTTTT